GATTCAAACATAAATTATTCTTAGACTGACATCATCAGGAAGCTTGATTTTTTTTTATTAACAACATATTTGTTTTGTTTGTAGGACGTGTTTTCAACAAACAATGGGCATTCCCATGGGAATCAACTGTGTTCCCTTTCTTACCGACTTACTTCTATATTCATATGAGGCAAACTACAAACAGGAGCTATTCGGGAATACTGAAAAGAGGCTATCATTATTCTTTAAATTCACATCCCGCTTTATAGACGATGTCAGAACACTAAATAATTCAAAATTTGATGACTATGTTGAACGCAACTATCCCATTGAACTTAAAATTAATAATACCATAAATACAGTTAAGTCTGCCTCATATCTTGACTTACACCTAGACATTGACAATAAGAGTTGGTTGATAACAAAACTTACGACAAAAGGGATGATTTCAGTCTTCCAATTGTGAACTTTCCATTTTTATGTTGCAACATTTCCTGAGCATCGCCTGCATATGGAGTATATACCTCCCAATTGATATGTTATTCCAGAGCTTATGTTTCCTATCATGATTTCCTTCATACAGGATTGCTGCTTATAAGTAAGCCTTTGAGTCAATGGTCCAAGTATTAGATGTAAGCCTCTCATATCTGAGGGGCGTCAGCCCCGAAGATATGAGAAGATAACATCTGATTTACATAGAAATAATAAATAAATATTTTATGTTTTCTCTTGTTCTAAACAGAGAAATTAGTCTTGATAAAACAGGAAAAGTGTCATTATCTAAAATTATCCATATGCAGCAACACTTTCAGAATAAGTTTTGTAGTTATGCATTTGGAATGCAATCTTAATTGCGTCTATTTTTCTGTACTGAAATTGATACCTTTTAACTGCTTTTGTATGGCAATATGAATCGCTGTACTATCTTGTCTTTTTCTGGTTAAATTGCCAAAATCTTAACTTTTTGCTGATAAATGATAACACTTCTATGTAAGCGTGCGGTCACAGTAAAGTTAACGTTGTCTCTTTTTCGAAAATATTACGGACGCCGTCAAGAGTTGGTTGACAGTTATGGAACATCTGTGTCACAGATGATCACGGACATGTTACAATTGTCGTTACCGCAATTCCGTCCTCTATTACTCGATTGTGCGGTTGGTGGGGGTCGTGTTGTTCAGTCTTTCTATATATGACGTTTTGTGAATGTTTTTAAAGAATACTTTCATTGTCGATGGATTGTTGAAAAAAGTAGTTAAAATGCTTATCATTTAAATCCCGTCCTTGTTCCCTTATTGTCTCGATGATGCCGTGGTAACGTGCTCGCCTTGATTGCGGAAGGGCGTGGATTCGATCCCCGGCTTCGTCGAACCAAAGACTTGAAAATTGGTATTTCAGATTCAATTAGTATGTCCTTTGAAAAATGTGATTGCAGATTGATTGACTGCCATTCATTTAAAGCTTTCTACTGTAACGAAAGAGGTAAATATATTAGAAATACTCTCAAGAACTGTGATGAGATGATTTAAGCTGTTAATTTTCTCCTTGACAATTTCTATGTACGTTATAACTCTATATTCGTGTCTGTAGTGACGTTTTCAAGTCTAGGATATCGTTACCATAAATTATTTACAACTTGTACTAAATTATTTCAAATAAACAAAAATTTGGTTTGAAAGTTTGTCTGTACCTGTAGAGTTCTTAATACAAATGGGATATCAAATCCTAATTTTTACTGTAATGTTGTAATATAGCCCGTAAATTTAGACACGATCCATGTAAACTCGTTGTTCCATTTAATAAACTTATTGTTTATGGATATCAATTTAACATCGTGTTAAGATCTTTGAATATTGTTCTTATCCGTACTAGAATTGATTTTTGTTTTTGATTTGATAAATCAAAACATAACTAAAACTGTCTTGCAATAAAGTTATCAAAACTTATGGTCGCACATCATATACTGATATTGTGTAGTTATATATTGGCATTTTACAATATGAAATAACAAGATGCGGTATGAGTACCAAACAAGGTCATACTTTTCTTTGACTCTTTATTACAACTATCTGAACTAAATTCGTTGGATGTGTACCGATTGATACTATTGTCTAGGAGACAATTATTTTTCTTTTGTTTGTTATTGAACAAGCTTTCAGTAACTGCGAGTATTCTTAGATCGGTACTTTGTCTATTGCCTTTTTGTGTTTTGTGCTTCGTGCCAATCTTCTTCTTTTTCTTTTTCTAAATCTAAATCTAAATCTAAATCTAAACTTGTTAAAACTTTTGCTGATATGGTTATTTAGTGGTGTTGGTCACTCGAGACTTGAATATCTCATTTAACTTTGCTGTGGCTATATCCGGAGGCAGTCTTTTCCCAGTCCTGGGTGTTTACGAAAATGGACATTTCCTACATGGCTGGGTGTAATATGTATGAATGATTTCCGACCGGTACGACTTGCTGCTTTTTGTTGGTTGTTGTAATTTATTCTTGTCTATAGCTACCAGGTCATTTGTTATTTTGTAACACGTCTTTACGTCTCGTTTGTGAGTTTTTCCATCCAAAATAAAAAATAAAAAGATGTGGTGTGATTGCCATTGAGACATGCAACTCCCTACCAGAGACCAAATGACGTAAAAGTATGCAACTATGGATAAAACAATTCAAGCGAGAAAACTAACGGCCTGATTTATATACAAACAAATAAACGAAATAAGAACATTATATCCAGCAACAAACCACAACCACTGAATTACAGGCTCCTGACTTGGGACAGCCAGATACTAAATGTGGCGGGTTAAACTGTTCACTGGATCTATTTCTATGTCGGCTGGTTACGTACCGTACTGCTCGGCTCGTCTTTGTACTTTATCGATTTTGACTATGCGATTTTGCTAAGACTGGTTTCATACTGTCTCTCTTTGATGGACCTTGATCTGATGTGGAATTTTCGGTGTAGGAAACCAAGGAATTGACTTGCTTTACCTGTGATATTGTTTTGTGTTCCCCCCAATCTAGATCGTTTGCGATGGTAATAGACTATGGCTATTATATCTATGTTTGAACTCTGATGGGTAGTTATCAGTCTCATTGGCAATCATACCTCATATCCTTATTTATATATATATTTCAAAACACATGAAAGGATGCCGGATTGTTCCATCCCTCACTGCAAGTAGGCAACGATCCATCCTCGAGAAAAGAGAAAAGATACAATGACGTCGGTCAATCCGAAATTAATCATGACATGTTAGAAGGATAAGAATAATGGCCTTGGAGACTTACAAAATTTTACATAATTTGGCCCCACCTGTTTTATCAGACTTATTAATAAACAACGCCATAGATATAATTTCAGGTATTCTAATCTTTTACAGATACCACAAGTGAAAACAGCAAGGTATGAAAACAATTTTTTATGTATGTATGGTAAAACATGTTCCTGTGTTGCCTATAAATATCGACCACACTTCAATCCATACATGTATACTGCAGCAGCATACCCAACAAAACATACAATTCCTTTGTTTGTTTGTTATTTTTATTTTATTCTACTGCTACAGTTTTTTGCTTATTTTGAGTGATAATAGTTTTAATTGCTATATTTTATGTGATTGCTTAACTTAATTCTATATGCTTTTATGCTAGACTACTCATTTTATGTGACAATTGTATATGTGTAAACTAGTGTATGTCTTGTGATGTCCTATTGTGTCTGCACTCTGAGTCTCTGTATATGATATGCATGTCTTAAACTTATTATGTTTGTCGGTTCAAAAGCTTGCTCAGAGCTTATGTTGTATCTGGGACTATTATAGTTAATATATTATGTCCCGGGTTGTATTATTATCTTACTTGCCGACTTAAAATAAAACTTATTTTAGTTGATTTGATAATACAAAATACGTAAAAATTAAGACAAAATTTATTTCAGACACAAAAAGGTCAATATATAAAGTTCAAATTAAAGTTAAAATTCAGACAAAACTCACTCTACCATACTCTTAACAATGTAGAGTGGGGTGCTCATTTTCGCCATAATTTTCCATGTTTTCTGCAGTTTATGTTCGGGTCTTTATGTTTTTGAAGTATACTGATATTTCTATATGAAGATACATTTTTAACATCAAAAGCAAAATATTCTTAGCTTGAAAACGTGTTTCTTTGAAAAAAAATCATCTGAAAAGTTAGATTAAAGGCAATTTGAAATTTCCTGATGTTTTGTCAAAGGGGGACACATATTTGCCGTTTTTACACATCTATTTAAAACCAAATAACTGCAGCTTTAAACAATATTTATCAAATCAATTTCATTATAGATGAATAAGAGACATTTCAAAGGTGTAAAGAACTGAAATTTAGGGCAATCAGTCAAAGAATTACTAAGAAATACTTCTTTAAAATCGTGTTTTTCATTCAGGAAATTGGCCGAAAATCGTTGTCCGTTTTTCGGTCCTTTGCGGTAAGTGCCGACATTTTGTCTCAGTTTAAAAAATAATCATATTTGTTATAAAAATATAATTTACCGGCATATTTCTTCCATTTCAGCCATCCTTTGAAGTTTTTACACCTCAAAATCACAAAACGGCGAAATTGTGTCCCCGGCGAATATGTGCGCCCCACTCTAGAAGAAAAAAAATCACTTCTGAGAATAGTATTAAATTAGCAGGAATGTTATTAAAATTTGATTAATCTCCCTACAGAAAGTTTAATAATACCTGGGAACAGCATATATATATCTATCAATATATTTGTTCCTGGCTGTCAATATATATATGTTCCTGATAATACATAATGCCTTCTTACGTATAATCATGCATTCTTTGTGAAATAATTTCTTCATTATTACTGAAAAGAAACTTCTTTATCTATATAAGATCATATGAAATGGAGTTGGTGGTAACAGAGACATATATAAGATCATCTAATACATTTCGGATGGCCAGTAACACCGGAGTAAAATTTCGAATGCTTCTAGATTTTTACTTCCGGTAATCCGGTAATCCGAATACCGTTTCTTTTATTACTCGCTCCTGGGAGGAAATAGGTGAAGTGGCTTATTTTCCTGTTGGTAATATTGTGTAATTTATCCCAAATCCTGCTAAACTCAATTGAATTATACAGTTTTCATGTTTCCATAAGAAGCTTTTTAAGTAACACTGAAATAATCGAATATAATCACCTCCCATCTAAAATTATCCACCCTCTAAACAAAGCCTTTGTCAACAAATTAATCATAGGATTCTTCTGAGTGGGAACATTCCCACTGACGAAGGATAACCTCTCAATTAGTTACTATCTGTCTTATGTGGGACATATTTTAAGAAATTAAAGAATATTTTTTGTTTATTTTTACTTTAACGAAAGCCCACATTATTATTCATCAAAACTTCTATATTTTTTCTTCCTCTTTGCTTGTCAGAATGATTATGGCATCTTGGAAGGTTTATTTTTTGTTTTTTGCTTGGACGCTATGAAGGAAGATGTCTAGCTTATAAATATAAAAATTGGTACAAGACGTCATATTTATCATGTTTATTAGGACTACCTTTGTACATAATTGATTGTTTTTGAATGTCAATGACAGCTTATTGCTATTAATCTAGCAAATTTTAAATAAAGCATATTTGATTTGATTTGATGTTTTGTCTTCAGATCACTATATACATGATATATGTATCTTTGTCAACGTATATTTGTTCCGCCTAATAGAAGTTCCACTGGACACTTTGTTATAAACTATGCCATAAAATCTGTTCCTGTTGGAACAAATATTCTATTGGAAATAATATTATAAATTTGCGTTAGCAAACTTTTGTTCTTCCCTCAGCGGGATTTGAATCCCTGCCTCTGATACATCCTGGCAACATATATACAGTATATATACCATCAAATCTTGTCTAAAGTGCATACCAAGAAATGAGCACCTGCTTGTAACAGGCATTCCCAGGTCCCCCTAGACTGCAAACCTGTTAAAAAAAGGCAATACTGACGAATCGTGCAATTAAAATGCCCAACTTGAAATTTCCAAACAAAACTATAACTTTGGAAGTTCCTAGGACTTTATAACTTTTTCTTAAAAATAGAAAAACAAATACTGTAGATGCACTGCTGTAACCCTAATTAGTGTTCTTTGATATAGTAATAACAAAAGAAAAGCCTACTGATTACTGTAAATTCAGAAATCATTGTGAGGTTTTTATTAATGCGAATAATGTGACTGGGTGAGTATCGCAATAATAAGAACTCACATTCTGATATATGATACATATATCTGTATGCAGATTTTCCTGAAATCGCAATAATTAAACTGGCATTTTTGTCCATTCTTCAACAATTGCAATAATAAATGAACACAATATTTTCTGAATTTACAGTACAAATAAAGCTACAAAAAGTGTCTTTTTGTTAATATACACGTACCATTTTGTAACAGTTTATACACCAGGGTCATAAAAGGAATTTAGTAAAGTTTATAGTGAACACAATAAATGAAACTTTTTTGAGTTGTTTTCTTGTCAAAATGGACTGTCTTAAGTTTTGAGCATCAGAAATAAATTAATTATGTATATTTACTTTTATTAAATTTATTGCAAAGAGGATAATGAAATCATAATTTATACATTTGTATTGGATTATATATAACATAATACAATAAAAAGTTATTTCTAAATTGAGGGTTCTTCTGATATGTATATTTGTAGGTAAATTTTTGTGTATATGAATCAGTTTACATAAACTCAGGGTTCTAATCATACATTGGTGTTTGGTGCATAATTATTGTAAAATTATGTTATATTTAATTTTATATTTGCTAATCTTTTATGTACATAGTTGTACATTGTATATCCAATTTCAGGACACATTATTATTACATTATTACTATATGATCATGTACCAACAGATAGGGATATATATATATATAGCACATCCAAGGTGATTCAGTTAAAAATCACTCTTGGTCATGTTGTAGGAGATTTTTCACATCGAATGCATGTAGGGATTTCTGGTGATTTACTCTGAATATCTCTGTTTATTCTGTAGGTATTAAATGATAGGGTCCTTAACCAGAATGTAAACAATCCAAATCACCAACAATCACCCTTTTTTCTTCAACGTGGATTGAAGAAAAATTATCTTTTTGTTGATACTTGATTATTTTGAGGTTTTGCCAAAGTTTGCATACAAACCCAAGAGAGATTTATACTGTGTTGAACATTTAAATTGATTGTTCATCTATACCCACGACCTCAGTAAAAATTGATTGTTTATATATATCCACGAAATCCGTAAAATTGATTGTTTCTCTATATCCACAACATCCGTAAAAATTGGTTGTTCGTCTATACCCACGACATCCGTAAAAATTGATTGTTTATCTATATCTATGACATCTGTAAAAATTTATTGTTTATCTATATCCAAGATATATGTAAAAATTGATTGTTTATCTATATCCACGACATCCGTAAAAATTGGTTGTTCGTCTATACCCACAACATCCCTAAAAATTGATTGTTTATCTATATCCACGACATCCGTAAAAATTGGCTGTTCGTCTATACCCACAACATCCCTAAAAATTGATTGTTTCTCTATATCCACGACATCCGTAAAAATTGGTTGTTCGTCTATACCCACGACATCCTTAAAAATTGATTGTTTATCTATATCTACGACATCTGTAAAAATTTATTGTTTATCTATATCCAAGATATATGTAAAAATTGATTGTTTATCTATATCCACGACATCCGTAAAAAATGGTTGTTCGTCTATACCCACAACATCCCTAAAAATTGATTGTTTATCTATATCCACGACATCCGTAAAAATTAGTTGTTCGTCTATACCCACAACATCCCTAAAAATTGATTGTTTATCTATACCCACAACATCCGTAAAAATTAGTTGTTCATCTATACTCACAACATCCGTAAAATTAGTTGTTCATCTCTACCCACAGCATCCATAAAAATAAGTTGTTCACCTCTTACCCACGACATCCGTAAAAATTAGTTGTTCATCTCTACCCACGACATCCGTAAAAATTAGTTGTTCATCTCTACCCACGACATCCGTAAAAATTAGCTGTCCATCTATACCCACGACATCCATAAAAATTAGTTGTTCATCTCTACCCACGACATCCGTAAAAATTAGTTGGTCATCTATACCCACAACATCCTTAAAAATTGGTTGTTCTTCTCTACCCACAACATCCATAAAATTTGGTTGATCCTCTATACCCATGACATCCTTAAAAATTGGTTGTTCCTCTATACCCACAACATCCTTAAAAATTGGTTGTTCCTCTATACCCACAACATCCTTAAAAATTGGTTGATCCTCTATACCCATGACATCCTTAAAAATTGGTTGTTCCTCTATACCCACAACATCCTTAAAAATTGGTTGTTCATCTATACCCAGGACATCCTTAAAAATTTGTTGTTCATCTCTACCCACAACATCCGTAAAAATTAGTTGTTTATCTCTACCCACGACATCTGTAAAAATTAGTTGTTCATCTATACCCACAACATCCGTAAAAATAATAATGAATCCACAGTATACATGGTATTTAGCTTTGTATGTACTGTTTCTTGATTTATTGATAATTCTAGGTATATATACATGAAAACAGGAAACTTTATCAATTAGAAATCTGTCAGGGATATCAAAACTTTCTAAAAATAGTTCCTTGTATTATGATCATGCGTCAACTATGTACTGACTACAGGACTTGCACTTGGTCACATAAGGAAAAGCCCATGATGATGAAGTTTTCCGGGTATGTTCTGAAATGTTTTTCTGAAAACTGCTGAAATTGTGACTTTTAATTAAAAAACTCCTACATGTATACCTGCTATTATAAACAAAGTTGAACTTTATTTTAAATGAGTAAGGAAAGACAGAAATTCCTTGAATAAATACATTTAGACAAATAAATATATATTACGTTTACACTGCTTTATTGTTGTATTCTATATTGTAGGCCTGTGTAAGGATAGATACCATGTTGTATGTAGATAAAGGTTAGACAGGACCTATGCTGTTCCTGCCATGGTTGACCGGTCTCCCCACGGTCTGTCCCGTATCCCTGTCCCTGTCAAAACCACAAATGTTGTGCAAAATGGATCCTTGGAATTGAAAACCTCAGATCAAAATGTTAATGGAAACTTAGAATCTAATTTTGAAGTAGAAAATGGGAACACCTCTAAGGAGGAAAACGGGAAGAAAGATAAAGGATTTGAGACATTCCTTATGACAGGGGATATGATCATTAGAACTACTGCATCACCAAAGTCAAGACGAGATGCATCAAGTAGGAATGCTTCTGACAGTTCCGATTCTTGTGTTGCAGCTGATATGGATGCCCCATCTCACTACAGTAATGATTTAATCGAGGATTCTCCAAAGTTAGATAAAAAATTTCAGAGGTCTGCAGAATCAGGTTTTGAAGATCAGGGACAGTTATCTGCTTCCAGTACCCTTGAACTGCAAAGTTCTAATAAAAACGGGGAAACGAAAAGTGCTCCTTCATTGTCAAATACTGGTTGTGATGTGATGAGTCAGTCACAGTCATCTGCAGCTAGCAGTACTATATCATCAGTATCATCAGACATGAAGTCTGACATTTCTGAACAAACTGTTATACTGAATGAAGGTGATTCAGGGTTAATTTCACCTCATGAAGAAGATGTAAAAGGTCAGGAAAATTTGAATGATAATATGAAATTCATTGATAATGAAAATTCAGATGATGATAGTTCACAGAAACCTGTAAAAGTTGAGAAATCAGAAAAATCAAAAATAGTGACTAGCAAAAGTGCAGAAAAAATTATTTTGGACAAGACTGGTCATCAGCAGTATGTACGACCAAGCAAAAGTCAAGAACTTAAATCTGATGGTGAATTTGCTATTGTAGATATTGACATTGATGATAATATGGCGTATTCCTTAGATCAGATACCTCAACGTGGCTCACAATCTATAGAAATAATAGATGATCAAGTATCCAGGAGTCTACATAACTCTCCAGAACATCGCAGTAGTGACAAAGCGTTTATTCCCGGATTTATTAATATTGACATGAAAAAAGGTAGAGGAGTACAGAATGATGATTTTGCCTTAAAAACAGACAATTTGAATGAGTATAATAATTCACAGTGGCCATCTTCATCTGAACATTATAATGGTTCTCCACAAGATATATCTAATCAATCTCCTGATAGTAGTATATCATCTAATCGTTCAGATAGAGACTCATTTGATCCTTCACGGGATCCAAACTTATTGGAATATCAACCACCTTCTACAAGTGTTGATAGACCATCAGCACAAAGACTGGCTAAAAGGTTGTATCAGTTGGATGGCTTCAGAAAATCTGATGTCTCCAGACATCTAAGTAAAAAGTAAGGAATCTTATAATTAAAGCTTGAAGATACATTTGTAATGTTAGATATTGTTGTATTTTTCTTTGTTTAAATTTCACAATGGGAGGGGCTATCTCAACATTCAAATTCCTGGTACAGACGTGCAGCTGAAGTTGAAAAAACACACCCCATTCATATATTTTATCAAAGTTTTGCATAAGACCTGGTCTAAACATACATATGTATGTCATAGCAAATTCATAACCAATTCATACATTTTTCGGCTATCAGACATACAATCTGTGATATCTTAATAGATGTGAAAGGATTATTTAACTTGTGTCAATAAAAGTTTCAACAGATAAAGATGTTGTCTACATGGGATCGTTCATATCAATTAGATAATGAAACAGTTTACAGTATTTACAGAAATCCTTTCAGAAGATGGACATTATAAACCATTGACAAAGAAGTTATTACCCAGTAATATATTTAATAATACTACTTTGAAATTGCACCCGTTGATTTATTTGACATACAAAAAAGTGACCAATGAATACAAGTGGGACACCTGCATATACCTTTATATAGAAAGAGGCAACCTGTGTTAAATTCAATGTGAGAAATAAAAACTCAATTTAAATAATCAGGAATAAAGACTGTTCTAGTACAAAATGGCCTACCGACAGATTGTTATTTTAAAAGTATCTCAAAATTAAAAGCACATTACATTTAAGGAAAAGACTTATGCATTTTGGTAATTTTATGAGGAAGAAATGATAATGTTAAAATGCATTAATATACCTGTGAACCTTTGTAAACTGAAAATGTGAACAAAGTTCCATGTATAAGTTAGGCAATGACAATTTTGCATGTGATTGCCTTTTCTAAACATTTGTTTGATGTATGTACGTACAAATAAAAAAAAATGCAATGTCTATTTACTCCACCAGATTTTTGTTTTAATCTGCAATTATTGGTATGATCTAGATCTGTATTTGATATTATTTTTACTGTTTTTGTTATATGTGCAAGAATACACAAAAAGCCAAAAAAATGTGAATATTTTCCAGTCACAATGTCAGTATTTTATATACAGAAATGGATAAATTTTCAAATAGTTAGAACTTGACAACTTATTTGTATGTTTATCTATACTTACTTCTTTTTCAGAAATGACTTTAGTACTTTGGTTGCTGAGGAGTATTTAAAACTATTTTCTTTTGGGGATTGTACATTAGACTATGCTTTAAGAGAATTTTTACAGCAGTTTTGTTTATCTGGAGAAACTCAGGAACGAGAGAGAGTGCTGGCACATTTCTCCAGACGTTATTGTGAATGTAATACAGGAATTTATAATTCAGAAGGTGGGTCAATTAGTAGTACATATGGTTCTTTATATAAATTTGACCAGAACAATCAGGACTTACACAGAAACATAATAGAAGTACTTTTTGTTGAACATTTTTATAAAAAAAAACACTGTGAAAACTGATTTCTTGTCAAATCAAAAGTATATGAATAGTAATATTTTTCATTGCTTAATTTTTTGGCCTCTGTGGCTGAGTGATATAAGTAGTTCATCTCCACTGATCAAGTTGTAAGTTTGACTCCTGCTCATGGTAAGGGGTTCAATTTTATTTGACTGGGATATAAATAAGAAGATGTGGTATGAGTGCCAATGAGACAACTATCCATCCAAGTCACAATGTGTAAAAAGTAAACAATTATAGGTCAAAGTATGGCCTTCAACTCTGAGCCTTGGCTCACACAGAACAACAAGCTAGCCCATTTTTCGTCAAAGATCTGTGGTTTTCTGGGGGCACTCCAGCGTCCTTCTCCAGTAAAAACTGTCAGCCATTATATAGCCAAGGGAACTGAAAGTGGTGTTTATCAGCAACAAACAAACAAACATTGTTTCAGTTTTCTCCCCAAGAACTTTTAGCATCATTGTAATGCAATGCTTTATTACTTGAATAGGATGCTATCTGAAATGATTTTCCTATGCATTTGTAGATTCCATCTATCATTGTGTTATGGACGTGATGCTATGATTTCTAGAAAAAAGATGTTATCTAAAAAATTCCTGTTTACCAGGATGTTCTGTAAAACTTGTGGGCAGAACACTGATTGTTTAATTTTAATGCATGTAATAAGATAAGATAAGTTTTCTTTATTTCAGACTCAAAAAATCCATATATATATATTTGTTAAAATATACTTTTTCACTCATTTGGTCTTTTGGAAAATGTTGTTGTGCTGTATTTAGACCCCTCTACCAAGAAATTTGTTTTGCAAGCACACGTATAAAAATTGCGTTTTTTATCCAACGCAATCATAGGTTTGAACGTTGTTGAACGTTGTTTTCAATTTAGACTTGTATTCGATTCCTAACATCACTGAAGAGACATTAATTGTCGAAATCCGGATATGGTGTACAAAAATCTTTGCACCTTTTGTTTGCGGTATACCATCTTTTCCGCAAGTTTATTGTTTTTTTTGTTTAGTATTAAATTTATAATTGAGATCCATTTATTACATCGGTGATCCGTTTATTTGGCAATCGCCAATGGCAGTCAGCAGGGTTTAAGAACATCAGTTGTTCGACCTGCTAGTCAAATGCGTTTTGTTAAAATATACTTTTTCACTCATTTGGTCTTTTGGATAATGTTGTTTGTGCTGTATTTAGACTCCTCTACCAAGAAATTTGTTTTGCATGCACACGTATAAAAATTGCGGTTTTTATCCAACGCAATCATAGGATAGAACGTTGTTTTCAATTTAGACTTGTATATATATATATATATATACATGACACAAAATATTCTGTTTTAAACAGGATACAATGTTAAAAATATTTACAGTATTAATTATAGTTAAAAATTTAGATATATTTATAATATACCTAACAGTACAATTGAATAAATCTATTGGCTAATAAAAGATCACCTGGTGTGAATCAATTCGGATATTTTCATCCAAATCAGCAGGGCTGGTGAACAACCTCAACAATTGTAGCGTTCGGGGAATAACTATTTAACTAATTAAATAATTATTGGATTACCTTACACCATGGAAGTATTATATTGACAGGAACTTATACAACCCGACTTCAAACATTTCATCTGGCCCCAGACCACAATTAATGATCCTGCTTTTCGTTGTCCACGAATATAGTTCCCTTTAATTAAAGTGTATTTTTTCTTTATTTTTTTTCTTTTCCTTTCTCATACATTTCTTACTTTTTATGGGGTGGAAATGAAAGAAGAGAGCTGAAATAAATTTTTGGATGTTTTATTTTAACTGATTTTGATATGGAAAGAGTGATTAGGCCAGGTGCAAAAAGGTAATATTTACAGTTTTCGGAACATCTCTTGACTTGTCTATAGGGGTATGGATGTGTATTGGCTACATTTGTAAGATGTACACATGCAATTTTTCTGAAAGTTGGAAATATTTTTGGACTTGTACTGTACATTACACACACAAAAGATTTGACAAAAAAAGCAGGTAAATTTTTTTTAATGCAACAAAACGTTATAAAGAACAAATAGGGGAATTAATTGTGGTCTGTGGCCTAAGAGGTGCATTTCAGCAAGTTTTGAATTTGTACTTTGAAAACTTCTCTGAATGATCTATTGGAATTAATTTGTCAAACTACATGAGAATAAATGATTTCCACCTTTATTTGATAGAAATTTTGTAAAAAAGTCACTTTTCAGCTAATATGCCCGAAATGTAGCTTTTTTACTTGTTTCAATATTTTTACAAAAGTAGCATGCTTACTTTCTCTCTGACAGATTTTTGTCGAGCCTTCGACTTTAGTCGAAAAAGCGAGACATAGCGATCCTACATTCCGTCGGCGTCGTCGTCGTCGTCGGCGTCCACAAATATTCACTCTGTGGTTAAAGTTTTTGAAATTTTAATAACTTTCTTAAACTATCCTGGATTTCTACCAAACTTGGACAGAAGCTTGTTTATGATCATAAGATAGTATCCAGAAGTAAATTTTGTAAAAATAAAATTCCATTTTTTCCGTATTTTACTTATAAATGGACTTAGTTTTTCTGCCGGGAAATATTACATTCACTCTGTGGTTAAAGTTTTTAAAATTTTAATAACTTTCTTAAACTATCCTGGGTTTCTACCAAACTTGGATAGAAGCTTATTTATGACCATAAGATAGTATCCAGAAGTAAATTTTGTAAAAAAAAAAATTCATTTTTTCCTTATTTTACTTTTAAATGGACTTAGATTTTCTGCCAGGAAACAACACATTCACTCTGTGGTTAAAGTTTTTAAAATTTTAATAACTTTCTTATACTATTTTTAGATTTGTACCAAACTTGGACAGAAGCTTGTTTATGATCAAAAGCTAGAATCTAGAAGTAAATTTTGTAAAAATAAAATTCCATTTTTTCCGTATTTTACTTTTAAATGGACTTAGATTTTCTGCCAGGAAACAACACATTCACTCTGTGGTTAAAGTTTTTTAAATTTTAATAACTTTCTTATACTATTTTGGATTTGTACCAAACTTGGACAGAAGCTTGTTCATGATCTAATGCTAGTATCTAGAAGGAAATTTTGTTTTCTTCCAGTTAACATTACATTCAGTCTGCAGTTTAAGTTTTTAAACATTTATTAGATTCATAAACTATCCTGGATTTTTACCAAACTTGGACAGAAGCTTCTTACATTCAAAAAATAGTATCAAGAGGAATATTTTTATTGATTTACTTCCTCATTTTTGTTGAGCCTGCGATTAACAGAAAAAGTAGGCGAGACACTGGGTTCCGCGGAACCCTTACGAATTTTTATGATTTTCTATTTGTCTTTGTGGTATTTAATTTAGATGTTTTACTCATTTGTTAACTCTGAACAGAAAGAAAAGTAGATAAAGACATAAAAAGTGTGCAAAATGTGCTGTTTTAATGGTCAAAGTCTAACAGTCCGTACGAAGCAAGTGAAATGTGAGGTTCTATGCACATAAAAGTTGAATTCCTTTAAACAGATTTCACTGAATCTGTATCAAAAGCACTTATTACTGGTTGTTTTACCTTGTCTGTTTCACAGACTACCTTTAATTTCTTCTGTTGGATAGCTAGTGGTAAAAATATTGGCCTTTTGAGGCTGAAATTTCATGCAGGTTTTAAACAGTAAAGTGAATAAAATTTGCATCAGACCATACTGTCTACACATATAGTTGAAAGCAACAGTCTTGTTACATCCAGGCTTCTTGTTTCATCATATCTAAGCAAGGATTTGAGCAAAAAGAAGCATATTTCCATCTCCCATATCATTTATATGCTTTTTAATATGTGAATATGGGGAACGGCCTAAATTGACAACTTGTTTTTTTAAGCTTGACATTGCTTAAGACCATGTTATCCTCATGTGTTATGCTATTTGAAACTTATATTTCCATGAAAAGTACATTTATGATATTTAGAAGGTTTTTTTTTAACTTAACAACTTCAGAAAATTGTTGTATGTGGAAAATATTACATTTCATATAAGGCCTCGCTTCATTTGAAAACCTCTATTTTTTGGCACAGGCTCATATAAAATTAACTTTTTGCCAATTTTTATAAGTCTGATACATTCAGTATGCTATCTATTACTTTAAATAGATAATATCTTATACATAGAGACATTAAAAAGTGCACATTTTTGTTTTTTGTTTGTTTTTTTAAGCCAAACTTTGATAGTTGAAATTGTTCAATTTCAACGTCACAATTCAGCAACCAAAGTTCAGATATAAAAAAGGCCACATTTTCTATAATTGATATCATATGGCTTTGAAACTGAGTAAACTGTCTCATAATACACTAAGCTTAAATCATGCCAAGTTTTATTGGAAATGGTCAAGTTTTTGACCCCTAATAGGCCCCAGACCACAATTAATGATCCCGCTTTTCGTTGTCCACAAATATAGTTCCCTTTAATTAAAGTGTATTTTTTCTTTATTTTTTTTTCTTTCCCTTTCTCATACATTTCTTACTTTTTATGGGGTGGAAATGAAAGAAGAGAGCTGAAATAAATTTTTGGATGTTTTATTTTAACTGATTTTGATATGGAAAGAGTGATTAGGCCAGGTGCAAAAAGGTAATATTTACAGTTTTCGGAACATCTCTTGACTTGTCTATAGGGGTATGGATGTGTATTGGCTACATTTGTAAGATGTACACATGCAATTTTTCTGAAAGTTGGAGATATTTTTGGACTTGTACTGTACATTACACACACAAAAGATTTGACAAAAAAAGCAGGTAAATTTTTTTAATGCAACAAAACGTTATAAAGAACTAATAGGGGAATTAGTTGTGGTCTGTGGCCATCTGTGATCCTGCGCGCAATTTAATGACATGTTAATTAACTTGAAACATGGCACGTTATTTAGATATTGAAGATGTGGTATGAGTGCCAATGAGACAACTCTCCATCCAAGTCAAAATTTATAAAAGTAAACCATTATAGGTCAAAGTACAGTCTTCAACAAAGAGCCTTGGCTCACACCAAACAGCAAGCTATAAAGGGCCCCAAAAGTTACTAGTGTAAAACCATTCAAACTGGAAAACCAACGGTCTAATCTATATAAAAAACGAGAAACACTCATGAACCACATCAACAAACGACAACTACTGAACATCAGATTCCTGACTTAGGGCTACACACCAGCGTGTATCGATTCGTCACAGTGTATTTTTATATCAGGAAAATTTGGGTGACTCGGCAGTAACCGGAACACCCTTATGACAGTTTTAACTTAACCCCTGAAGAAATAAAATAATTTCACTTACTATTTTAAAACGTTGTAGTATAATTAATTCTTGACCGATTTTCATTTTTTATGCATCAATCAATTTGTTTAAATAAGTTGTTTATGAATAAAGGTCAACCGACGCGATTGAAATAGGCAAAGGTGTTTTCCGACTGGTATTGATGTTAACCCTTCTCGATAAAAACCACATGATTGATAAAAAGTATCTTGGGTCAGTTTATGACCACATGATTGATAAGAAGTATCTTGGGTCAATTTATGACCGCGGCATCGCAGATAGTCACAAAAGGAAATTAACGATAGCGTACTAATTAGACCGTTTCCATATCTTTTCTACAGTGCTACCTGGGTTATAAATAAGTGCTAATTAATTGTTGTAGTTCCTGTCAATATAATACTTCCATGCTTACACCAATGCTGTAGTGACAGATAGGGATCACTAGTGTACTTCTGTTTTCTTGCATCATCATTGTCTGTACCATACTTTTTGTATCCACAACTCTTTGAAAACAGAATTCCACCAACCTTACGTATGAAGTTGTGTACATGCCATTTTATTTTATTTTAATCTGAGTGATTTTTTGGGGTTTCTCATACCAAAACATGGACTTTGTCATTTTTGCTTATATAATTTGGAAATACTTGTCTTTATTGGAAGACTCACATATTTTATTAGAAAACAATAAATTAATGATTTAATTTCTTTTATTCTACAGATTCCTGTCATACTTTAACATGTGCAATAATGTTACTGAACACAGATCTACATGGCTCAGTAAGTATATTTGTTTCAGAAATAGGAAACACTGTCTTGTTGAATAACCTGATTATCTTTATATTCCCTGAAACTAGTCTATAGTTCCCTATACATCACTTATCCAAATCAGAATGTCAGAAATAATATATTGAAGGTGTTTTTTTATTTATATTTTATACATCAGAATGACCATTGTATTGGAATACTTATTACATATACTTAAGGATCATTGGAACAGGTTTATGTAAAATTATGTTTAATATTATATTTGCTTATTTTTTTTTACAGAATATAGGAAAAAGGATGACGTGTTCAGAATTTATTGACAATCTAGCAGAATTAAACGATGGGGAAAATTTCCCTAAAGAATTACTTAAGACTCTATACCAGAATATAAAACATGAACCATTTGAGTGGGCTTTGTAAGTTTGAATGAATATTCTTGATTTTACTTTTTTTAAAACAAAGTGTCAGCAGTCATATATAGTAGTTTATATTGCTAAGATGACAAAGAAGAACATGTTTTATTTCTATTAAATGGGCTAGCTCACATGGAGCATTTTACAATTTAAGTCATTATTTTAGACAAAAAACATTGATAATAAGTGAACATTTATTAACGTTGAAGTATGATACCTCTGTCTCAGGCACACCCCAAATATGAAAAAGTGCTTTTAATAAATTGGCAATTTAAGATGAATATCATAATATAACCAGATATATTCAGTGGTACACAAGTTTAAAATGACCAGTAGACTTCCATATTTAATTCATAAAACTGTCTTTCATAAATTATTAATGAATCAGTTATAATTTTGGAATAATTTCTTCCCATACCAATACATCATACAGTAAACAAAAATGAAACAATCACGAAACATGGGAAATTTTATAAGAATAGGTCCTTTTTATACTTTCTTTTCCATTTCAAATTATTTTGTTTACAGAGACTACCCAGAAGAAGAGACAAATCATTTGGAAGAAAAGATGGCACCAGTGTCAGCTACAATGCCACAAAGTGCCATAGGACATAATCCATATTTAGATGTAAGTTTAAACACAGTAATAAGATAAACCACAGTGGTAGAAATTTTCAAAAAACAAACTTTGTTCAGATATTATCTTAAATTTGATGCAGTGAAATAAAGGTGGCATTGTACTGGATATAACAACATTAGTTTGTGTATACAAAATGAATTGTGCTACAAAGTTGATGTAACATTTATTTAGGGAGATACATGTTTAGTCCTTTGAGCTCATACCAATACCTTATAATCACATTATTTCTCAATCAAATTTCTTAAAATTGTAATTTCATGATAACTATATTTGATCAATAGAATCATTGTAAGGTGTAAATTTTTACCTTTTAATGATAACTTTATTAATAACAGTTGCTTAATTACTAGTGAAAACTTAAACTACTGTGGATTCATTTTTATTCGTGGTATACCAATTTTCGTGGGTTTCGTGGGTCACAGCGAACCACGAATTTAAGAATTCAACGAAGAATAATCCTGAGAAATGTGTATGGAGTCAAATGTTTATTTCCGGTTATGTTATGCAGTTCTAGTATAGTGTTGACTAGCGATAAACATTGTAACATAACACGAGTTTTTATTGAAAGAAGATACAAGTATTTTGGTTAAATCAATAATAGATATATCGAATATCAGTGATAATTTACTTTTTAAAATTGATTAAAACTGTTCATGGAAAATAACTGCAAGTTGTTAATTATCGTGTCATAGCTTGGTTTACTGGTGATTAAAAAATCAATAGGATTAAGTACGGGGATATTGCCCATAGGTAATATTGTTTATGACATGAACATTTATTTTCACACCTTTTACTTATATGACTGTTTATTATATCTGATTAGGGAAATGAGCTTTCAATCATAGAGTTTTGAATGCCTTATAAAATTCCGACAAGAATTTATAAATTGTAAAACAAACAAATAATTATTTGTCTCTGTCCATTATTGTAATAGAAGTTTTCAATGAACACTTTAACCTACAATGACCAAGCGAGGATTTTGACAATTCAAAACTTTTTCAATGAATTCCTTCTTTTTTCTTTGTTTTATTATTGATCAAACCAAGGAGGTTATATGATCTCCTAAATCAAAAAGAAATCCATGAATTACGTATCTGAATTTTTTTTTTGTAATCAGCAATCCACGAATTTACGTAAACCACGAAACGTCTTTTTTTCTTTATCCACGAAAATTGATACACACGAAAATAAATGAATCCACAGTATATTGGGTCTGTAAAATCATTGTAAGGTGTACATCTCTGTCTGACAGTACTGACTTGACCTTATACTCTTTACACATGTTACTCTTTATTTTTAATCTTTAATTTAAATAATGTAGCTATGACTTTAACTTATGGCTTCACACCAAAAAAAGTAAAATCTCAGTGTGAGAATAGAGCTTGATCTTGATTTTTTTTAAGTGAACATTTATAAAGCAAACTTTTTTAAAATTTTAAATACTTTTCTCTTGACAGGTACCAGATCCAAACCGTGCTACAGAATTTAAACATGGATACGTCATGAGAAAATGTTGCAAAGAACCAGATAAAAAGAAAAGTAAGAACCAAACTCCTCTTTATGCTTTATTACAATATTTTTAAGTTTCGGAGGTGAATGGAGATTGTGTTTACCCTTCTGATAAAAGAGATTGAAATTATGTTTGAAGCTAGTTTACGATTTTCTTTTTCAGCTCCTTTGGGTAAGAGAGGGTGGAAGATGTTTTATGCAAGTTTACAAGACATGGTTTTATATCTTTATAAAGACCAACATATGATGAAAAAGGGACAACTACCTGAAGGTACACAAAATGCCATACGTGTCCATCATAGCTTAGCAATAAGAGCTGCTGATTATACCAAAAAACAACATGTATTTCGATTACAGACAGCTGACTGGGCCATATTCTTATTCCAAACAAGGTAAATTCATAATATAAAGATTGTAGAGCAGCATAGTTGAATAAATTATAAAAGCTTATTTTTTCTACATCAATACAAAATTATAGAGGTGATCCTGCATTTAGAATCAATTTTACATTCCTGAAGTCTATTCAGAAAGGCTATTATTTTAATGCAAGAACATCATAAAAACACATTTGACAAGCTGGTTAAGTACAGATAAGAGTATATCTGTTTGTGAACTTTTGTAGCTCCTTTTGAATTATGAAAATTTCTGGAATATTACTATCTTTGACATTATATATTTGATTTCTTTCATCCTTGGAATCAACAGAGTTTTGTGGTCCATATGAATGACTATCTATATATCACATGTTTGGTTCTAGATTAAATTTACAGATTTTCACTTATGGCATTCAGAAGTTATTGGTTTTAAAACCATTAACTTTTTACTAATATGCTATAGTGACAGTTAATAACTCCAGGACTGGATTGACACCATTAACTTTGTATTTATATGTTTAAGTGACAGTAAAGAACTCCAGGACTGGATTGACACCATTAACTTTGTATCAGCTACTTTATCTGCCCCTGCCTTATCTGGTGGTGTTGGCTCACAGAGAAAATTTCAACGGCCTTTACTGCCTGCTACTTACACAAGATTTAATTTGGTAAGAAAACATTATAGCTTATAGATGAAGATAAATGAAATTTATACAGTGTTGCTGTGAATAATATCTGTAAAACATTAATCAATTCTTGTTTCCTGTTTTTTTGTGTAACAAATAGATGACTTGAGACATATCCATGCTTCATTGTTCTTCACATCAACTAACATGTTCTGGTTTGTTCCAACTCTTTAAAACCTTTAAGTGTTAATTTTTGATTTTAAGAGAAATATTATATCAATATGATGCACCAATGCACCCTGTATAAAGCTTCAATATGATTCCTTTGAATAGATTTAAGCAGCAAAACATATAAGGGAATTACTGTATCTGTATAATGATGAATTTTCAATAAATCACTTAGTCTGAATGAGTAGTCCAAACATATATAATTACTTTGCAATGTATTGTAGTTGTGCATGATTTAGTTATATTCTCCTTTGAGGAATTCTAAATAAGGGTTTTGTTAGGACTTATATTAAATATTTAATTAGGACTGTTGGGATAAATGAAATAACTGGGGCTAATGAGTATGCCTCATTCTTATTTTGACATATACTTACCTCCCCCCCATTATCTAGTTATTATATAGAAAGTCAATTTAGTGTTGATTTCTGTCTCAGAAACTTTTAGTCTTAATCCTCAAAATTTTTTAATTATTTTCACATTTAAAAACCTTTTATAAACTGATTTTTTGTGTATTTTCCTGACAAATTGATAGAATGCATCTCAATGGTAACACTGTTCACATTATATATTTAGTTTTCAAGGGTGTAGGCAATTTAAAGTATACCCAGAATATAAGAGTATTGCAATGAAATTTTTTCCTCAGATTATGAATAATATTTTATGTATTTAGCGAGAGCAGCTTGCCAAACATACAGAGAAGACAGAAGAATTAGAGCAGGAACTTAAGGATCACCGGCAGTATCCTCCAGATAAAGGTGCTAAGGCCAGAATTATTGCAGATTATATGGAAAAAGAAAGTTTTTTAGAATATGAGGTAAAATATGAATAAGACACATATTAAATATTAAGATATGTGTTGTATATAGTCTAAAATATGAATTATAGAACATTTATTGTGAAAACATTATATTATAAATAACAAAGCTATATATTTAAATTTCAGGAATAAGTCTTTTATAATTTAATTTTGGATTTAAGACGTCTTCTGATTGGCTGAAAGTTCTTTGTCAATCAGCTCATAGACATAATTTTGTCATGAGACCATGACGTCATCAACGTTTTTTCATGATTTATTCCTTAAAAATGGAATTTAGAATTAAATTATTAGGAATGACTCTTAATATTTTTCTGTCTATTCAAAATAACCTCAAAAATGTGGTGCACACTATTAAATAACCCGCTATGCAGGTTATTCAGTGTGCACCACATTTTTGATGTTATTTCTTAATAAACAGAAAAAATATTACAGTCATTCCTTAAATAAAAATAAGAAGATATGGTATGATTGCCAATGAGACAACTCTCCACAAGAGAACACTTCGTCATTAAATAAAATAGTAGAGCGTGATGAGGGCTCTTCAGAAAGAAATATAAATATCCTTGGAAAGCAATGTGTAATAATTTAATGCTAGAAATCTTTTAAATTTTGGAAAAAGAGATTATCATGTGAAGGATTCTTATTTTTGTATATTTAAAAAGGTTGGCATTCTGACAAATCTTGTTTATAATGGACACATCCAATTTTGTTTCAGTTGAAGAGATATAAAACATATGTTTATCTAATACAGTCACGATTGGCTACATATCCAGAACTAGAGCCTTCGTTAGTGGAAACTGTGATTGGAGAGGATGATGAATCTGTCACAGTTGGGCGACCATCACGACAACATCCTGTTCAACGCAGTCTCTCAGATAGGTACAGTTACCGTGAGGCTATTTATAATAATGAACACTCAGACTTCCAAATTATATAAATAAGGTTACTGTGGTAACAGTATTTGTAACATTGGTGCTGAAATAGTTATCACAGCAGTGACATGCATGGAGAAGGGAGCATGGGAGAGAAGGCTACTAACAAAACCATTCATCTATAATGTCTCTTTGCTTTAGCCAGAAAGTCTTGTTGACTAAAACATGGTAGTACAATAGTTGTACTACTACAGAGGTGGCTATCTTTGCTGCAATTTCTTGTTTCTTAAATTTTTACATTCAAATTATAGTAAAATTATAAATACATGTTATACCATGGTTTACATTCTTAATGATTCATACATAAAAATACAGAAAGATACAGTATAAGATAAAATGTCTTGAAAAAAAATCATTATTATAAACAATTAATTATAACATGAGTTGTGGCTTAAAACCAATTAAGCTATTGCTAACGCTTTGCATACCTAATGCAAGTGTCCATTGTCGGCACTGTTAGTTGGTAAATATTTCTAAAGAACTTTTCCTCCAAAATCATTAAACCAAAGTTTGTCTGAATCATCTTATCGGGGATCATCTTTCAAAATAACGTTTGTTGACTTTGTTGACCAGCAATTAGCACCACAGTTACAAAGAATAGTGAATAGGAGATAAAATGATAATTATAGTAATTGTTAAATTATCATGAGTTATATGCAACCTTTGAACCAAAAGTTGAATTAGTTCTTTGAAGTTTCATTTTCAGAATAATGTTTAATGACCACTCCTGTTCAACCAATGTGGTTGCTGTAATGTAGAAATCTTAAAAAAATATATTAATTTTGGTCTATTTGAACTCCTTGTCTGGTATTCAGTATTCTGCCCTCTTAGAACATGGATTTTCAGAGGACTTTGTTGGATAATACATTAAAAAATCTCCTTTTAAAAGCTTAAGGCCAATTTAGATTAAAGTTAGAATAAAACTCACAAAGGATTTTGGTTTTAAATCTTTCCTGATTATGTGGCATTCCCATGGAAAGCATGAATTTACATTACAAATATAAAAATAGGGTTAATATTGGGTGTGGCCTCATGTTCAAATCATTATTTAAGCAGGGGACCATGTATCCAACAGAAGATATGTTTCTGCAGTTACTGTATTGGGAAGAAAACTGAGATTAATTTCAGACTTTTAAGACAATCCTGCACACAATTTCAAACAATAGATATATATATTTTTATGAAACCTTATACATCACAAAATTTTCTCTACTTTTTATTAGGTTGACAGAGCTGATTTTTTTTGGATTTTATATGAAATTTTCTATTGTTGTTCTTTGTGTAGATATACTACGTTTAAGCAAAAGTGTAATGATGTGTGTATAGATTAAACAATTTCTATTTAAGTTACACCTTAAGGGGACGAACTGTTAGGGGGTGACTATACAGAAAGTTAAATAATTGATTATTATTATTTATTTATTAGAACAGAAAACCTAACAGTGATCGGTACACTAGTGTAAATACTTGGTATGATATATTTTTAGAATGATACACAGTAAAACTGTGTGTTTGTGTGTCTGCTTGGGATTTATATGACAGGTGTATTCTGGCATGAATTGATGGAATGCTAGTCTGTGATGGGAATCTAATGCATTGTAATTTGAACATTTGAAGAGTTTCCAATAACTTCTATTCACCACTTTCCTAAACTTGGCACCATAGGAGATTTAATTGGACTTATTCTTTTTGTTTCCAATTTTATTGCTTACAAGGTTTTATTTTTTAGTTGTATGGCCAGATCAAAAATGTTTTAAATCACAATTACTTGTAGAAAAAAAAATGTTTGAAAAAGAAAAAAATGTTAATTAAAAATATGAATTAGGGGCCAAAACGACCAATATTGTTATAATTCATTGTTTGTAAAGATGTTTCTTGTATCAAACAATGTATTTTATTGTTTAAAATGTTTTTGTGCATCTTTAAACAAAACATTTGTGCCAATATACAGTATTGGGGCTAATTACATATGATCTGGTTTTGTCAAGGTTTATTTTTGATTATTTTTTCTTTCAAAGGTTGAATTGCAGCAGGGTGCCATATTTGTTTAGAAATTTTATTTTGTACTAGTCAACTTTTTTTTTAATTTAGTATATATTTGTCAATCGGAAGGAATCTCAAAGATTTCAGATTTTTACGTTTCTGCTTTAATAATGACTTATGTATGTATAAGCTGCTTTAACATTAGTGCTTTTTATTACGTATAGGCCAAACATTTTCTAGTTAACTGTGCTACATGGATTTTTTTTGCGATATACCATTGTATGAATATGATTTTTTAACTCTTTGTCTCATGCTTTGGATCCTTTTAACATTGTATGGTATTATATTCAAAATGGTGGAAGATTCCTGATATTCCTAAGAACATTTTATTTATGTGCTTACTGTTTTTACAAGAAGTCAGATCTTTCTAACTATTGAATGGGTATTTAAAAAACTGTTAATTATTGAAATCAAAATTTCTCAGGAAGAACTTGGGTAAAGTTTCAAGAGTCCCTGTGTTCAGTCTGATTAATTTAAATGATTAACAGTTTTTAAGTAGAACCCTTTACAATCTTAACAGATCTGAATAAAGATAATAGGTATATTCTTGACGGTATTCAAAAGTTATACCTATCAACATTTGTTTCCTAATGGATAAAATTATTATTGCACTTTTTGTATAGTATTATGATATATAATTATGGTTACCTTTTGTCGAAATACCTTGTTGATAATTTTTTGGAAGATTTATGTATCTTTTCAATGATATACACAAGTAGCAGGGTTAATAATGATTATTATATTAATAAATCAGTAAATGAGGTATCGTAGACACACACTAATTTGAGAAATGTTTCCAGTAAGGAATAAAATGTTGATAGATGTAAAAACAAAAGTAATGACCTGTTTATACCACATCTAAATTAAACTGAGTGTCACAAATTCATTCAGATTATCTAGACTAAGTCTATAAAACATAATATATGTGAAGGGTTGACATTAGTTTTAGGTTATTTTAGGGTTAGTCTCATCAGGTTGTACTGCTATAGAATAGGAGGAGACGAATCATACTTAGAAGCTATTTTATTATAATTGAAATTTGCCTTTCAGAAACTTGTGAATTCTTGATGAAATTTTCTGATTGGTATTAATTAAAATGCTGATTGGTTAAAATTGTCAACAACAATGTCAACATAACAAAGAAAAAAATAACTATTTTCAATTTGTTATACGAACAATAAGTTCCACAGATTCTGTAAGGTAAATTCTGATGTAAATATACATGTATGTGCACATTTTTATGTGAAAAGGGTCTGCTGATTATTTGTCTCATATTTTGTCTTGAGTCTTAGTTTTTGTCTCACCTTTATGAAGTCTCGGAGGTATAATCCATGAAATGAAAATTGTTTTTCATTTTAGTACAAATTTTGATTCTGCTTAGTGTATTTATTTTGAAATACATTTGATTTAAGTGCACCAAATAACAACTTCTCTTTTTAATAAGTCCTCATCTTTTCAGTATTAAGATCTGTGAAAACAATTTGTTATCAATAAATTATGATATTATGAATGAAGATATCTGTTGAAAAGATGATGTTTGTCCAGACTCTCAGCCAGAATCGCTTTTTGTTTTATGGTACTAAATAACATTTATAATTACTTATGAAAAACTCATTTTGTTATTTCTTTATAAAAGAATCAAATTGCATACCTTGAGAAGGTTATAAAAATAAAAACAATATTTTTTTTAATTTGAATTGAAAGTATGCTGTTTTAACATTTTGTTCTCTTATTATTTGAATTGCACACAATTGGTTGTTTTACTTTATGGTGAGTTATAAGTACACATTCTGACATAAGTATGTTCATTACCAATAGCCTTCCAGCTTGGATTTCTAAAAAACAAGTTGAGAATTGATTAAAAAATTCTATGTTTATTTTTTGTTATTAAGTATAATTTTTTGTTGCTGAAATCCAAGCCTCATTATGTGTATAAACAATATTAGAATGACTGGGCACCACTTCAGTATTATTTTTTTAGTTATCTTTAATATATAAATAATCTGAGTGAATGGATTTTTCCCCTTTTTGCATGACTTTCTCCATCTTTACAATCTTTTATAGTTGAAAAACATTTCCACCATTTTGTTACTTAACTATTGCATGGTTGCTATGGACTAGGATATTACTGTCTCGCCCAAATTTATCTTTGGTGAGTTGGAAACTGGGATATAACTGTCTCATCCAAATCTTTTTTTTGTGTGATGGCATACATAGCCCTTTTCTTTCAATTGTATATGGGTTTTAATTCAGAAAATGCGAGGAAAGGAATTGAAATGACCATCTGTTGGAATGTGACTCAGAAACTTGAAATAGAAAGGATTATTTAAAACATATATATGTGAACATTTCACTAGATCAAAGTCATGAAACATTATAAATTTTATTTATTTCTTTTCAACATGGCTTTAACATTACTTCAAAATATTTTAAGGATACCTTTTAATCTAATGTCTGCATGTTTTGGAAGTTTTTCATTGAAATAGACATATGCATGTTTTAGATACCAATTAAAATTTTTATTATGCTTGATGCATGATAATTAACATGTAGTATCCTGAATCAATCTAAGGAATTAAAAAACAATTTTCAATTTATATACCATTCTTCATTAAATCTAAAATAAAGTTTTAACATCAAAATAGCACATGTTTAAGCTGAAGAAGCAAATAAGCAAGCATTAAATATTGAAGACAGATACAATTAAATAAACTTTGGTAAAGAAGCATTTTTGCCAAATGTTGTCCTTTATACATCAGTTCAGAATAGCTAAAACAAGTATTTATGCATTGTAATACAATGTTACAGTAAACAATGTATTCAGAATTGGAGATTTATTGCAACTGTTTATATATTAACATAAATATTATTTTATAATAATGATTTCCACAGAGTTGTGGCAAAAAAGAGAGTAAGAAATATCAGTATTATTCATTAAAATTCATCTTCAAACAGCAACAAAAAGATAACAAATACAAATTTAAACTTTTCTCTGTTTCTTCCACAGAGTCGAATCAACTACGCCACAGAACTTTGATGATTATATCAGTCAGGAAAATGCTGTTACTTATTTGTAAAAGTGTCGTCTGGTGATGTTTTTTGTGTTGTCTGGTATCCAACATTTCAGAGAAAATATGGAATTCTGGGAATTTATGGCTATTTGACAAAATATCTTGCATAGTTTGAGAAAATTGTAGCAGAATGTTTCTATTTTGATGGCTGAAATTATTGTTAAAATTTTTTTTACTCAGGTGCTGTGCCATATTACAATCAAATTGTTGAAATTCGAAATTTTAAAAATCTTTATCCCAGAAAAAGAAAGTGGTTTTAGTTTCACAAAGTGTTTTCTTTTATATTTATTAAACTTTGTGCTTACATTTTGAAAATTTTTCATTCCATATAAAGTATTTTAATAATAGCTTTATCACAAGTATTAGTAGTGTATTTATAAGGGCATAGGCTTCAGATGCACTATAGTATAGCTGTTTTGTCACGGAATGTTGTTTATTTTTAGGGGTATGGGTCCAATATATGAGAGACTACCGGTAAATATTTTGAAAGCACATTTATCAAGTTCAATAACAATTTCTTTTCCACAAAGAAGAAAGGATTTGATAATTGTAACTCAGTCCTATTGATTTTTGATAGTTGAAAAAGTTTTATACAAGGTTGTAATTGTGAATTCAAATGTAACTTTGAAGTTTCCACATATACATAAATATTTCTTCTGTATTTTCATGACTGTATTCTGAAATAATATATAAGTATATTGAATAAATTCATATTTTTTTTTATTATAGGTTTGATTTAGAAAATTGTTTTATTGTAATTGAATTTGAAAAAAAAAACCAGTTCTACCAGTAAAAATTTGATTAAAAAAATCTGTCATTTATAAATTATTAAATCAGAACTTTTGTACAAGAATTGATTGAGTCTTATATATAAACTATAATTAAAATAATTCATAATGGCTCAGTCATATAATTCAATTCTTTTTTTCAACTTTTTATCTTGGAACCATTGAGTTTTTTGCAAGTTTGGAACTTTTTTTAATTACAAGGGAAATGTTTGCATGTGTAGTTGTAGGCAATATGTTATCATTACAATGAAATGATCAAATAGCTATGAGTTCTGAATATATTTGTTTAAAAATATTATAAGGTAATCACTAAAAGATGATTTGATATAAAAAAATTAGGAAACGCATCAAGTACTCGCTTTGAAGATGATGAAACATGATGCTTTGTGCCCTTCTGAATCACCTGCAAAATTGTCATAGTAACATCTTTCTAACTTTAAAATATAGAGTAATCGACACTCATCTGATGCAAAATCGTCATCAGTAACAACTTTCTAACTTTAAGATATAGAGTAATCGACACTCATCTGATGAACCGAATACTCATTTATTGATTCCACAATAAATTGCCATCCCTACTAATTATTGAAAAACACATGAACGCAATCAGTAATCCTAATAACTATTATTATACCGAAGACTTGCCAAATTCACATTAACATTATATATGCAGATTATAAATTATGAATTTAAAATTTCTACATTACATCCGCATTTTAAAATCACTGATATTATTGATCTGTTTTATGTACTGAGAGGTAAAAAAAATATAAATTGATATAATTTTGTTTGATTATTGTTTAAAAAAATAAGGGACCAGAGAATATTCAATGCCGACCCTGTCATTGGACTGAAGTTTCCTTCTCTATGTTAGATCTGAAATATGATGCCCAGGAAATCCCATAATGTATCAAATCCTTTAATTTTCAATCCATAATTGAACTTCCCTTTTCTCTGTCAGTTTTCTTTTAATCAAAATATTTTATGTTAATGCAGCTTGTCCCTTTGTTTTGTATTCATTGTGCAATATTCTACGATTGTGATTTTATTTATATTACTGTAAATAAATTGTATTTTATGTAAAAAGAGGCCAAAATCCTCTTGTGTTGACAAAGAAGTTAAAGAGGATAAGCAATACTAACTGTTTGTAAATAATTTCCATATAATTTCATATCAAGTAGAATTTTTTATTTACATTTTTCCTAATCATATATTATATAACCAGTAAGTCTAGTGCACACTTCAGCAATTATTATTATTCATGTTTCAATAAAAATACCGTATAGCGGGTTATTTTCGCGGGTGTAAAATTTAGCGATTTAGGGGCAACAAAGTAAACGAAAAATTTTGGCGGATTCTTTAATCCCAAATAAATATTTTGGCGGATACTGAAATGGTTCTAGTTAAAAAGTTGTAAAAATTGACAAACAAGGGTCTATTGTTATGGTTAAATGATTGTTTTTCCTGCATGACTTTTTTTTATTTATTATATTTTGATACGGTTAATCAATAGAATACAGGTACATAGTTATTCTTCACAGGTGTACAAACTTCTTGTAAATGTTACTGTTGATCAGTTACGAAATTGACTGGACCTTTGATGTACTAATTAGATTATAAAATCATCATGAGTGACTTGCAACTCTTATATAATTTGACCCTAATTAGATAAGGATAAAATACCTGACATCGTACCTTACACTCTTATATTATTTATTTTATTATGTAACCAATAAACTAATTAACACCTGATAGCCAGTGAACAATGGCATTTATGTTGTTTAATTTAACAAAAACCGTGATTGATCCGTCGAACGGGGAAAAAATAGATAGTTTACAAAACGCTTTAACTTAGAAAGTATCGAACGATGCATAAATTTTCGCAGAATTTATTTTCATGATTTCTCCTGACCCGCCAAAATAAGCTAAAAAAATACTTTGCGAAAATAACCCGCTATACGGTGTAACATTTATGTTTTTCGATTAACTAGTATAAAAGATGGTCATTGTAATCACTAGCAGAATCAAAAGGTTTGAAATTAGTAGGAATTAACGACTTTTTATTCCTTAATACTTCCTGACCATATCAAAGGGTTCCTAAAAAGTCAAAAAGTTCTTGCTAGATGGCAGATTAATTGTTTTTTCCTTAGTTCTAGCTATTAAATGGTGGAGAAATAATGTGGGTTAATAACGTCATGAATTTGTGACCCACTTGGCCAGTGCATGTAAAACTGAAGTTGATTTCCTGCTGATGGGACTTGTTTAAAAAGCTAGTGTCTCACTTACTTAGAAAGTCATTCACCATTCTAATCCCCATATGACTCTGGTTTTAAATTTTGGCTAAAAAATAAAACAAACTTCTTTACTATTGAATGAACTAAATAGGCAAGTAAATTTCTTTTAGTTTCCACTGTAGATTAAAATGTTTGTTACTTGTAGAGATTGCTAGATGTACCCAGTACTAGATCATTTGCAGTAGTTCTTAAAAATCGTTTTGCGACATTCCATTTTAAATCTTGATATATCAAGCAATGGTTTTAATGTAAAATGATTTGTTTCATTCAAAGGATTAAAGCGAATGCACATTGACATTTTCATATAGTCAGATAACAGATTAATCAACATAATGGTAGATTTTCCTCTCTATATATGCAATAGCACGTTTAATACGTAATAGAAGGGCGTAGCAAGTGATGGGATAGGGAGAGAGGATGTAGACAATAATAAGAAAATGTAGGGATGTTTTATTTTTTTAATAGTTTTCATAAAATCATGACATAAGGAAACAAATAGATTTTATAATGAACATGAAGAGAGAATTCTTTATAGAAATAACTGAAAGCCAGGTAACAACAAACTTTGACAAGATTCTCATTCAATTATTATTGAACAAATTGTATGAATGGCCTAATTTTGAATTCAAATGAAAAAAATCAATATGAGTGGTAAATGTTGGGGAGAATCTAGGAATTATTATTTATTTTTTTACTTCAGAGTTATTATATATAAGAAGTGTGGTCACCATGACAACCTAGTATTATGTCAATGTTTGTTTCTGTATTATTCAGAATAAAAATGTTTCTACTTTATATACTGATATAAATTGTCATGAAAGGAGATACTTTTGTGGGGTCATATTTTTTTTTGATTTGAGCAGTATGTGAGTTTTCATGCAGTTTGCTGGTATTTATACACATAAAAAACAGATTTTCCTAATTGGAAGTATATCCACTATCTTCTCACAAATACATGAAACTTTTTTTACATTTTAGGTTCTGTCTGCTGCAGTATATATAAGACAATTACTTTAAAACTTAAACATGTATTGCTATACTTCTATGTATCTTATGTAACTTTATATGTAACTTAATTGAAATTCTTTGAATATACATCTTGTTATGGAAACTCACAGGTCAGTTATTCCATTATGAGCAAATAGTTAATACTTTTTAATTATTAATTTTGAAACCTCTACAGTGAAATTTTTTGTAAATTTTCATTTTTTCTTGATTTTAAATTTCTTGAATATATTTTAAAATTGTGCCATTTGTTTTATGTATAATATAAGTAAAATATACCACTTTCCATCATGAAATTTTTTTTTAATTGTGTTTCCAAATATTTTATATAAGAGTGAATGGGTATTTCAGATTTATATGCTTTTGATCAGGTTGAGCACAAAACCATTTTAGTCATGCATTGTATTTCATAATACTTACCAACATATACCCAAAATTAGGGAAAAACAGTTCAATAGACAAGATTGATCCATCACTGGATTTTAAGAAAAAAAATTTGATTTTTTTCATTTATCCAATCTCTATGAACTTTCCTGATATTGCTCATCATAATGTAATGGGATCAGGGTATGCTGTATCCAAAACTGTCACTTTAAACTGTACTGCAAAGTGTTTTTAATGCAATATATCTGTTTTATATTAAATGCTGTTTTGGTATGTTTCAGTACTATTTTTGTTTATGCTTTGTCAAACACTTAGATTATGTGCTAGTTTTGTTTTGTGTGTCATTAAATTAATACCAGTTTTGTGATTTCTTTTGATTTTATTATGGGAGAATCATTTCCCAAAAGTCCAAATATTATAAATTGATACATGCATGCAAAACACAAACAGAACAAAAAGATACACAATATGTTTGTCAAGAGAAAGCATAATACAGATAACTATTTAAGGGGTAACCTTTGACTTTTATCCTTATTGTCTCACATCGACAAAGTCATAAAGCAAGACTAAGGCATGCGGTTTCCAGTGGGGTTGTCAACTATGTATTAGTTTGTGATTAGGTCAGTTTATGGGAAGCCATTATTTGAAGGTCAATCATATTTGGTATACAGTTTTGTAAGAATTGGCACATTTCATTTTCATAGAGATTATTTGGCCCCACCCCCTCAGTCATGATGTATTGACTTTGAAACTTTTGCTTATTAGGTCTTTCCACTTTTCTGTGGAAAGACCTATTGTATTTGTTCTGATTATAATTATTATTTTCTTCCGCCAAATTTTGTTCTCGCGTAAAATTTTTGTTTCGCAAGATGTCGCTTAGATATTTCTTATATAGTATCATACAGTTTATGCGCTTTTTATTTTCACCTGTTCTAAGCCGAACAATTTTCTTTGTAGGAGTTATCTCCCTAAACACTGTTTTCCTTGTGACTGCATCTCCTCCGTAACCGTAAAAGAAAGCGACATATTTATTTCATAAAATTGCTCGTTATATCCTTTGCATGATTTGTCCTATTTTGACCGAAGCGATATGAATATTCCATATGAGAGTTATTTCCCCTTATGCATTTGAAATAAGTGATATGCATTCGTAACTGGTAAACCATAAGTGATAGAGACCTAGGGTCTGTTGATTTGAGGTCCTTGGTCCTTAAGAATAGAAAACTAGGTCAAGGTCAAGGTCATGTTGTGATTTTTTACATTAAGTTCATATCGCTTCTTCCTAGAAAGAGTTAAAGATATCGACAAAACAATTTAACCAAAAAGTTTGTCGCGACAGGTGTTTACTAGAAAATTTTTGTCGAAATGGTACGCGTCATTTTATTGCAGGGTCAATGTCCCTGTTATGGTCGAATCAACAAATTACTTATCAAAACTTCAAACTTTGCAGCTATCATGTTGTAAATGTTTCTTATCTCAATTATCAACCACAGTCTACCACTACACTCCCCCCCCCCTTTTTTTTCAACTGATTTTTTTTTAAGTTATCCCATTTCTATGAAAAGAAAATCGCTTTTAGTCCCGTACATTATACTGTAAAATGCCAATCCTTCTTATGTACAAATTTCTTTCTGAAATAGAAATCCATCCCTGCAAAAATCTGCTCCAATTCATATATTTTCTGAAATTAATCTATGAGACACGTGCGGTCCGCTTGATTGCGAAATTAAAATCAATGTCGTAGAAATCGCTCCTTTAAGTTCGTAAATATTACTGAAATCCTACAATCAAATTTCTAAACATGCATTAAAATACAAATCCGTGCTCCCGTAAACATGTGTACGTAATATGTATGCGTGATCCGACATCAATGACCTGTACAAAATAAAAACAATAGTTATCGTGTTTCTTTGATCAATACACATGTGCTCTGTTCAACGGTCTCCCCTGAAAAGAAATTAATATTTTAACTCCAGACATATATATTCGAGGGTCACGTGACTTCACAACACCGTCTCGCGCGCAGACCTAAATTTAGAAGAAAACATTGCATATCCAAATAAGGAAAATAAAACTTCCAAGATAAAATTTACTCCGTTTTCCTACAAATTCAATCAAAATGCATACACAACAAATAGATGAAAAATGGAAGTCCGAGGTAACATAGAAACTAGAGAAAATTTATAAACGAATGATGCTAGGATCAATTTTTATGAGGACATCTCAGGCATCCGTTTGGCTGTGCGGGATGTCTAAGTGCGCAGTCACGTTCGGTTAGAATATAGGCGTTATTTAAGTTAGCTGTGTCGCACAGAGAAAGTGCCATGCAATCAATCAATCAATCAATCAATCAATCGACCGACCGACCTACCAACCAACCAAGCAAAAAACCAATTAATCATGTTTCGGAGGGGAAAGACCGTTTAACAATTGTTTTTAAAACAATTGATTTATATTTTTATATGAATTTGTTTGTGATTAGTTCAGGTTATTGGGAACCACTAGTGGTAAGTCAATGATATTTGGTATGCAGTTGTGTTAGCATTGGCTCATCTCATTTCCATGGAGATTACTTGGCCCCACTCCCCCAGTCATGGTCTATTGACTTTGAAATTTTTGCTTACTTTACATGTATTAGTTTGTGATTAGGTTAGTTTAAAGGGAACCACTTATGATAAGTAAATGGTATTTGAGATGCAGTTTTATAAGCATTGACATTTCTCATTTCCATGGAGGTTATTTAGTCCTGCACCTCCAGTCATGGTTCATTGACTTTGAATGATTTGCGTAGTTTACATGTCTAAATATTGCCATTTTAGTTTGGGCGCAGCTTGATACGACTGCAGAGGTCGAACCCTGAACAGTTGGGGCAAGTATGGACACAACATTCAAGCTTGATACAGCACTGAATTTGGATTGTAATTTAATATTTGACACAGCATAGGTTTCTGACACAGAATGAATGTGGTCTAAGAACTTAAAAATTTTTAATTTACCTATTCCAACCATATCATTATTATTTGCTTTTATATATAAATCAGAAATAACCAATTTAAAATGGAAAATTTTAAAGAAAAAAAAAGGAAAAATAATTCCCCCCCGCCCAAATTTTTTGAACCCCCTTATGATTCATCACCCCCAAACTCAATCCCAGCCTTCCCTTTGTGGTATGGTACCTTGCAGTACAATTTTAGAGAGATCCATACACTTGAACACAAGTTATCGTCTGGAAACTAGAAAATTTTTGGCCCCTTTTTGGCCCCAAATTCCTAAACGTTTAAGGCATCAGAAATAACCAATTTTAAAGAAAAAAAAGGGGAAAAAAAAATTACCCTCAAACTCAAACCCAGATTTCCCTTTGTAATATGGAAACTTGTAGTACAATTTCATAAAGATCCATACACTTACACACAAGTTATTGTCCTGAAACTAGAAAAATGCTTGTTTTTTTTATTCCTAAAATTTTGAGGCAATTACCCCCAAAATCAATCCCAGCCTTCCCTTTGTGGTATGGTACCTTGCAGTACAATTTCAGAGAGATCCATACACTTGAACACAAGTTATTGTCTGGAAACTAGAAAAATGCTTATTTTTGGCCCCTTTTTGGCCCCTTATTCCTAAACGTTTTGGGCAATTACCCCCAAACTCAATTCCAGCTTTCCCTTTGCGATATGGAACCTTGTAGTTCAATTTCAGAAAGATCCATACACTTACACACAAGTTATTGTCATGAAACAAGAAAAATGCTTGTTTTTGGCCCTTTTTTGGCCCTTAATTCCTAAAATTTTGAGGCAATTACCCCCAAAAATCAATCCAAGCATTCCCTTTGTGATATGGAACCTTGTGGTACAATGTCAGAGAGATCCATACACTAACACACAAGTTATGTCTGGAAGTTACAAAAATGCTTATTTTTGGCCCCTAATTCCTTAACTGTTGGTACCATAACCCCCAAAATCAATCCCAACCTTCCTTTTGTGGTATTGAACCTTATGATAAAATTTCATAGAGATCCATTCACTTAAACTAAAGTTAGAGTGCGAAAACCAATGTGTCTTCAGATGACGATGACACCAACGTCATACCAATATATGACCGCAAAATTTTTTTGCGGTCGTATAATATTTGATCTTATTTTTTGAAATTGTCAAAGATGTTGCTGATATAAACCTATAATATAAATTTCATAAAAATCTGGCAAGAATTGTACACATTAGAGCGCTCATAAGGCAAATGGAAAAATTAATATTTCCAAAGGGCACAACTCTTTTAAAAATTATTGATCGGCACTGATTTTCGAATTTGTCCAAAACATTGCTGATATAAACCTATTATTTAAGTTTCATAAATTTCTGGCAAGAATTGTACACACGAGAGCGCCAACAACGCAATTCTCCATATAGTTAATGTTTCTAAGGGGCATAACTCTTTTAATAAAATGCTCCGCTGGGGCGCAGCTTGATACGACCGCAGAGGTCGAACCCTGAACAGTTGGGGCAAGTATGGACACAACATTCAAGCTTGATACAGCACTGAATTTGGATTGTAATTAAATATTTGACACAGCATAGGTTTCTGACACAGAATGAAAGTGGTCTAAGAACTTAAAAATTTTCAATTTACCTATTCATACATGTGATGGACTGTGAAACTCAGATCAGGAGATTGGGAAATTTTGGTCAGGAGATTAGGACTCAGATCAGGAGGTTTTTAATCGACATTAATTTTGTTGTAAATGTAACCGTGTGCTGTAAAAATGGTCTTTTAAAGTGTGTTTTCTTCAACTTTCCAACCAATTTATTATGTTTATAGTACCCTTGTACTTATAAAGTTTCTCCATCTTTATATTCTACATGTTCAATCTAACATTGTTTTTTTCCAGTACCGGTATGTTCTTTAAATTTTTTACTTCATATTCTATAAAACAATCATTGCAACCAGAACATTTGTTTAGCTGTCTGCAAATAGTTTTTATTTTTTTTTTTTTTCTCTTGCAAAGAGTTTTTATTTGTAAACTCAGAAATTCATTCTATCTGTAAAGTTAGGGTCATAGTTATTATATAAATTTCAATTTAAGCCTTAAAAGGAAGTATAGAATCCTCAAATAATTTTCAAATTATTATTTTTTTATTTGTCCTAAGACATTTAAAATCATTTAATAACCATCCTTTTATGATTATTTGTTCAATTTATATTTTATTTATATTCTTTTAAAAATTTTCATTATTAAAAGGAAAGTAACTTAAAACAGGATAAATCAAGGGAAGTAACCCAATAAATACACAGTTTTTGTTACACAACGGCAGTTAGCCTGAGGTAAAAATCGTTGCTTACCAGTATGTTTGACACCCAAGCTGACAAGTGAAGCCATATAATTATGCATGTTAATTGATTTACAGGTAAAATATAACTTCAGGTAATGTCAGTTACACCAGATGCCTGAGATGTTATGTTGGGCAGAAATTTTTCATTCATGAAAAATTTCCATTCATGAAAAATTTCATACACAGGATTTTTTCAACGGGAGGGGGGGAGGAGACCCCTGAAAACGGGATTATTGTACTCCCGTCGGGAGGTTCACATGTATGCCTATTCAAACCATATCATTATTATTTGCTTTTATATATAAATCAGAAATAACCAATTTAAAATGGAAAATGTTAAAGAAAAAAAAGGAAAAAAAAAATCCCCCCCCCCAATTTTTTGAACCCCCTTATGATTTATCGCCCCCAAACTCAATCCCAGCTTTCCCTTTGTGGTATGGTACCTTGCAGTACAATTTCAGAGAGATTCATACACTTGAACACAAGTTATTGTCTGGAAACTAGAAAAATGCTTGTTTTTTGGCCCCAAATTCCTAAACGTTTAGGGCAATTACCCCCAAACTCAATTCCAGCTTTCCCTTTGTGATATGGAACCTTGCAGTACAATTTCATAAAGATCCATACACTTACACACAAGTTATTGTCCTGAAACTAGAAAAATGCATGTTTTTTTTTGCCCTTTTATGGCCCCTAATTACTAAAATTTTGAGGGAAAACCCCCAAAATCAATCCCAGCCTTCCCTTTGTGATATGGAACCTTGTAGTACAATTTCATAAAGATCCATACACTTACAAACAAGTTATTGTCATGAAACTAGAAAAATGCTTGTTTTTTGGCCCCTAATTCCTAATATTTGGAGGAAATTACCCCAAAAATCAATCCCAGTATTCCCTTTGTGATATGGAACCTTGTAGTACAATTTCATAAAGATCCATACACTTACAAACAAGTTATTGTCATGAAACAAGAAAAATGCTTGTTTTTTGCCCCTTTTTGGCCCCTAATTCCTAAAATTTGGAGACAATTACCCCCAAAATCAATCCCAGCATTCCCTTTGTGATATGGAACCTTGTGGTACAATGTCAGAGAGATCCATACACTTACACACAAGTTATGTCTGGAAGTTACAAAAATGCTTATTTTTGGCCCCTTTTGGCCCCTAATTCCTTAACTGTTAGTACCATAACCCCCAAAATCAATCCCCACCTTCCTTTTGTGGTATTGAACCTTATGGTAAAATTTCAATGAGATCCATTCACTTAAACTAAAGTTAGAGTGCGAAAACTAATGTGTATTCGGACGACGACGCCTGACGACGACGACGACGACGCCGCCAACGTCATACCAATATACGACCACAAAAATTTTTTTGCGGTCGTATAAAAATAATTAATCAGCACTGATTTTCTAACTCGTCCAAGACATGACATCAGTTTCATAAAAATCTGGCAAAAATTGAACACATGAGAGCACTAACAAGACTGGACGGAGTTGAGGGAAGCCTGGTATTTCTATGTCCCATGCAATGCGGTGCATGGGGGACAAAAAAGGGAACAACCAATCTCATTCTAACAATGAAATGTTTCACAGGGCAACTTGATACGACCTCAGAGATCTAATCCTGAACAGTTGGGGCAAGTACAGACACAACATTCCAGATTGAATTTGGATTGTGATTAAATATTTGACACAGCACAGGTTTCTGACACTGAATGAATGTGGTCCAAGAACTTAAAAATTTGAAATTGGACACTTACCAATTATGGTCAAATATCCAAAATCTAAATACATGGTTCGATTCAGCATATGAAAGAACCCCAAGAATTCAATTTTTGATTAAATCAAACTAATTTTATTTTGGACCCTTTGGACCGCAATGTAAACCAATTTAAAAACGGGACCTTGGTTAACATTGGCCAAATGGTTCAATAGAAGATGAAAATGTGAAAAGTGTGTAGATTCCCTAGATGCCAATAGCTCAGATTGATTTTTTTGGTGTGCTAAATATATTTCTCTGCATTGCCTTTGATAAATGTTTCTTCAATGTAAAATTTCACAGATTCCATTTGAATTCCAAGACCACTGTAGAGGTTATAATATTTATCAACTTTTAAAGTGTCTATGTAAGTCAAGTATCTGCGGCTCTTTTCACAAAAAATCTTAAAGAGTAAAAATACTCGTAAGTCATACACATGTCAGTATAATTTTAATCGTAAGATTTTTTGTTAAAAAGAGTCCCTGGCTCGTTATTTCCTTAGAATGTTTCAATTGGGTTACTAGTCAGGTTAATAGCTGTTCTTATGAAATTGCATTGACATTAAAAAAAAAATTGCATTGACATTAAAAAAAAAATTGCAATTACAGAGCAAGTCAATAGATCATGTTTTAATTGCATACAGAATTTTATATAAATCAGTGCATCATCTACTTCAACTTGACATCAATGCTGCAAGATCTTAAGATTTCTTTCATATATGAATCTATTTGAAGCCAATGTGATGGAAAAATTGGATGGTGTACAGGGTACTTTTTAATATGATTAGATTGATTTTTGAATTTCTAAAACAAAATTGATACCATTGTTTCACTTGATATTAAGTATTCTTACCTACAACACAACAGGTGTTTGCCATTATAGAAAGATTGATTGATTTCAATGCTATTTTGTGGCGGTCAATTTTTATTGGCGACGGAAGCTGGAGTGGCCCGAGAGAATCACTGACCTTCGGTAGGAAAACTGACAATCCTAGTCGATTAAGATTGGGGTCGAGCACACATGCCACGTGGGGGAATGGAACTCGCAAGCTGTGTTGACAGGCTAGTGATGCAGAATTTCGACTACTTAGACCACTGAGGCCAGAAAGATATTTCATAATAGCTCAACCTTCAATGTAGAAACAAAAAATAAATCATTTAAAAAAACAGTATGGACTTAAGCAAAAATTTGCGACATGAACATGAGAAAAACAGTATGTATGTCACAAAAAACAGAAAAAAGACATCTAGTTGATTTCATTCAAGTCATTTGATCTCTGGTGGATAGTGGTCACATTGGCAATCATATAAGATGTGATCTTGAATTGTGATTTATTGGACATGGAAATGTGTAACTGTGAGTGAGGAATGGCTTCATATGGAAACAATTTCCTTTTTACTTTTCAAGTTGTTGGGACCACGTTTTCCTGATACAGAATAGACTGACAAGTGCAGAGACCTGAAAGCATAATGCCCATTACTTTTGTAGGCATGGCATAAAAGCTGGACATATCAAATGTCTTAATTTTAAATCAGGATTGTAATCTCACTCAATAAGATCCCAACCTCCATTTTCTAAACATTTGAACAGTTTGCATGGTAATGACAATGAAATAGGACTGTAATTCAGTGGTTGTTGTTTAATGCTGTGTTATATCTGTTTTAGTTTATTTTTTCATAAATAAGGTCACTGGATTTTTCATTGGAATTGTTTCACATTTAGTTATATCATGTCTAGCCTTTTCAAGCCGACTATACGGTAACCGTTTTGCTAAAGGTTTTCCTTGTACGAGTTGCAACGTTTCAAACTAACAGCAAACAGGTAGTGGCTACACGCCAGATGTAAGAATTGCTTACCCCCTACATCTCAATATTATGAAGCTGCAGACAAATATAAAATCATTCCCTTCCATAGAAGCCAAGAAAAGTTTGAAGAAAGTTTTTCTTGTACAATGTGTGTTGTAAAATTTCAATCTAACAGCAAACATGAAGTGGATGCATGGCAGATGTATATGAAATAAATGGGGAATGTGTCCATGGGACACAGATGATGCCCCCGCTTGCATATAACATTATAAAGGGACATAACTCAAGAACTGTAAAAGTGACGCTACCCAAATTTGTACTTGATCTGAGTTTTGTGGTAGTAAGCATTGTTTATCAGTATCATAACATTTATTTGAGGCAAACTTAAGTTTGAGAACAGAATCGAAAAATTCAGCAAATTTTCCATTTGTAAAGGGGCACAACTCTTTAACGGTAAAAGTGATGCCACCAAAATTCAAACTTGATCTGTGTTTTGTGGTAATAAGCATTCTGTATAGGTAGCAATACAGTTAGGAAAAAAACTTAAAATTGACACTCATAATTTTTAACCACCCTCTTTCCCTTCCTTTCTAACAAATAAGGCTTAATATTTGTGTTATGCATGTATATATTTATGGAAAGAGCATCTTCCATAGATTTGATTTCCAATAGTTATAATGGTGAAATATAATCTCTTTTTGGTGTAACCATGGCAACAATCTGCATTTATTTGATACAAAATATTGCAAAAAGGGGGGTAAAAATGTCCCAAAAGTCTCCAAAATTTGGTCCAAAGGAGAATTTCAATCCATTAGAGTGATACCTTTCCGGAAACCATAGACATTTATCTATCAAGAGGTCCAAAAAAATCATATGCATTTCTGCTCGTTTTTCCATAAAATTGAATTGAAAAGATCGAGGGTCAAATCTTTGTTGAAAAACACTACAATAATTTCTGGACCTATGGACGGTACGGATGTGAAAATACGGACTGTCAAACAGAAAAATGGCCTATAAAACATGCTAAAAACAATCTAGATGTTCATATAAACCCACTTGGAAGGCTATATTATTCTTCAACTATCTAAATATCAATTTTATTGTACAAAAACTTTCATATTTAAAAAATTCACCATGGCCAAAATGTGAAACTAAACTTCTAACTGTGTATTGCTACCATAAGTTTCATAACATTTGGTCGAGGCAAACTTAAGTTAGAGAACGGAAACGAAAAATTCAGCAATTTTTCCATTTGTAAAGGGACATAACTCTAGAATGGTAAAAGTGACGCCACCAAAATTCAAACTTGATCTGTGTTTTGTGGTCACAAGCATTGTGTATAAGTTTCATAACATTTGGTTGAGGCAAACTAAAGTTAGAGAACGGAAACCAATTTTGGGACGTACGTACGTACAGACAAACAAGGGTAAAACTTAAAAGCCCCCTCTGCTACGGCAGGGGCATAAAAAAAGGTTTTGGAGAGAGTTTCCTACCCAGTATTCTGGACGGACAGTCAAACGGTTACTAGACTGTGACACAGGTAAAAATCTTGCCACTTAGTCATTTTTTAGTCTGTTCAATTAACAGAAGTCATGAACAAGATTCAAAAGGAAGTTCTGAAGTAATCTATCAAATTTTCTGTTAAAAATTAAGTCAACCAAAATAAAATGCTAGCTTGTGAAACTTCTCATTATATACAATATGGACTTATCAGCTCATTGAAAAGAAAATTCTAAAACAGAGAGCCTAAGACATCTTAAATAACAGATTAATAACTGAAGCATGTCTACTTCTTTATTTGAGACATTAATAAATATGAGTAACTAAAGGACATCTGGCATTTATTTATGTTTTTTTCTACTCAACAAGCTGCTGAGAACTCATTAAATAATATGCGTTAGCATATAGAATGATATCTTTTTATAATGATATTTCAACACTTGAGTCTTTTTGATAGTTTATTTGCAGTTTACAAACGACGACCTCTGCGACCTCCCTTCCTTCTGGTACTGTCTGATGGGATAGGTGTAACATCCTCTGAAAAAAAGAGCAATTTTTTGATTTAATGTTTAGTGATCATGCATTTTATAGAGGTTGCTGAACTTGAAGAAGACAAGGCCAAAAAATATTGTGAGTTCAGAATTTCCTGACAGACTACAATTTTGAGCTCTGGCAACTAGATTTGTGAAGATTTATCCAAAAACTTTCCCAAACAAATCATTTGTTACAATTGCTAACTTATTTTACCAAAATTTGTTACAAAAATATACCAAAGCCACATTTGTTTTGTTTAATGACAATTTGCAAATAGTGAAGTGATATACCTTATCATAATCAGATTCTGATTTTTTTGAATACCAGGAAATTTTCCATATTGAAATAATTTGTCTAGATTTGACAAAAAATATATTAAATTTGAACCTACATGTACAGATCATTTAATATTCAAAAAGGTTAAATATACATATTTTTGTGCTATTATGTATTTAAATTAAATCTCATTATTCCAATTTCCAAATATGAAGGACCACCAAGTTTATAGTAGGACCAGCAAGTTAAAAGTTTAGGAAACAGCAGCAAATTAAAAACCTATTCAGGATGAGAACATGTTAATATGATATGAATATGAACCCTGCTTTGACCTAGACCGACACACTGAGTCGGATTATTAACTTGCTAGTTCACAAAATAACATTCAGCAGGAAGACATGTCACCTCACTAGGACACATTATTCTAACTCTGAGCTGACCAGTCTTTGATCATACTCCTTAATGCAGTGATTTAGCTGAAAAACAGCAATTTCCAATTTTAAAGTATTTGGTTTGACCCAGTCAGGTAGTGTTCTCCCCAGGCCCTTAAAGGGCCGCGGGCCCGCGATGTATAATTTTTTACTGTGGTGGTATCGTTCTTACCGCGATGTATAATTTTTCTCCGTGGTGCTAAAATTTTCAGTTAAAAAATCGTAAATCGGTAAAGTTTTAAACGACTTGTTAAATCTTTTCCGTGCGGTATAAAATTCCAGGTGAGATTTGACCAGTTCAAAACAGATTGTTTACACCACGTGATCGATTTACCGTATGCGGTTAACCTTGTTGATTGGATTTAATCGATGTAATTAACACTTGTAACATGATTCTTTTGTGTTTTAATTAAGAGTTCATAACTTTATGTTCACAGATAACTATTTTATGGCTTCACTCTCCACCCAAGCACTGACCTGTGACAAGTCGTCAAATACTTTGTACACAAACACTGAAACAGTGTCTTGACCCGATAGGAACATTTTTTGTACATCATAACGGTGGCTCATTCCGTATAATGGACAACTATACATTTCCCAATTCTTATATTATAGTATTATATGTCCCTGATTAAACCATGGCCAATATTATCTTTAATTATGACATTGTTATTGCATGAAAGTCGGGTTTCAAACTGTCTGTACATATCACATGACCCAGTTAGTTCACGTAGAATATTCAAGTTTATTTACAATTAATTGCAATCTATTATATTTTATAAATAAAATGCATGACTGTACCTTCAAACTGGATATCTATATCCATAATTAATGAATAACAGAAGTAATCTTGCAAATTTTATCCATAAGCACATGTTAAATATTTTTATATCTACTTCCTGTCATTTAGGCAGGAAAGTAGGGAGACTTAGTTGTTGACATTGAATATGGTTACTTATAGATCTATAGACCAAAGATAAATTTATAGATTTAGGAATTCTTTTTAAATGGTTCATGACAAATAAAGATTTAGATTTTAGGGCAGTATTAAGACTGTATCTATGTTTGATTATCACCAAAGACAAGAAAGGTTAATATTTACATGAAATCTATGGCAAAATGTTCTAAAATTTATGAAAAATTTCTTTTTATTAAAATCTAAGATAGAAACTGGTTCAAATAATAAAACAATATTTGCAATTGTTCTTGTTAATTTTATATCTTCTTATGACAGGAATCCTTTCACATACAACAACTTTTTTTCTAGAAACTAGAATGTTTTTTAAATTGGAACATTTTTGTTCTCTTTTGAATGATATTTTATTTTTATTGATTTTGGATTTTATAAAAGATTTAATTACTTTAAATTCAGATGAATATTTTATTATGAATCATAATTTATTTATTTTAAAAAAATATTAAAGTATACAAACTGTTTTTTTTATTTACTTCTTTTTTACCAATAATTTTTTGAATCAATGTCTACATAACACAGTACCACAGTGTTAAAACAAAACAAGAGACATAAAAACTACAGTAACTAGAGCAAAGCGACGCGATGCGACACAACTGATTGCATGAAATATTTCACCAAGAAGTCCACACGCGTTACCCTGGTGCTATCCAAAAATCCTGGGGAGAACACTGAGTCAGGGATCCAGGGATTGAACTCACGACCTCCAGCACTCAAGGCTAACACACCTATTATGAGACCATTGAAGTAACCTTTGTAGACTAAACAGTGAAAATTGTCTAGTGAAAGAATGTTAGCCTTGCAACAAATTTTAATTACTTACCAATTCTGCCAATTTTCATTCCTGATCGAGCTAAAGCTCTAAGAGCTGACTGAGCTCCAGGTCCAGGTGTCTTGGTCCTGTAATCAGAATAATTTTTTTCACAGTCAGAATTAACATTTCTACTAAGTTTAAAGATAGAACGCTTTCATAGAGTTGGGAACAATAAAGGCACAACTATGGTTGTACAATGATGAGTTTTATTAATAATATTGAGTGTGTGTGTGCAGGCTGTTTAACATCTTAATAAGATGGTCGTAAACAGGGATAAGTGTATGGACACACAGGAATCAGCTTACATGTTGCTTTAAAAAAAATTGCATGAAACTCGATGAATAATGAGCTAATCATAAAAATGTTGCACAAAAATTACCCGTTACCATTGGCTGTTAAAGATCTAGTGATTTAAAATCAAAGAATATATATTAAAGTTATCTAGGTAGGTGATGAACTAAAATATATCATTAAACTGATTAGTTCATGTCAAGACTCTACCATACTGCATCACTGTCAAGCCAAAAAATATGTGTTTATTGTTTCCTAAAAATTATATGGTAGATAGGTTAGAAATCATTATTGTTTTAAAGTCACAATTCAGAAAATATCATGTCTTCACTTGCCACCCAAGAATATGCATTATTATAAAATTATTGACTTTAATGAGTGATACAATGATTTATCAACCCCAGAGATATGATATTCACTAAGGCCAAAGGCCGAGGGTGAATGTCATATTTCTGTGGTTGATAAATCATTGCATCAACTGATATCAAAAGTCAACAATTTTTTTTATTATAATATGATATTTTATTCTTCTCCAATTTCCTAATATTAAATTTGCTCAAGATACTTTTAAAACTGCTCCTTGTTTTTATCCTAAATATATCATCTACTTTTGCAGTTGCTAACTTTAATAAAAAAAAAAAATACACCAAAAACAAAAGGAAGAGAAAAATATTTGCACGACGTCAAAAACGTACGTCATTGACGTTGCCTTGGAACATCTTTATTTAGGTACACGTTAGCTGTTCCAAATCTTAAATTAACCTCTCGTGATTATTCCCACATTGAATATAATGTTTTATCAAAGAAGACTCTGTATGCTTTTAGCCAAGGAGAAAAGAGAATTTTTTTAGTCATAATGATATAATAATATTTATTTTATTTTTTTGTGATCAGAGTTTTTTCAAGAAACAAATTTCTATTTTCAGATAAGTTGTGGTATGAATACTTTAAATTGTAATCAAGGACAATTCCTAAGTGCTAGCATCACATTATTTATTCATTTTTTTCACATTTAATTTTGGTTTAAAATAATAAACTGGCAAAATATCCAAAGCTCCCTCGACCCCCCCTAGCAAACAGCCCCATCTATCCTAAGATAATAATATCAAAAATAAAATGCTCCGCAGGGCGCAGCTTGATACGACCGCAGAGGTCGAACCCTGAACAGTTGGGGGAAGTATGGACACAACATTCAAGCTTGATACAGCTTTGGATTTGGATTGTGATTAAATATTTGACACAGCATAGGTTTCTAACACAGATTGAATGTGGTCTAAGAACTTAAAAATTTAAAATTGGACATTCACCTATTATGGTCCAATATCCAAAATCTAAATACATGGTTAGATTCAGCATATCAAAGAACCCCAAGAATTCAATTTTTGATGAAATCAAACAAAGTTTAATTTTGGACCCTTTTGACCTCAATGTGGACAAAGTTGATAACGGGGCCCAAAAATCAAAAATCTAAATACATGGTTAGATTCAGCATATCAAAGAACCCCATATATTCAATTTTTGTTGAAATCAAACAAAGTTTAATTTTGGACCCCTATTTGGACCAACTTGAAAACTGGGCCCATAATCAAAAATCTAAATACATGTTTAGATTCAGCATATCAAAGAACCCTAAGAATTCAATTTTTGTTAAAATCAAACTAAGTTTAATTTTGGACCCTTTGGACCTTAATGTAGACCAATTTGAAAACGGAACCAAAAATTAAGAATCTAAATACACGGTTAGATTCGGCATATCAAAGAACCCCAATAATTCAATTTTTGATGAAATCAAACAAAGTTTAATTTTGGACCCTTTTGACCTCAATGTGGACAAAGTTGATAACGGGGCCCAAAAATCAAAAATCTAAATACATGGTTAGATTCAGCATATCAAAGAACCCCATATATTCAATTTTTGTTGAAATCAAACAAAGTTTAATTTTGGACCCCGATTTGGACCAACTTGAAAACTGGGCCCATAATCAAAAATCTAAATACATGTTTAGATTCAGCATATCAAAGAACTCTAAGAATTCAATTTTTGTTAAAATCAAACTAAGTTTAATTTTGGACCCTTTGGACCTTAATGTAGACCAATTTGAAAACGGAACCAAAATTTAAGAATCTAAATACACAGTTAGATTCGGCATATCAAAGAACCCCAATAATTCAATTTTTGATGAAATCAAACAAACTTTAATTTTGGACCCTTTGGACCTCAATGTGGTCAAAGTTGATAACAGGGCCCAAAAATCAAAAATCTAAATACATGGTTAGATTCAGCATATCAAAGAACCCCATATATTCAATTTTTGTTGAAATCAAACAAAGTTTAATTTTGGACCCCGAATTGGACCAACTTGAAAACTGGGCCCATAATCAAAAATCTAAATACATGTTTAGATTCAGCATATCAAAGAACCCTAAGAATTCAATTTTTGTTAAAATCAAACTAAGTTTAATTTTGGACCCTTTGGACCTTACTGTAGACCAATTTGAAAACTGAACCAAAAATTAAGAATCTAAATACACGGTTAGATTCGGCATATCAAAGAACCCCAATAATTCAATTTTTGATGAAATCAAACAAAGTTTAATTTTGGACCCTTTTGACCTCAATGTGGTCAAAGTTGATAACAGGGCCCAAAAATCAAAAATCTAAATACATGGTTAGATTCAGCATATCAAAGAACCCCATATATTCAATTTTTGTTGAAATCAAACAAAGTTTAATTTTGGACCCCGATTTGGACCAACTTGAAAACTGGGCCCATAATCAAAAATCTAAATACATGTTTAGATTCAGCATATCAAAGAACCCTAAGAATTCAATTTTTGTTAAAATCAAACTAAGTTTAATTTTGGACCCTTTGGACCTTAATGTAGACCAATTTGAAAACGGAACCAAAATTTAAGAATCTAAATACACAGTTAGATTCGGCATATCAAAGAACCCCAATAATTCAATTTTTGATGAAATCAAACAAACTTTAATTTTGGACCCTTTGGACCTCAATGTGGACCAATTTAAAAACGGGGCCCAAAATCCAAAAACTAAATACATGGTTAGATTCAGCATATTAAAGAACCCCATGAAATCAAGAATAAAACCCCATTGAAATTGGTCAAGAAATAAGCAATTTATAGGAAGTATCTTCTTTTGCACAATCCTGTGCTATTAAATATTTCTTGCTATTGCGCAATACTGTACAATTGACAATTTCTTGCTATTGCGCAATATTGTGCTATTGGATATTTCTTGCTATTGCGCAATACTGTGCAATTGAAGATTTCTTGCTATTGCGCAATACTGTGCAATTGAAGATTTCTTGCTATTGTGCAATACTGTGCAATTGAAAATTTCTTGCTATTGCACAATACTTATTATATAATAATTTACACATCCTGTTTGGTGTGTATCTCCTACCATATCATTATTATTTGATTTTAAATATAAATCAGAAATAACCAACTTAAAATGGAAAATTTTAAAAGAAACAAAAAAGGAAAAAAAGGAAATAAACTGCTTCGCTGAGCGCAGCTAGATACGCCCGCAGAGGTCAAACCCTGAACAGTTGGGGCAAAAATGGACACAATATTCCAGCTTGATTCAGGTCTGAATTTGGATTGTAATTAAATATTTGACATATTATAGGTTTCTGAATAAATGTAGTCAAAGATCTTGAAATTGGTTATATGAATTGAATTTATATTCAATTAAAGATTTCTTGCTGTTGTGCAATACTTAGTAAATCTGTTGTCAGACTATAAACAAATAAAGTTCAATTAATTCTCAATATCATATAAGAAATTTATGAAAATAAAAAGGGAGCTTACATCAATAGATATAAACAATTCACCAAAGTTTCATGAGAATTTGTGACAGCATTTTTGAGTTATTGTCCGAAAAATGGAAAATTACCCCTTTTTTTAATGAATAAAACCCCATAACTCAGAAATGTAAAATGTAAAATTTATAAAATTCTAAAGGGAGCTTACAGCAATACATACAAACAATTCACCAAAGTTTCATAAGAACTGCTGAAAGCATTTTTGAGTTTTTGTCCGAAAACTGGATAATCCCTCCTTTTTTTATGAATAAAACCCTGTAACTCGGAAACGTAAAATCTAAAATTTAAAAAAATCGAAAGGGAACTCATGTCAATAGATATAAACAATTCACCACAATTTCTTGCAAGTTGGTGAAAGCATTCTTGACTTATTGTCCGAAAACTTGAAAATCCCCCTTTTTTTAATGAATAAAACCCCATAACTCGGAAACGTAAAATCTAAATTTTATAAAAAACGAAAGGGAGCTCACGTCAATAGATATAAACAATTCACCAAAGTTTTATGCAAATTAGTTAAAGCATTTTTGAGTTAATGTCCGACATGTTGACGACGGACAGACGGACGGACAGACGGACAACGGTATACCATAATACGACCCGTAAACGGGCGTATAAAAATGGAAAAAAAAATAAATCCCCCCCCAAAATTTTTTGAACCCCCATTATGATTCATCACCCCCAAACTCAATCCCAGCCTTCCCTTTGTGGTATGGTACCTTGCAGTACAATTTCAGAGAGATCCATACACTTGAACACAAGTTATTGTCTGGAAACTAGAAAAAAATGTGTTTTTTGGCCCCTTTTTGGCCCCAAATTCCTAAACGTTTAGGGCAATTACCCCCAAACTCAAACCCAGCTTTCCCTTTGTGATATGGAACCTTGTAGTACAATTTCAGAAAGATCCATACACTTACACACAAGTTATTGTCATGAAACTAGAAAAATGCTTGTTTTTTGCCCCTTTTTTGGCCCCTAATTCCTAAAATTTGGAGGCAATTACCCCCAAAATCAATCCCAGCATTCCTTAAGTGATATGGAACCTTGTGGTACAATGTCAGAGAGATCCATACACTAACACACAAGTTATGTCTGGAAGTTACAAAAATGCTTATTTTTGGCCCCTTTTTCCTTTACTGTTATTACCATAACCCCCAAAATCAATCCCAACCTTCCTTTTGTGGTATTGAACCTTGTGGTAAAATTTCATAAAGATCCATTCACTTAAACTAAAGTTAGAGTGCGAAAACCAATGTGTCTTCGGACGACGCCGACGCCGGATGACGACGACGACGACGTCATACCAATATACGACCACAAAAATTTTTTTGCGGTCGTATAATAAATTGGGAATGTGTCCATGGGGCACAAATGATGCCCCTGCTTGCATACAACTTTATAAAGGGACATAACTCAAGAACGGTATAAGTGACCCTTCCCAAATTCAAACTGGATCTGAGTTTTGTGGTAATAAGCATTGTGTATAAGTTTCATAACATTTGGATGACGCTAACTTAAGTTAGAGAACGGAAACAAAAAATTCAGCAATTTTTCCATTTGTGAGAGGCATAACTCTAGAATAGTAAAAGTGATGCCACCAAAATTCGAACTTGATCTGTGTTTTGTGGTAATAAGCATTGTGTATAAGTTTCATAACATTTTGTTGAGGCAAACTTAAGTTAGAGAATGGAAACGAAAAATTCAGCAATTTTTCCATTGGAAAAGGGGCATAACTCTGGAATGGTAAAAGTGATGCCACCAAAATTCAAACTTGATCTGTGTTTAGTGGTTATAAGCATTGTGTAAAAGTTTCATAACATTTTATTGAGGCAAACTTTACTTAGAGAACGGAAATTTAAAATTCAGCAATTTTTCCATTTGTAAAGGGGCATAACTCTAAAACAGTATAAGTGACGCCACCAAAATTCAAACTCGATCTGTGTTTTGTTGTAATAAGCATTGTGTATAAATTTTATGACATTTGGTTGAGGCGAACTAAAGCTAGAGAACGGAAACCAATTTCGGGATGTACGCTACGGCGGGGGCATATAAATTTAACAGTTCATAAATATCATCAAAGGGGCAATAACTCTAATAAGGATTGCCCGAGACAAATTTTGATGAATAAAGTTGATCTGTGAAGCAAAAATGCAAATAATGGGTAAAAATAGTAATTTAAGGGCATGCCCCCCACCTCTTCATATTTAAATTTTCTCAATCCTGACGAGTCTGTATTTTAAACGCCTATTGTAAATATCATAGAAAATGGCTATAGGATCAATCCATTAGAATTACCTATTTCCTCCAGTAGCTCTCAGTTTGATGTGTAGGGCATTAATTCCCAAAGTTTTACATTTTTCAGCTACATCCTGTGCAGCCAACATAGCAGCATATGGGGATGCTTCATCTCTGTCAGCCTTCACTTTCATTCCACCAGTGACTCTGGCAATGGTTTCCCTATAACACAGAGAAAAAGATAAAAAAATCTACAACATTAATTAATTGATCATTCATAATCGTTTCACAAATGGTCCTTGTTATGCGAGAAGAAGCTCCTTCACCATATAAAAATTCTCAATATACTAATGTGAAACAAAGGATAAGTTTCATGGACAAGTTATTATTATTTTTTAGTCACTTTACCAGTTAAAACAAGATTATGTTGGACTTTCTAACTCATGCATTTTTGGCAAAAGGTTTTTATATCAACAACTCAAACTGCCGTCCCCTTCATATTTCTTTCAACATTTGAAATATACAGACCAATGATTAACAACATTTTTTTTTAATCCAATTGGCCAGTCTTTACCATAAAGTTTTGAATCCATAGGCCTGAAGCCAAATTTTACGAAAATTTTAGTTAATTATGATATATAAAATTTAAATGCATTTTAAGTTTCAGAATATTAAAAACTTAACTGGATTTTGCTATTCATTTTTTTTTCCATTCCTGCAGAAGGTGCCAATATAAACTAAGTTGGGGAAAAGGTTTGAGAAGCTCCCCTCATATAATAAATGTTGTGAGTAGTATTGATTTAAATGGACAATAGATATCTGCAACCAAATGGGTGATTTAAACTGTGTACCTCAGTGGGCCGTATCAAATGAAACTCATGTGTTCTTTTATTTTGCTGTCTTCTGCAGACTAGAAAAAAGTGCACATCAAATTCCAGGTAAGTTTTTAATTTTCTGAAACAAACTACATATAACTTTTATATATCTAGGTCCAGCCATGCCTTAAAAGTTTCCTAGATGCATCAGTTTGTCTGTACTCATAGTAGATTTTGTGGTGTAAACACAGCCATATTTTTCAATTCCTTTTGATGAACCTTAACTTGTAAATCAGTAAGGTAAAAAAAAAACACATATGTCTTTTTTTAGTTACCCAACCGACCCTTATTTGAGTGCCAACTCTAAGTCATTTTATTTCTGTTGTAAGAGAGAAAAATTAACTGAACTTGTGTCAAAAGGGAAGTTAGAGTTGCCAATAAATCTAATCATTTGCCCGATGCATGCCAATGTTCACAATCATGAATATGACAGCTGTTTTAAGGAAACTTACTACTCATGTGATGAAATAAACACTTTGCCGCTATTTTTTTTCCAAACAATAACCAAGGGAAAAAATCCAATCATTAAAAATACAGGTAAACTCGGCCAATGGATAACTCTGATCACAGCAATACTGATCGCACATCTCAAAAATCATGTTGCAAAAAATAAAATGGAAATTCTGACGTACCTACCTTATTTTTTAAAAAAGATTTAACTTTAAACAGACATGCATTATTTTTTTTTGCCTAATAATTTAAATTTTTCAGGCCATCAATAAGGAAGTGGTAACCTGTACTTTTACCCCCATTGAGCTTCTGATAAGTACAGTATCACCTGAATTTAGGAATTTTTATATAAGGCATTCATGGAATATATTGAAAAGTACCACCTAGAAATGGAAAAATACCTGTAAACATAAAAGATAATGAAACCCCAGATTCATGCAATTGATAATTATCAGAATTGACTGCATACTTTGTCAGTCAAAAGCAATATGAACTTTCCTGCATCATTGAAAATGAGCTATATAGAATTTCTCTTGCATTCACATCACTTCAATTAATATGGAGTCATTTATTCTAAGCCAGTACTTAAAACCTTCCATCCTTTATGGGTGGATTTTACAAAGATAAATAAAATCGTATAATAAAAAAGCAAAATGAGGCTGTTAAATTTGATGTATGTCTTTTTGTGCTTCTTTGTTACATTTGTTTGTTTTTATAGTGATTAAGATGATAACACAATGTTGACTGCTGTACCCCTATTTTTGACATTTTTACCTATTGTGTCTGTTTGTTTTGTTCACGCATCGTCGTCAATATAATGGAATTTGATGCGATTGTCATACAAGTGAGAGGTTTAGCTAGCTATAAAACCAGGTTCAATCCACCATTTTCTACACAAGAAAATGCCTGTACCAAGTCAGGAATATGACAGTTGTTATCCATTCGTTTGATGTGTTTGAGCTTTTGATTTTGCTATTTGATTAGGAACTTTCCTTTTTGAATTTTCCTCGGAGTTCAGTATTTTTATGATTTTACTTTTTACTAAGTATTGAAATCTTTTTGGTAAAATGTAGGCTTGATCATAGAATCAATGGGGACTTCGTCACTACCTCACTTTTTACTTAACCATGTCAAACCAATCCCCCCCCTTTTTTTAGAAGTTTAACTGTAAATCCACTTAATTTTTACAATACAAAACACAATGGACACTTAAGTAATCAATTGCGCTGCCATTTTCATTGATAAAATATGTTTTTGCTAATCAAATATAATTCTCTGTAAATAAAAATGAGGCTGAAGTGTCAAAAGTTTCTTCCAGGTACAAATTGAACTGCGCTGCTATTGAAATGTATGGAGAGAATGAAGCACTTGGTTTCAACACTGCAAGACAAACTGAGGATACCGTTAAAGTTATACTTACTTTCCAGACAGGTCAGTCACATGTACAAATGTGTCATTGAAACTGGCAAAGATGTGTGCAACTCCAAACACATTCTCGCCTTCTTTTACTTGTGGTCCCAACACCACTTGCTCCGTCTGCTGAGTCTTCCCCTTTCTGGGTGCCATCCTGATAAAAGAAACAAAATATTGATATTATTGTTGACTACAATGTATTAATTAAAGCCTCTCTAATTTGCCATTGTGTTGGCTTCCATCGTATTTTATTATTTACACAGTTGTTTTCACGGATTACAATTCTATCAAATATAGAGTTATAATAAATGGCTGAAGATATTCAGTCAACAATATCTTTTCTTTGATACGGAAAAGAGTACTGTCCAAATGAGGCACCAAGAAGGGTATTACTCAACAAGAAAACAACCCAAAGATCTAGTTTTTAACAGAGAAAGACATCTAGATTTGACCATGCCATCTCGGACAATTATAATTTGTCAAAACCATGCCAGATAGTATAATTTTTTACCCAGTTCTACCAAAAGTTTGCAATCTGACTGTGACATACTACCAATGTGTCAGTGATGTATATGGTTAGTGTTCTTGGCATGCTGGATATGGCAAAAGGTCAACTGAAATGTTGACAACAAATTAACCAGCTTCTAAACAATTTTTTGAATGTCATGAAAATCAGTTGATTTTTAAAGAACATACAATCTACAGAAATTCCATGTTTAGACAGACATTCTGTGAAGGCTGTTTTCCCTTTTATACCTCTCTAATGCTTTCATATGCTTACTATCGGTCAATCTGATATGCAGTTGTTGCATTTTCGAAAAACTTATAAAATGAAGAAAATTATTTAAATATCTTCTTTTGTTCGTGGCCTAGCGCAGAAAAAGGTTTTCAAAGTTTTAAATACAAACTGTGTTAAACATAAACATTATCGACAGAGGGGAAAAACAGACAGATGGAAGAGATATTTAATGATTTAACGAGAATATACATGCAGACCTCAGTCAAAATATTAGAAAAGACCTTCCGCCGGAAATAGTGTTGTTACTTCCGGTGAATTACGGATCATAATCTACGTCAATTTTTATGCTACCCTAAGTGCTTTGTTGTTTTTTTTTCTTCGGTTTTTCTGTAAAATTATGATCCACAGACGGCTAAATAAGAAGAATTGGGCGATTACCCCATTCTTAGTCTCAACTTTTCATTCGATTTAAACAAACGTTTGTAAAAATATAAATACTATTTTAGACCAGAGACATATATGGATATACTATAGGCACCAGGAGTCGGTTTCACAAAAATACTTACGACTAAGATTGATCGTAAGTCAAGAACAATTCAGTATACTTACGATACGTAAGTTTTTTTGTGAAACCGACTCCAGAGACATAAATACACATGTGTATTTATGTTTCTGCAAGGATTTGTATAGTAAGACCGGTCTTACTATACAAATCCTTGGTTTCTGCAGGCACTAACTGACAATTCAGTGGATCGCATATTTTATTTTATGTCCCACGATATACTATATATATATATATATAAACAAGTCTAAATTGAAAACAACGTTCAAACCTATGATTGCGTTGGATAAAAACCGCAATTTTTATACGTGTGCATGCAAAACAAATTTCTTGTTAGATGGGTCTAAATACAGCACAAACAACATTTTTTCAAAAGACCAAAAAAGTGAAAAAGTATATTTAAACAAAACGAATTTGACTGACAGGTCGAACAACAAATGTTCTTAAACCCTGCTGACTGCCAATGGCGATTGCCAAATAAACGGATCACCGATGTAATAAATGGATCTTAATTATAAATTTAATACTAAACAGAAAACAATAAACTTGCGGAGAAGATGATATACCGCAAACAAAAGATGCAAAGGTTTTACATATATATATATATATATATGTCAGATATTTTCAACAGATATCTAACCAGTCAAAAGTGAAATAGTGTATAATCATGTAACATATACTACGCCACGGTAAATATCTAGTCATGCAACTTGTATAAAAATAAAAAGATGTGGTATGTTTGCCAGTGAGACAACTCTCAACTAGAGACAAAATGACATAGAAGTTAACAACTATAGGTCAACGTACGGCCTTCAAAAATGATCAAAACCCATACCGCATAGTCAGCTATAAAAGGCCCCGAAATGACAAATGTAAAACAATTCAAACAAGAAACTAACAACCTGATTTATGTACAAAACAAAAGAACGAAAAACAAATATGATACACGGCAACAAACGACAACCAATGAATTACAGGCTCCTGATGTATAGTCTGAATAAATAGTTATCACCAAATTGAAGTTAATATCCTATATCTGTATATATATACATACCACATATCCTTATTTGTATATATATATTGACAACTTAACAAAGATTATGTTAGATTAAAAGTCATTGCTAGAATGAAGAATGCCCACATAGTATTATGGCCGGCATTCTCATAATATATTTGATAATCATCCATGATTGACCTCCATTCTAAAAAAATAACTTTTCCACATTACTGCTGATTCAAATTGGCTGACAATGACAATTATGAAAATAAGGAGATTTTCATAGTTCGAAGTTCATAAGCTTTATCAATAGACGAGGGAGTGGTATGATTGCCAATGAAACAACTTAATACCAGCGGACGATGATGTTCCCTGATAATGCAACAGAGTAAAACCAGAGCGTAGCCAGTCTGTCATTAACTTGTATATATAAGCATGTAGGTCACTTTTCGTAATACTTCATTAAAATTAATGCAAACCAATAAAAATACTTTCGAGTAGGGATGGCGGTGTTGGAAAAGTAACGCCTTCTACATCCCAAACTTGTGAAATTTAAAAAAAAAACCAAATATACAGTATATTACGATTTCTGTCTTTCCGGTTAAAAAGTAGGAATCGCAAAACTTAGTTTAGAATTTCTAGTGCTTAACATATTCGCATCAAAAGAGGGGAAAAGGAGAGGGGGATAGAGTATTATAAAGTATTAAAACTATGAGAACATGTTGTAGCTAGTAATATCATGAAACATCTAGACACAAAATGAAATTCTGTATGACTTACAACATGGTTTTCGATCATCCCGTTCCTGTGAAACTCAGTTAATATCATTTATTCAAGATCTTGCAAATTCAAATAATAAAAACATTCAAACAGACATCATAATAATGGATTTCGCAAAAGCATTTGACAAAATTTCACACCATCACCTCATATATAACATTGGCTTCTATGGTATGAATTGCAATGCATTACATTTGATTCAAGACTTTTTATAAACAAACAGAACACAAACAGTAGTCCTTGAAGGTGAAACATCAAATAAAGTTCCTGAAACATCTAGAGTTGTATTACGAAAAGTGACCTGCATGCTTATATATAGTGCTTGGACCAATTTTATTTTTAATATTAATTAATGATTTGGCAGAATATATCGAACAAAGTACATTAAGATTGCTCGCAGATGACAGCATTATTTATAGAGAAATTAAGAAACCAGATGACACATATACATTACAGTCTGATTTTGAAGCGGCCGGCAGATGGGAGCGGGACTGGCTAATGCATTTTCACCCTGATAAATGCAACATTCTCAGTGTAACACAAAAACGAAAACCTTTAGACTTCACTTACAAATTACATAATTATTCTCTCGAAAAAGTTGACTCTACAAAATATTTAGGCCTAACTCTTCAATCAAACTTAAAATGGGATAAACATATCGATAACATGACATCAAAAGCAAACCAGTCTCTTGGATTTATTCGCAGAAACCTTAAAATAGCCTCACTTAAAGTTAAAGCTCATGCATTTAAAGCTCTTGTCCGACCAAAATTAGAGTACTGCTCAACCATTTGGGATCCACATCAAAAACAATAAATTTCACAAATTGAAACAGTTCAGAGAACAGCAGCCCGCTTCACATGCAACCGCTTCCACAACACCAGCTCAGTTACTGATATGATGACAGACTTAAATTGGTACCACTTGAAATTAGGCGTTTAAGATACAGACTTGTTTTGAATTTCTTCTACAAAATTATACACGAAATTGTTGCAGTCGCAAAATCAAACCTTTTGATTCCACTAGACATTAGAACCAGTCATAGCAATCCACACTCATTTAGGCAAATACAAACATCTAAAGACAGTTATAAATATTCATTTTATCCGCGTACAGTTATATATAGATTGGAATCCACAACAAATAGTTTCATGTAGTACAGTACATGGATTTAAGAGTACCATCCAGGCCCTCATAGATCAATAGTCTTAGATTAGGTCTGCAATTCAGTGGTTGTCGTTTGTTGCAGTATATCATATTTGTTTTTCTTTCATTGTTTTGTACATAAATAAGGCCGATAGTTTTCTCGTTTGAACTTGTTTAATTTACACTTGTCATTTCGGGGCCTTTTATAGCTGACTATGCGGTATGGGTTTGTTCATTATTGAAGGTCGTACGGTGACCTGTAGTTGTAAACTTATGTGCCATTTGGTCTCTGGTGGAGAGTTGTCTCATTGGCAATCATACCGCATCTTCTTCTTTTTAAAGTTATATATATATATAAAGTTACATGTATTAGCCCCTCTGCATCAGGCACGAGGATGACATGCCAGGTTCACGGTGCATCTGCTCATAATATTTTATCCAAATTGTTTATTTACATACATGTATACCATGTGCGTCTATCTCCCACTTTGTCATGCAGCATCGTCCCTTGGTGGCGTTTGCAGTTAAATTACATATCCAATAAATTGCCAATTTATTTAAAGCACTTTTCATGTTGGGGTGTGTCTGAGAAGGAGGTTTACACTTGTAAACGTCGCATGGTAAATAACATCATCATTCTTTACGACAGACTAAATAGCTGATCTGAAAGGTACACCATCTACTTGCCACTATACATCATGTACTGTGTTACAACCCTAGATAACGCCGACGGGGAAAGGCATCACATCGACCACCGAAAGCTATATGTTTATGTAGCCTAGGTGGTCGAGTGGTCCAGGGCGCTGGACACGGTGCAGGCGGTGTTGCCACGAGGTAACAGAAGCAAGGGTTCGAATCCCGATGACGGAAGAACAAAAATTTGAAGATCTAACATTGTTGGGTTAAATTTGGGACGAATTATATCTATATAGATATAAGAAGATGTGGTATGAGTGCCAATGAGACAACTCTCCATCCAAGTCAAAATTTATAAAAGTAAACCATTATAGGTCAAAGTACGGTCTTCAATACGGAGCCTTGGCTCACGCCGAACAGCAAGCTATAAAGGGTATATATATTTACAAGTCTAAATTGAAAACAACGTTCAATCCTATGATTGCGTTGGATAAAAAAAGCAATTTTTATACGTGTGCATGCAAAACAAATTTCTTGGTAGAGGGATCTAAATACAGCACGAACAACATATTCCAAAAGACCAAAAAAGTGAAAAAGTATATTTTAACAAAACGCATTTGACTAGCAGGTCAAACAACGGATGATCTTAAACCCTGATGACTGCCATGGCGATTGCCAAACAAACGGATCACCAGATGTAACAAAATAGATCTTAATTATTAATTTAATACCAAACAGAAAACAATAAACTTGCGGAAAAGATGGTATACCGCAAACATGAGGTGCAAAAATTTGTACACCATATCCGGATTTCAACAATTAATGTCTCTTCAGTGATGTTAGGAATCGAAACGGTATTTGGAAGGCCATATAATTTACCTCAATTCAGGATTGACTCTTGAATTTTGAAGAGTCGAAATAGGATGAACGGATTATATAAACCCGAAGGCAAATATATATATATGTATGTGTAGTTCATTCATGTTCAAACTTCCTTTTGTTTTCTTCGTATGAATACTTCATTATTGTTTTATGTTGTTGTCTAAATAATGTCATATTGTAATATATATGCTCTTTGTGGGCCCATTTAAAACATCTTCTTCTTCTTTTTCTATATATATCTAAAAATAAATAGTCGATTTAGTATTGTATGTGTATTCAGTTATAAAAATCAGTTGTTTTTAACAGATTAACAACTGAATTTTAAGATAGAAATCTATAAAAAATATCTCTGTAGAAATCCTCAAGCAATAACTATATTGGGCAACACAAAAATGGGATGCTGACGGGCACCTGGTAATGATCTCGCGAGATTACGGTGGTAGACGAAAACTGTCGAGTTCTCCCGATCGGATATTATTGTTTTGGACAGCTGAATTTGCCCACTTGCCACTTGGGCTTATTTTCAGTACTTTCATCAAAATTTTCTAACGATATTTACAGTAAAAAAGTCCTTTTAAACATATTCAATCAAATTCTTAACGATTATTAAATAAATAACGATGCTAGTGAGCGAAAACAACACGAGAAAATACTGGGAGCAGTCGACAATGTTGGGTTCAGACTTGCGCCTTCGGGCTTGAAACAAAGAACCCTTTATCATTATGGATTTCGTGTTTGATTGGGATAACGAAGGGGATAGATTTTCATTTGATGACAGCGATCGGTTTGACGAAGACTCCTTGTGTTCGTGGATAAGCGAGCCGGAAAGTCTTTGTCAGAATTGGAGAGGTTGGAAAAGGCAAAATGGGGGTCAACAACCGTCCAGTATAACTAAGCCGCAGGGTGAGTAAATGTGGCTTTAGAAAGCCATCCAGGCGGCTTAAACAATGCATTACAGTCATTGATGAGAAATACAGCACTTTTGATGCTGTCCTATGGCAGGAGTCAATGTTACATTCCATATGTCCATGGGTCTACTTTAATTCTTTCTGTAAACACTATTGATATTTTCATTCCCTTACAGGCCTTCATTAACATTCCCTTAATATTTTGTACAAAATGTATGTCTCCTAAAACTATGTTAAACGCTGCAGTCAAAGTGCAATAGCGACTTCAATATGATGACAAAGTCTTCAAGTCTCAGTTCAAATGTCTTGAAATCTTTAGAAATACATTGAAATTTTTCTGTTTCCAGGTCTTCTTTTCTCTAAAGCTGCAATTGATTCAGAGTTTCTTTTATACAATTGTATGTAGTTTTTTTTATTGGTAATTTGGAACAAATAGTTCCAATTCATTATAACTTTTAAATGTCTTCCCCACATATATATCACACTGTTCCATTTTAAGACTATTTATTAACTGAGAAAAACTGACTATTTAAATATTTATGAAACTTCTGAGAAGTAAGAAATTTATTCAACTAATTTCTATAATTTCCACATATATTGCACGTTTCATTCCTGATTCGATGACATTTTATTATAAAACCAGAAGTGGGTACAGGTAGCCCACGAATGCTAATTTGGCTACTCGTCCCCTCATGCAGGGTCGCTCAGATACTGCTAAATTAATATTACTTCAATTTTAATGTACTCTTTATTTGAGTGTTTCTTTTCATAAGCAATTGACAAGCATCCTCTTCAAGGCAGTCAAAACAGGCAAAACATTGTCAGTCTATATACATGTACCAATAATTTCTTTTTTTTTTTACATTCAATCTTTACTTTGTGCTAATATTTCATAGAACAATTTACAACACAACCACTTAAACAATAAAGTGAATAATACCAAACTGCTATATCTTTGCACATTTACCTAATGTATACAAAATTATGAAAAAAATAGTCATATATCCATCCCCCCTCATTCTACACAAATTTCACTTCCAATTTTAATTAAAATCAACTTTGAAAATATTTTGAGATTTCTTATCAATTTTTCCTAATAAATTTTAACCTTAATAGTCATCAAATATAAGCAATAATCATGATAATAGTCTTGTTCTCTTGTTGAAAAATGACAATATACTAATAGATTCAGTCAAACCAATATATAAAGGCCACCCTAACAACTATAGAAAATTTAAACTGACCTATTAAGAGAGGTGACCTTTCAATTGAGGTTCAAAATGCAAAAGTATAATATCACTACAGGAGGACAAGGAGAATTATAGGAACAGGAACAGTAAAAAATGATTTCTAAATGACCTTATTTGCTATGCTAAACAGTGTTTTTGTTTGATATTTTCTTTGTATCGATCTGATGAGTTGAGCCTTTTTCTTGTTCTTATGTTGTGCTATTACACCACTGTCCCATGTTAGGGGTAGGGTTGACTGTCAATATAGAAGGCAGTGATAGAACCAGTCTGATGTCTTTCAAAATTTACTTTCATTTAAGACTAAATTTATATACAAATGCTCTGAAAAAGAATTTCAAATTTAAAAATAATTTTATGATGTAATTTTCCCAGCATAGTATTTTTTAGTCCTCTTAAGTTTTAACTTTTACTGACTTGACGCAGTTTAACACAGAAATGCCCTTTCCACACACAATATTTAGTTATTGGTAATCTATATAACTTTTTTTTTATCTAGGGACTATTCAGATATTCTTAGATAAAGATTTTAGTACATTTAATTGATCGATATCATATAATACTCTACTGTAGATACAATATTTTTTTCACTTTTTCAGGAACAAAAACAAACATTAAGCATTATAAAATGAACAGTAGTAAAGGTCAATCATAACACATTCATAATACTGTAAATTCAGAAATTATTGCGTGCATTTATTATTGCGATTTTGTCATTTTGGACTAAAATGCGATTTAAATTTTTGCGATATTGAGAAAAAGCCTGTTTCATTCATATAAAAAATTTCAAAATGCAAGTTTAAAATTATTGCGATTATAACCCTGTCGCATTTTTCACAATTATAAAAACATCGCAATAATTTCTGAATTTACAGTATTAGATTCATTATTATCTTACATAACTTTCAAAGTATTTTCTAATTAGTGCAGCCTAAGAATATTTACAAAATCTGTACATAAATGCCATAAATCTGAATGTATCAATACAAATAATAATCTAATATAAAAAATGCCATAAATCTGAATGTATCAATACAAATAATAATCTAATATAAAAAACGTATACACATAAAAATTTGAACACTATATATAGCTATACAGGTTTGAGGAAAGATAATTTTTGTAAATTAGAAAAATTTCATCATATTATAACCATTGTCAAAGTTTACCAGAGTTATCTCCCATTATGGTGTAGATTTCTCATACGGAACACTTTTTAACATTTATTTCAGGTGTATTACATTAAAAAAATTTGTCATATTTTTATTATTTGAATAGCATATTTCTTTTAATAAAAGCTTCACAACTGTGGGATTTTAACTATTACTTGAAGTGAAGACAACCCCTTATTTATGAAAGGAGAAATAACTACATTTTTCTGTAATTTAAACTCACTAAGAGTTATTTCCCTTTCTAGACAGGTACCTTCTTGGAAAATAATGAATCAACTTTTGAACTTTAATTATTTTAATAACCGTGTAGACCTTAAATAAACAAACAGATACAATTTGGATTTCAGGTCTTAGACCAATAATTTCACCAATCGACCTCATGTCAACAGGCAAAACTTAAATAATTAACAATTAAAGGAACTCAAAATTTTTGATTTCGTTATATGCAGTGGCGGATCCAGAACTTTTTATAAGGTGGGGCCTGCTCCAATCTTGCTTCAGTGATTCCCTATAATCAACCAAATTTTTCCCACAAAAGGGGGGGTGGGGGGCCGGGATATGAATATTGTCAACAACTCTACAAACAGTCTATTTACTTTCATTTTGATCTCTCAAATTTTTGCTAAGATTCTCTGGAATTCCAAAATTCCATCAACAGAATCAGATGTACATTTGTAGCTTCTTTTGTTTAATTTTTGAAAAATAATCTAAAAGGCAAACACCCTGATTTCTTTAAATAAAATTAAAACAAATGATGGCTCCAGAAGTGTAAACATGTGTACAGTAAAATATGATATGTACAGAAAAAAGTTTTTTTCAAAAAACATAAAGTTGAAAGACTACAGATAAAACATCATGATAGCAGTACAGTGATGTCAATATCAATATGAAAATTGTTAACAAATGAAAGAGCTATTTTTTTTAGATTGATTTTATTTCATTTTTGCATATTCCTAAGAAATATCAAACAAACAGACAGAAATTTTACATATGATATTATGAAAGGATTTAAATCAAGATTCATTTTGAACTGATGTATAAATTTTTGTATAAATGTATGCATTGAAATTTATAAGCATCTTCTTTTTTTAATGTAGAAGGGAAAATAGCATCGTTGGTAGAACTAGCTGCTCAAGCTGTGGCCTGTCACATACCATTTGAAGTTGTAGAACATTTTCCACAGCCCATTCCAGATGAAGTACAGCTTAGGATTGCATTTTGGAGTTTTCCAGAAAATGAAGAAGATATCAGGTACAATAAATCAGATTTAAATTACCAATAATTCACAGAACATCTGCCTACCTTTCTCTTAATGTCCTGAAGGAATTGAAGATTTTAGTTACATATAACTTCTTAAAGAATTTCCTGAAGAAAATTTTATAAAAATTGAATTAACCTGCAATTCCTGAATTCTAGCTGTTGATTACACAGCAGGGATTATTCAGGGGTCGCACTTGGCTTCACAAATGTAAATACAACTGTGTTTTTATGTTCCTTCTGGCGCAGATAAAGTATTATCTCTCATCATTTGAAACATTTGTGACTTGAATCAATGCTTACACATGCACAGGCCCTAAAGTGATTCACAGCAATTGTTAAGGATCACCAATCCTTCACCTTTCATCTGATACCTTAATTACTAAAATATATTCTACATAGTTTATTGTCTCGCCTTGACGGAGTCAAAAAGTGAGACATAGGTATGCTGTTTCCGGTGGCGGGGGCGTCAACAATGTATTAGTTTTTGATTAGGTCTAGTTTATGGTGAACCACTAGTGGTAGGTCAATTATATTTGGTATGCAGTTGTATTAGCATTGGCACATCTCATTTCCATGGAGATTATTTGGCCCTGTCCCCTCGGTCATGGTCTATTGACTTTGAAACTTTTGAAATGGGGAATGTGTCAAAGAGACAACAACCCGACCATAGAACAGACAACAGCAGAAGGTCACCAACAGGTCTTCAATGCAGCGAGAAATTCCCGCACCCGGAGGCGTCCTTCAGCTGGCCCCTAAACAAATATATATACTAGTTCAGTGATAATGAACGCCATACTAAACTCCAAATTGTACACAAGAAACTAAAATTAAAAATAATACAAGACTGACAAAGGCTAGAGGCTCCTGACTTGGGACAGGCGCAAAAATGCAGCGGGGTTAAACATGTTTATGAGATCTCAACCCTCCCCCTACACCTCTAGCCAATGTAGAAAAGTAAACGCACAACAACACGCACATTAAAACTCAGTTCAAGAGAAGTCCGAGTCTGATGTCAGAAGATGTAACCAAAGAAAATAAACAAAATGACAATACTACATAAATAACAACAGACTACTAGCAGTTAACTGACATGCCAGCTCCCGACTTCAATTAAACTGATTGAAAGATTATGTCTTCATCATATGAATATCAGGCACAATCCTTCCCGTTAGGGGTTTAGTATCAAACCATCATAACATATATGAGAAGAACATAACCCGTGTCATGCCAACAACTGGTTTTTAAATACATGTGTTTAGTGCCGATGCAAAGACCCTATAAGTGAATCAATATTAACGCCAAAATATGCAATCTTTAATGACCTGACAACAGTATCGTAACTATATCCCTTCTTAATAAGTCTATTTAAAGGTTTTGTTAGCTTCAGAGGTGAATACTTACATTTTTGTGCTTTATAAAGAATATTTCCATAAAAAATTGGATGTGAAATACCTGAACGTATAAGAAGTCTGCATGTTGAGCTATATTTACGAATGATGTCCTTATACCGATGATAAAATTTAGTAAATGTTTTGACTAGTTTGTGATATCGAAAACCCTGGTGTAATAATTTTTCAGTAATACATAAATTTCTCTCGTTAAAATCTAAAACATTGTTACATACACGAGCGAATCGTACAAGTTGAGATATATAAACACCGTAAGATGGTGACAAGGGAACGTCACCATCTAAAAATGGATAATTAACGATAGGAAATGAAAAATCATCTCTTTTATCATATATTTTAGTATTAAGCTTTCCGTTAATGATATAGATATCAAGATCGAGGAAAGGGCAGTGGTCATTGTTGGTATTAGCTTTATTTAAAGTAAGTTCAACAGGATAAATTTCTTTAGTATACATACTGAAGTCGTCATTATTGAGAGCCAAAATATCATCCAAATATCTAAAAGTATTATTAAATTTGTGTATCAGATGTTGTTTCGATGGGTCTTTGCTGATTTTTGTCATAAATTGTAACTCATAGCAATACAAAAAAAGGTCCGCAATAAGTGGTGCACAGTTAGTCCCCATTGGAATTCCGATAACCTGACGATATACGGAATCTCCAAAGCGAACAAAAATGTTATCTAGTAAAAATTCAAGGGCATATATAGTATCAAAGCATGTCCAATTGACATAGTTTTTTTGTTTATTGCTACTAAAAAATGACCTTAAAGAGTTGGAACATATATATTCACATTCTGACTTTTTAAATGCCCATTTAATTAGGTGTGTGAATTTTTTCTTAATGAGAATGTGAGGCAATGTGGTATATAGGGTAGAGATGCTTACTTTACATGTATTAGTTTGTGATTAGGTCAGTTTAAGGGGAACCATTAGTGGTAGGTCAGTGATAATTGGTATGCAGTTATATAAGCATAAGCATATCTCATTTCCATGGAGAATAATTGGTCCTTACCTCCTCAGTCATGGTCTATTGACTTTGAAACTTTTGCTTATTTTTACATGTATTAGTTTGTGATTAGGTCAGTTTAAGGGGAACCATTAGTGGTAGGTCAATGATAATTGGTATGCAGTTATATAAGCATAAGCACATCTCATTTCCATGGAGAATAATTGGTCCTTACCTCCTCAGTCATGGTCTATTGACTTTGAAACTTTTGCTTATTTTTACATGTATTAGTTTGTGATTAGGTCAGTTTAAGATGAACCACTAATGTTAAGTGGTTGATAGTTGGTATGCAGTCTCGTTTCCATGGAGATTATATAGCCCCACCCCCTTATCATGGTTCATTGACTTTGAAACTTTTACATAGTTTACAAGTTAATGTTTGTGTTTAGGTTTGTTTAAAGGGAATGACTTATAATAAGTCAATGGTATTTGGTATACAGTTGTATTAGCATTAGCTCATTTCCGTGGAGATTGTTTAGCTCTGTACTTTCAGTCATGGTTTATTGACTTTGAATATTTGCATAACTTACATGTTAAAAAGTATTGCTATTTTAATTTCAACATTTGCATTATCAAAATAACAAAAAGGCGAGACATATCTCTGTGTTAACAGTTTATATTTACACCTATGCGAAGGAACTATTTTGTTTTGAATATGTACTACTTTCTAGTATGTTCTTTTTTGACTGGGCCTGATTTGATGGTGTTACATCTTACAAGGTCTATTCAAATTATTTTTGCAAAGAATTCCGCTCAAGCCGGTGCAAGGGGCCATCTTAAACTTGCAGTGAGGTGAGAGTTTTTTTGGTCTGTGTTGAAGGCCTCACTGTGACTTTAAGATGAGGAACAGCAATAAAAGTGCTGTTCCATTGCTTTTTTGTGTTTTTTTTTGCTGTGAATGTATTGTTTTTGTGTCATAGATGGATACCCTATATCTTTTGTTTTTCTGTTGATATAACACATACTTTTTATGAATTTGAATTTATGTCAAAAAGCACCTAAACAGTCAGCTTATTTAAAAATATTAGGAAAATGACAATGCAAGGACTTTGTAAAACTGTTCAATAAAGGTTGGTAAATTCAACCTTTTTGGCGTGCACATCATCATGTACAGTAATTTAAAAAGTCAATCAAGTTTTGAAATAAAACAAAAGTGTTGATACATAATTTTATATTTACCAAATGCTCATTTAGGCCTGGAAAAACCAACCAACTCTAAGTTTTTAGAGATTACCTTGATTTTTTATGCCCCTGCCGTAGCGGAGGGGGCATAAAGTTTAACCCTTGTCCATCTGTACATCTGTCTGTCTGTACATACGTACGTCCCGAAATTGGTTTTCGTTCTCTAACTTTAGTTTGTTTCAACCAAAGGTTATGAAACTTATACACAATGCTAATTACCACAAAACACAGATCAAGTTTGAATTTGGGTGGCGTCACTTTTACCTTTCTAGAGTTATGCCCCTTTACAAATGGAAAAATTGCTGAATTTTTCATTTCATTCTCTTACTTAAGGTTGCCTCAACCAATTGTTATGAATCTTATACGCAATGCTTATTACCACAAAACACAGATCGAGTTTGAATTTTGGTGGCATCACTTTTACCGTTTTTGAGTGATGCCCTTTACAAATGAAAAAAATGCTGAATTTTTTTTGCGTTTCTGTTCTCTAACTTAAGTTTGCCTCAACCAAATGTTATGAATCTTATACACAATGCTTTTTACCACAAAACATAGATCGAGTTTGAATTTTGGGGGCGTCACTTTTACTGCTATAGAGTTATGCCCCTTTACAAATGGAAAAATTGCTGAATTTTTTCGTTTCCGTTTCTTACTTACATTTGCCTCAACCAAATGTTATGAAACTTATACACAAAGCTTATTACCACAAAACTCAGATCAAGTACGAATTTGGGTAGCGTTACTTTTACGGTTCTTGAGTTATGTCCCTTTATAATGTTATATGCAAGCTGGGGCATCATCTGTGTCCCATGGACACATTCCCCATTTATTTCACTAATAATTAGACAAATTATATTTTAATTGACATTGTTCTTGACTGCAATGTTCTTTTTGTTCAACCTGCTAGTTTAATGCTGAAAATTGTCAACAAGTATATTGTGTGAAACCCAGTAAAAAGATATCTGACTGACAAATGGATGCTAACTGGAAATATATAGGTCAATACAATACCTGATATAATTCCTTATCTAGATAAGGCTATTTCAGATTTTGTGGATCAAACAAAACAAAAACAAAAGTTTTACCAACCGTATTACAATTTTGACCAAATAATGCTCTTGTGCACTACCTATTTTGTTTTTCTGTCTGAATAATTTTTGGTTTTCCCATAATAAACCATATTTTTTGCAAAGGGAAAGGGGCTCTGCTCGCTCAACTTCTTAGTTATAAATACACTGCTTACCTAGATTTGTCAATTTGTAGGAAAGTATGTAAAATTTCATTTCTTACAAGTGTTTGTACAGACTAGATCTTTATTTTGTAATGTCAATATGTTTACAATACAAATTTATACAGAATGATTTTTTTAGATTATATTCCTGTCTAGCAAATGGCAGTGCTGATGAATTCCAGAAAGGAGAACATTTATATAAAACCAAGTCAGTTAAAGATGCCCTTCAAATAGGTAATATTTCTTAAACTTAAAAGGAAAAAAGAATTACCAGTGTACAAAATAGTGTGTCAGTTATTAGTATTCTTTAAGCTACCAGCTATAGAGTAATAGAGAGTGTTTATTACTAGTGATTTTGAGTTCTGTTTGCAATAGGGTGTGTCTATTGCCAGTGTTCTTGACCGCAGTGTGCTATAAATAGTTTGTCAGCTAGATGTGGTATTGAGCTTCCAGTCTGCAATAGAGTATCAGTTAGCAGTTCTCTTGGGCTTATGTGCAATATACTTTGTTTTCAGATGCTAATATATTTTGTTTCTTTATACAATGTATAAACTTTCAATTAGCTATTAGAAATAAAACAATGGTTTATTTTTGCATGTTTCTGTTACCATTTTCAATACTCTCAAGAACTAATATCATTGATTTATGACTGTTAAATGCAGGGTTTTAACAAAAAATTGGCATTCAATCCAATCAAGGAAACAAAATGGGGATCACAGTCAAGAAATTTGATTACAATGCATGAAAATGTTGACTTTGTACTTTGGTATGGGTTCCCTTAACTGACAGTGCATTCTTTGAAGTGTGGAATGTCAGTGGACTTACATTTGTGCTATATTTTTTAACACACTTACACTGATAAGGGAGTTTTTCTTAATATATTAATAGTAATTGACAACAATTTTCAGGTTTCCATTTGAGTGCAACATTAACTCCACCAGCAGTTATGGCTCAGAATAAAGGAAGTTTTCAAGTAGCTGTTGTCTTTGATAGGAGAAGAATATCATCTTGCACATGTACATGTAATGGAGCGTCTTGGTGTTCACATGTGGTAGCGTTATGTTTGTACAGAATTCATCAGGTGTGTATTTTACTGAAAATAAAACGAAGAAAAGATATTGAGCACATGTTTAAATGTGTTATAAATACCATGTTTAGAAACAAAACAAAAAAAGATTTTGGTTAAAATGTAGGCCATTGACTTTAATCTTAGGTCCCTGAATTTTTTCTGTTTATTATCTTTTTGATATTTTTCAAACAATATTGATTTATCCAATCAAAGGATTATACAGGCTGCTTGGAGCCTCTAGTGATACTCTTTTGTACTAAAAAAAATTGAATTTCCCAAAACCTAAAAAAGTAACAGATTAAGGACAGTGGCAACCTTTTAAAGTATGTTAGACAGAATTAAGTGGCTACAGATTCTGCACCTTCTGATGGCATCGCAAATTAAGATTGACCAGCATGGAGTATAAAATAAATGCATTGTATTTTGATTAAACCTATTGTAATTTTACATTTTATAGGCAAATGCTGTAACACTAAGGGCACCTGTTTCTGAGTCTTTATCAAGATTACAGAGAGATCAGTTGCAAAAGTTTGCGCAATATCTTATTAGTGAATTACCACAACAGGTTTGTATTGTAAGATATTTGTATCATATAGAAAAAAATAATGATAATGATATTAATGAAAAGATATACTTTATGCTTGACATCAGTATACTTCAACTTTCAGATTCATGTGAAGATAATTTTGAAGTTTTGAAGATGAATTCTGAATTTTAGATCTTTTTCAAAAGGGTCAAATTGAATTTCATTAGTAAAAATGTGTGCTGAAAACACTTTTTATACCTTTCTACAGTAGTAACAGACGAATAATTATTTGTGTTTCTGTTCAACATTGTGTTGAAAACCAAAAAGACAATGTAAATATGAAAAGTAACTGACAGGGTCCAGCTGTGGTGACACTTAGGTATCACTTCTGTTATCATTGTCTGTGTCACATTTTGTTAATCCCCAACTCCATGAAACCAGCTCAACATCAAACAAACTTGCAAAGATTCTTGTACAGAATACAAAGTAGTACAACTGCTACTTTTATTTTGATACATGCATTACTGTTTTTTTAAGTTTCCTGTGCCAAGCTTTGGCAATTTCTGCTTATATAATTTGGAGACAGCAGTAGATGTATATCTTGCTTTGAAGACTCGCACATTTTCTTAACCAGGATAACAGACAACCAGTAGCTCCCCTTACATTTAAAATTCACTTTGAAAAAAATTACCTGATGAACATATTTCACAGAAAAGAACTTTTTTATTTGTAAGATGTGTATAATAAGACTGATAAATATGGAATCATATTTTACAGATACTGCCAACAGCTCAGAGACTTCTTGATGAACTATTATCTTCTCAGAAAGCTGCCATCAACACAGTCAGAGGGGCACCAGGTAAGGAATATAGATTACAGATAAGATTTTATTTATTTATGAGCATTTTGCTGTGAATCACAAACATTTGTTCCGTTTCATTTCTAATATGAATAATATGTATTGACAGAGTTTATTGTTTTTCCAGTATTTTGTAAAACAGCCAATGCAGATTTTGCCCCTTTAATCAACAAATTTTTAAACAGAAATGTGTAATTTCTAGAGGATTAGTTTCATTTGCACTATTCCACTGAAAACAGCATTTCAACAATTATGAATAACACATGAAACTTTATTTAAACAGATCCTACAGCAGGACCATCAGCCAATGAACAGACATCCTGGTGTCTTGATGAAGCAACACTTCATGAAAATGTCAAGAAGACTCTTGTCAAATTCTGTGTTCCATCACCAATGGTGTTCAGGTACTGTTCGAAATATTATAAATTCTGATATTTTGTTATAGTGAAAAAAATTATCTTATTTCATATTATGTTTTTTTTAAACTTGCATATTTATTCTAGTGATGCACTAGTTATTATAACATTGTTTGTGATTTTGGATCTTCCATTTTTTACAATTAAATCACACTTTAGCTGTGCTACATGATTGAATTTATGCTTTGCCTACAGATATCAAACAGAAATTAATAAATATACTCCTAAATAATTTGGAATACAGTTGTTTCAGAGTGACACTGACCTGTGCCATAAGGTGAAGGTCACACAACCCATATTTCACATTTCACTGGCTTTGTGAAAGTTTTTAAGCTTCATTTCTTCCATCAAGTTTTATGTCTTTATTTAGTTGCCTTCATACTTATAATTTGGTGTAAGGTTGCATCTAGGAAAGTATAACAGCCTACCACAAAAAAATAATTCATTCTGACCTTCAATTTTCATGCAATTGACAGAGTTTAACGTTCAAGTTCTGTTCTCAGATATTTAGTGACCTACAATTATTTATCATAGTATAAAGATCGGCTAAGGCAGTATAGCATCCAACTGCAAAAAGGTGGGTTACTCTGACTTACCTCTACTTTTCAATTACTTATATTAAGTTTTTTTTCCATGGTTAATTATTTAGTTAAAAAATTATTTCTGTTCCATTTTTATATGCATTTAAAGTGTTAATTCTGGATCATGATTACTTGTTAATCTATTTTAGTGATGTCAATTATCTGTCTGCCACTGCTCCTCCTGCTGCAGCAGAATGGCAGAGTTTATTAAGACCATTACGTGGAAGGGAACCAGAAGGAATGTGGAATCTGTTATCCATTGTCAGGGAAATGTTCAGAAGAAATGATACTAATGCCATTCCTCTTCTAGAAATAATAACTGATGAAGTCTTACAATGTGAACAGGTATGAGAAAAGAAATTAGTTTTATTGTCGAGCCTGCGACTTTTGTCGCAGAAAGCTCGACATAGGGATAGTGATGAGGCGGCGGCTGCGGCAGCGTTAGCTAACTTCTTAAAAGCTTTATATTTTAGAAGGTGGAAGACCTGGATGCTTCATACTTTGTATATGGATGCCTCATGTTACGAAGTTTCTGTCAGTCACATGTCCAATGTCCTTGACCTCATTTTCATGGTTCAGTGACTACTTGAAAAAAAAGTTAACATTTTTTGTAATGTTAAATTCTCTCTTATTATAAGTAGTAGGATAACTATATTTGGTATGTGCATACATTGCAAGGTCCTCATGCCCATCAGACAGTTTTCACTTGACCTCGACCTCATTTCATGGATCAGTGAACAAGGTTAAGTTTTCGTGGTCAAGTCCATATCTCAGATACTATAAGCAATAGGTCAAGTATATTCGGTGTATGGAAGGACTGTAAGGTGTACATGTCCAACTGGCAGGTGTCATCTAACCTTGACCTCATTTTCATGGTTCAGTGGTTATAGTTAAGTTTTTGTGTTTTGGTCTGTTTTTCTTATACTGTATGCAATAGGTCTACTATATTTGGTGTATGGAATGATTGTAAGGTGTACATGTCTGGCTGGCAGGTGTCATTTGACCTTGACCTCATTTTCATGGTTCAGTGGTCAAAGTTAAGATTTTGAGTTTTGGTCTTTTTTTCTAATACTATATGGAATAGGTCAACTATATTTGGTGTATGGAAATATTTTATGATCTATATGTCAGTCGCGCAGGTTTTATTTGACCTTGACCTCATTTTCCTAGTTCATTGCTCAGTGTTAAGTTTTTATACGACCGCAAAAAAATTTTTGTGGTCGTATATTGGTATGACGTTGGCGTCGTCGTCGTTGTCGTCGTCGTCGTCCGAAGACACATTGGTTTTCGCACTCTAACTTTAGTTTAAGTAAATGGATCTCTATGAAATTTTACCACAAGGTTCAATACCACAAAAGGAAGGTTGGGATTGATTTTGGGGGTTATGGTACCAACAGTAAAGGAATTAGGGGCCAAAAAGGGGCCAAAAATAAGCATTTTTGTAACTTCCAGACATAACTTGTGTGTTAGTGTATGGATCTCTCTGACATTGTACCACAAGGTTCCATATCACAAAAGGAATGCTGGGATTGATTTTGGGGGTAATTGCCTCAAAATTTTAGGAATTAGGGGCCAAAAAAGGGGCAAAAAACAAGCATTTTTCTAGTTTCATGACAATAACTTGTGTGTAAGTGTATGGATCTTTCTGAAATTGTACTACAAGGTTCCATATCACAAAGGGAAAGCTGGAATAGAGTTTGGGGGTAATTGCCGAAACGTTTAGGAATTGGGGGCCAAAAAGGGGCCAAAAATAAGCATTTTTCTAGTTTCCAGACAATAACTTGTGTTCAAGTGTATGGATCTCTCTGAAATTGTACTGCAAGGTACCATACCACAAAGGGAAGGCTGGCATTGATGATGGGGGTAATTGCCTCAATATTTTAGGAATTAGGGGCCAAAAAGGGGCAAAAAACAAGCATTTTTCTAGTTTCAGGGCAATAACTTGTGTGTAAGTGTATGGATCTTTCTGAAATTGTACTACAAGGTTCCATATCACAAAGGGAAAGCTGGGTTTGAGTTTGGGGGTAATTGCCCCAAACGTTTAGGAATTTGGGGCCAAAAATAAGCATTTTTCTAGTTTCCAGACAATAACTTGTGTTCAAGTGTATGGATCTCTCTTAAATTGTACTGCAAGGTACCATACCACAAAGGGAAGGTGAGGATTAAGTTTGGGGGTGATGAATCATAAGGGGGTTCAAAAAATTTGGGGGGGGGGGGATTTTTTTTTTTTCCTTTTTTTTTTCTTTTAAAATTTATCATTTTAAGTTGGTTATTTCTGATTTATATTTAAAAGCAAATAATAATGATATGGTAGGAGATACACACCAAACAGGATGTGTAAATTATTATATAATAAGTATTGTGCAATAGCAAGAAATTTTCAATTGCACAGTATTGCACAATAGCAAGAAATCTTCAATTGCACAGTATTGCGCAATAGCAAGAAATCTTCAATTGCATAATATTGCGCAATAGCAAGAAATATCCAATAGCACAATATTGCGCAATAGCAAGAAATTGTCAATTGTACAGTATTGCGCAATAGCAAGAAATATTTAATTGCACAGTATTGTGCAAAAGAAGATACTTCGTATAAATTGCTTATTTCTTGACCAATTTCAATGGGGTTTTATTCTTGAATTCTTGGGGTTCTTTAATATGCTGAATCTAACCGTGTATTTAGTTTTTGGAAAATGACGCTATCAGCGGCATGTTTCCGATACCATTGACCAGAACTAACGGAAGTTGATTATGCCTCCGCCTACCGCACTCGGTTTCATATTTAACCAGTTTACATACGTTATTTTATTTACCAAAAAGATATCTTGAACTGTCCATATGTTTTTTGTTATTAAATGGTATTTGGAGCTATCCCTTTGTTATATTTTTCATATTTATTCGAGCTTTGACTTTTATGCACATGTCTTACAATCGTAAACAATCGGTATGTATACATGATAAATAGATCCGTTTTGTTATGGTGTTGGACTTTTTACCCTCCAATGATCAGCAATCGCTAGACAAAATAGTTCTAAATATTGTCAGCCTTTCATGCCATTTCAACTTTACAATCATTAAAAAAGTTATAATCGGAATCATTTTGATATTCATTGGATAGAAACTGGTCTTTATCCAGATTTACGAAGATTTTAATAATCGGAAATTAGTAATACGGTTATACCCACGCGGTGCGTATGAATCTTTGTTTACAAAGTTATAGCAGCAGAGTCTGTAACTGTATCATTATTAATTAACTACACTGTTATTGTACTTAATATGATGAAAACTGCATATGCAATATAAGATGTCAACTCGGCCAATACAGATTTTTTTTCCGTATTGGCCGAGTTCTGATCCGGCCAAAACAGGATTTCGGAACGTCTCTAGTTTTTAGATCGTAAGTCACGATAAAACTCAAACTGAAAGTAAACAGTTGTTTGTACGACGCAGTTTTTATTTACTCACCATAAACAAGCTGAAACGTTCAGTATGGCATATATGTTATGTTAAAGACGGTCCCATTCATTTGAAAAGCATTTTGAAAGTAGACGATGGAATTATTTCAGGTTTGGGGAACGAGTAAATTATCACAAAGTTCATTTCTTGACGACCTCATAATTTCATCAAGTCGATGGTACAAATCGATTTTTACTGTTTACTTTCGCTTCTCATGTTTTGTAAACGGTCTTTTATTTTTAAACTCGAACCAGGCATATGCATTCTGTAATTGCGCAAATCTTCGTTCTTTGGTCAATTGGCTGTTGGATAGTTGTATCAATTTCAACTCTTACATTATTTTTTTTTTTAAATATATTTGCATTACACATGCAATGGCAGTACCTTTCCAATTACTATTTATGTGTTGTGTCTAAATTAAAGTTGTAACACTTTATAGTGACTGGAAAGGGTAGAAAAATTCATCAGATGAGAAAAGGTTGAAGATACATGGAAACGGCACCAAATCATTAGATATTGCATCTTATAAAAAGAAACTGAGATTTGGATAGTTCCACTTCAAGGTAAAAATGTTTATCTCTTGTGAAATGAAATAAAAAAATATTGTAACACTGCAGTTAATTAATAAAGATACTATTACATGTATTTCTGTATTGGCCTTATTGTTGGTCCTCGGCCAGCAGTATTGGCCTTCGGCTTCGCCTCAGACCAATACACCAAGACATGGACCAATAACAAGGACAATACAGAAATACTTACGCAATAATATTATAGAATGACAGTATGGTTCAATAGCGGGAATCAGCCCCTCAACTACTTTTTACATAAATATTAACTTCTGGCTTCAACTCCTTGTTCGTTTTGTCTGGAGATCTTGTAGTAGTTCCAGTTAGGCAAGCATTTTAGAGACGTATCCCGTCCATCCTCTCTTGACTTGTAATTTCTGGTGATAGATTTTGCCGCTTGACGTTGTATCCTTTCAAGCTTGTTTTTTTTTTGTTACCGTGTAGGGGTCCCATACTATGGCTCCATATTAAATTGTAAGATCCATTCCTAAAGGTCTAGATCATTGTTCTAATCTGACACAAATTTCAATAACTGGAATGCTACCCAAGTTGAATATATGGTGACCTACTAGAACAGCATTATCACTATTGAAATTGTGTTTAATACCATGATTGTTCAATGTCATTAACTTAAATGGAGACAGACATTTGGCCTGAAAGGTGGTGTGGGAGTGCAAAATCAAAAACTAACTGACTATGATATATGGTTAAAGAATGAATATCAATTACATGGGTCAACATGGTCAAGGGCAGAGTTGTTATGAAATAACAATATGGCAGAGAAGTAGTTTCAAGTTTCATATAAAGCGACCTGACTGACATGAAATAAAAAATCAAAGGAGTATCCCTATTTGTCTAATCTTCAAGGTGAAATAAAACTAGTAAAACAATATTATACTATTGTCTAAATCTACAGAAATATAATTTGCTTCAAGTAACAGAAATAATTAGGTCACTAGTAACTTATTTAATGAGTATGTGGGGTATAAGAGCTTGATAACAACAGGCTCTTCATAATCATTTGGTTTGAAAAGGATGCTAGTAGTCTATATTCTTGATTTAGAAAAATGTAATTGTAAGACAAAAATCACATTACTTAGAATACTTTAGATCATTCAGGTAGTCTTTATTTATATGTACAAAAGAACAGCCAGTAGTCATTGGATATTGTAGATCATTCAAATAGTCTTGACCTATTTATTAGTACAAAAGAACAGCCAGTAGTCATTGGATATTGTAGATCATTCTGGTAGTCTTGACCTATTTATTTATAGAAAAAAACAGCCAGTAGTCATTGGATACTGTAGATCATTCAGGTAGTCTTGACCTATACATTTGTACTAAAAAAACAGCCAGTTGTCATCTTCACATAACACACACATATACGAATATCAATTATATGCTTACGAGACATGTTGGAATGTTAAACTAATTACGGTATGTGAAAATCAAGACTTGCATAAAAAATATCACAATATTAGAGACAGTGGCGTCATTTTTCCTCAGAGCTTTCAGCTCTTTGATTGGATTTTGGGCCCCGTTTTTAAATTGGTCCACATTGAGGTCCAAAGCGTCCAAAATTAAACTTTGTTTGATTTCATCAAAAATTGAATTATTTGGGTTCTTTGATATGCCGAATCTAAAGATGTATTTAGATTTTTGATTATGGGCCCAGTTTTCAAGTTGGTCCAAATCGGGGTCCAAAATTAAACTTTGTTTGATTTCAACAAAAATTGAATATATGGGGTTCTTTGATATGCTGAATCTAACCATGTATTTAGATTTTTGATTTTTGGGCCCCGTTATCAACTTTGTCCACATTGAGGTCAAAAGGGTCCAAAATTAAACTTTGTTAAACCGTGTATTTAGATTCTTAATTTTTGGTTTGTTTTCAAATTGGTCTACATTAAGGTCCAAAGGGTCCGAAATAAAACTTAGTTTGATTTTAACAAAAATTGAATTCTTAGGGTTCTTTGATATGCTGAATCTAAAGATGTATTTAGATTTTTGATTATGGGCCCAGTTTTCAAGTTGGTCCAAATCGGGGTCCAAAATTAAACTTTGTTTGATTTCAACAAAAATTGAATATATGGGGTTCTTTGATATGCTGAATCTAACCATGTATTTAGATTTTTGATTTTTGGGCCCCGTTATCAACTTTGTCCACATTGAGGTCAAAAGGGTCCAAAATTAAACTTTGTTTGATTTCATCAAAAATTGAATTCTTGGAGTTCTTTGATATGCTGAATCTAACCATGTATTTAGATTTTGGATATTAGACCATAATAGGTGAATGTCCAATTTAAAATTTTTAAGTTCTTAGACCACATTCATTCTGTGTCAGAAACCTATGCTGTGTCAAATATTTAATCACAATCCAAATGCAAAGCTGTATCAAGCTTGAATGTTGTGTCCATACTTGCCCCAACTGTTCAGGGTTCGACCTCTGCGGTCGTATCAAGCTGCGCCCTGCGTAGCATTTTATTGTGTTTTGGTCTGTTTTTCTTAAACTATAAGCAATAGGTCAACTATATTTGTTGTATGGAAGAATTGTTAGCTGTACATGCCTGCCTGGCATGGTTCATCTAACCTTGACCTCATTTTCATAGTTCATTGGTCAATGTTTAGTTTTCTTGGTTAATGTTAAGTTTATGTGACAGTTGTAATAAAGCTTTATATTTAGGACTATCAACATAATATCAGTGATTAGTAAAGAAGGCGAGACATTTCAGCGTGTGCACTCTTGTGTTCTAATGTTTAGATTATTTAGCTTATATGTGATGTTTGTAGATGTTAAAAATAACATCCTTATAAGGGATATCTTGATATTAGGCAAAGCTTTGTAAGAAGTTTTGCATACTGAGAGAAATGGATAACAACACCTATCTTTAAGAATGGATAATGAACTCCTTACCAACAGAGTTTTCATCTCTCTCTCTCTTGTTTTTGGGGAACACATATGTCTTCCTGCAGACTGTTATTTTGAGAACTGTGTTAACAATCTGACTCCCCTTAGTGGTCTGAAACAAAAGAGAGTATTTTTATATGACATCTTTAACATTTTATTCTGAATACACATGCATTATTTGCTACTGAATGTTTAACACACACCAATTAATCTACAAGAAAATTGATTGTTTATTTATTTTGTTTCAGATCCTGATTTGGTGGTTTACAACAAAAACATCTCCAAACAGCAATAATTCTAGGGGGAATGGAACTAATGGAGCCAATGCAACACAGCATGCTGCATCTAGTCTTTGTGACGAAATTGTCACATTATGGCGGCTTGCTGCTTTAAATCCAAAATTGTCACCAATACAACGTGATGACCTTTGTACAAAGTTCAAAGAATGGCACATATCAACAGTAGAAAAAGTTAAATCAGCCAGAGGTTCAAATGTTAGTGGTGGGGCAAATAATTTGAAGAAAAATGACTTTGATATATTTGTTGGTTTCAGACCTGGCATTGAGGCCTGTGGTCTGACCTGGGATGACTATAGAATTCCAGGTGTCACATACTCAGAAAATGAGAGTTTTAATCTTCATTATAGATTTAACAAATGTCATGACAGTGAAAAGAAGCGATCTCGTATACAACCTGTTACAGTGTGTTCAGAAAACTTAATCAGTACTGATAATAACACTACGCTTGCTCAAGCTCACAACATATTACAGGATCATCATTCAAGCAGCTTTCCTAGTCGACAAAATTCTAGTCCAAGAGATTCTGTAACAAATGACGGAGCAATAAGTTCTGGTTCAGAGGGTTTCTGTGAACCAGAGAGGAGTAGCTCATTATTTAGAGGAGATTCAGATTCTGGCTCTGAAATGAAAGAAGTTAATTCTCGTAGCAATTCATATGAAGAACAAGATATGCATAATTATGTAAATCATCCCTTAGTTTCCAATGGATTTAGTATTCCACCACCTAACAGTAGATTTAATCCTGATATATACGTAAACAGTCCAAATGATTTAGAAATAGGATCTTTTCCAATATCGGAGTCAGTAACTGTGAAAGCTGAAGGTTCTTCTGAATCTCAGCAGTCTGGTGATGAAGGACAAGTGTTTTTACCAGGCAGTTCTGCTGATAAAAAAGTCATTGAAGGGGAATCTGAAGTTTCTCAGGGTTTAACAGAAGAAAATGTTCAGGATGTAAGATAATTAAGTGATTTATTACATGTTACTTATTATTTACTCAGAATTTCTGTAGTATTTTATTACACGGATGGAAAATATGTGAAATATATTGCCTATAATGGCTTGTCTTATTTATGATAGAGAAACATTTCATAGAATTTGTACTTCTCTGCTGGTTTTTTTAAGCAACATTACAATTTAATTACCATTTGGAATCATGGCTATCTATGGGGTACTATTTCTTTAAAATCAAAATTAACTAAAAATAAAAATCTTAGTTAAATTGTTTTTGTAAACATCCTGTCACTGTGTTAATAGTACATGCTGTCTTAGAAACATGATTTTATGAAGTTGACACATTGTACATAATGAAAAAGCAAACAATTTTTTATTTTTGTTTAACATTTTTGACAAACTAAAATACTGTACACACAATTGATGCTCACAAAATTTATAATAGTTATTATTATTTCAGAAAATTAAAAATTTTCATAATTGAGTATATAATAAAAAAAAATTTTGCAGACTTTGTTTGCCAGAGCAGAAGCATTACATGCACATGGTCATACAAGGGAGGCTTGTAGACTGGCTCAAAGGCTTGCTGAAGAATTATTGACAAATCCACCAGATCTCTTAGCTGAAACTGCAAATCTTCCTTTAGTGAAAGGTATGGTAAAATTTTACACTATTAAATTCCTAAGGATTTAATTTTTTTATTTACCTTTCACCATTTTGTTGCTGTCTGGAAAGTATATCTGTTTCTTCTAGAAACCCCTTAAAATTTGAATGCAAAGTTACTTATATCAAAACCTTAGATGATTTTATCAGTACATTTGAAATGGTGAACTATTCCTATTCTTTGGGAGAGGGGCTAAGGGTTATCCATAATTACTTGTGTCCTTTGGATAACAGTTCATTTCTCATCACTTCCTTTCAAATTTAGATAAAGGATTGCATATACTAAACCATGGATAAGTTTGCTGTTCGGTGTGAGCCAAGGCTCCGTGTTGAAGACCGTACTTTGACCTATAATGGTTTACTTTTACAAATTGTGACTTGGATGGAGAGTTGTCTCATTGGCACTCATACCACATCTTCTTATATCTATATAAGTTATATTAAAAAGGGAAATACTAAATTGAGGGGGAAAAGGGGGTGGAGGACATGTACAGTGCCATATACTTATTCCTATAAACTTCAAATTTTGTCTTTCATTCCTTAAGTTAACTTTAATTTTGTCAGATTTTTTCTTTAGTGAAAGATGCAAGCTTGTTACTACAGATTTATCCTTAAGTCAATAATATCATTGTTAAATATATCTTTTCGTCAAATTACATTTACTGCTCAAAGCTATAAAATATTCCTTTAGTTTAAGGTACAGCTGTTTGCTTTGAATACTTTTCGTTTAGGTAGAGGCACAGTTTGTATTTGACACACTTCTGTAAACTTAATAGTTAAATATTATAAATTTATTACAGGTAAAAAGAAGAAGGCTCTCACAAATATAAGTTTATTAGCCAGTTCAACATTATCTAAGGCTGCATTCTTATGTAGTGTCCTGACTGAAGAGCTAGAATGTTACCATTTAGCATTCAAAGTTGGAATATTTGGACTTGAAATGCCAAGACCACCAGCATCTTGTAAATCACTTGAGGTATTGATTCATGAATGGTTATTATAAGTTAATATTATCAAGTATTAAATATTATGATCTTTTTGCAAGTACATTTAGACATGTAATGTTATACTTTGTTAAAGGAAAAGGTATTTTAAGAGCTACTATCTGGCATCTGAAATTTCAAAAATAGTAAAATTCTTCAATCCTTTCAAAATTTATGTTATTTCTATTGATAAATGAACATTTGTGTGCCACTATGACATCATAAAAATGTTGACATTGATATATATTTGATTAAAAAATGTCAATTTTACACATTGTTTTTGGCAAAATTAGATATGATCCAAGGCCTTAACCAAAAAGATGTTTTAACCACATAACATTCTTTCTATAAGTCACGTGGCAGTAAAATATCTTTTAGGGTAAGCGATTTTGGCAGATTTGCATTAAAAGCAAGAAGTATGAAGCTGTAAAGCAAATATGTAAGACACAATTCAAAACTATGAATATATATATTGGACAGACTTATGTTTGTGAACAGTGGATGGATGGTATTTGATAGATTTATAATAACTTTTGATTTTCGAATTCAAATGGCCTTAAACAGTATGTACAGTTCTTTTCAGAAATGTTGGCTGTTAACACACTGTTAACACACTTTATTTAAATCAGAATAATATTTGTCACATTTATACAGTTGGTAAAAACTGAAAACTTCATTTTTTCTCAGTGACAAAGAGACAAACATGATTTATATGTAGTCTTTTTAAAAGATGTTATATTGTTATTTACTTTCAATGTACAAAGGTAGTACTAACTTACACGATTTTATTAGTATGACCAATGAGATAGTCTGACCAATTGTGAGGCCTAAAAGAAAATATTCTTTGTTTCCAGAAATCTAACCTACTAAGAAAAATTGTCAAATTAAGAAAGAAAATTATTTATTTACATCTATTTTTCATGTAAACTGAGCAGTTACAGCCTTGTTGAGATTGTCCACATTTGCTATATATTGACTTCTAAACAATTAAATGAAAGGTCTTAAATAGATAATTTTGGTAATATTTTGTACACATTATTTTTTTAATGGAACATAATTTTGAAAAACAGAACCTGCATATATAGCAAAATGTTATATAATACAAAGGTATCAATATTTTAGTTTTGAAGAGAAATTTACAGTCCATTGGAAAAAGAAAAGTCTTAACCAAGTACAGAATTATGGAAACCATGGATTAATGAAATATTTCTTTTCTATGAAAGAAGAGTCAATAAATTTGTTCACATTTATTTTCTCTTGTAGGTAAAATTAGCTTATCAAGAATCAGAGCTGATTGGTCTTCTGAAGAAGATTCCATTAGGACCTGCAGAATTAAATGCACTTAGAGAAAGGGCAGAACAACTTCGTGATGGAACTCTCAAATCAAGAGGAGATGCTTTACTACCCCTTACTCTTGCCAGTTTTATCTTTGACTCGCTATGTTTACCTGGTAAGATATTTGACTAACTATATTTATCCAGTGATAATTATGAGTAATATAGTGGGTGTCACAAGGGAAGCAGGAACTGCATACCCTTCCAGAGCATCTTAGTTCACTCTTAAGTTTTTAGTTGGGTTCATGTTGCTGAATATTTAGTCTGTTCTGCTGTGTCTTGCAGACTTTTCTTTGAAATTTGATTTTCTGTATTATCTGTACTATTGACATGGTTTTTGATTAGTCTTTTGATATCTTGTTATTTTGTTTGTAAATGTTAAATAGGTCTGGAATTTTTTTAAGTGGTGAAATTTAGCAGTTTATTCTACTTTTTTGTTATTGTTGAAAACTACTCCAGTATATTCAGCTGTCATTAAAATGTAAATTATAGACTTTATAATTAAAAAGTTGACTCTATAGTCATAATTGAATGCAGAATTACAAGGTATGCTTATTGCTACTCTTAGTGATTTATCTGACTGATTTTGTATTATATATGTTAGAATTCCTTTTGACAAACAGTGTAATGAAATTTTACTGTGATTGTTAGGATTATAGAAAACCTGGGTGTAGAAATTTTCAATAATTTTAATGCTTTTCCATACATATTTTTATCAATACATTTGTTAAGATTTGTACTTATATATTTAGTTTTATGTTTGATCATGGACAATTAACAATGGATACTTATTTTTGACAGTATTCCCAGTTGGTAGTACCAATAGTCGTCCACCAAGTAGGTCAGTTCAAGTCACGACCAGGCTTCCAGGAGATGAGAAGTTAGGATTTGAAGGTGCTGTTGCTGCATTAGGTAAGATTGATGATAAACTTTGTTATCATTATTTTTATGTCATATTTGAAAATGTGTTCACCATAATAGTTAAAATCAGATGAAGTTTTTATTGAAAATTTGCAGTGAAATTGCAGAAAATTATTAGCTGAAAACTTACCTTTACAATACATTAAAACTTATCTGCAATATAAACAAATGATTTATTAAAATCTTTTCACAGGTATGAAAGCAAATGTATCTGAAGCTGAACACCCATTGTTATGTGAAAGTACAAGAAGACAAAGGGGAGAACTAGCTATAGCTATGCTTGTTCAGTATAAAGATGACATGTCCAAATTAAGCAAGGTAAGAGTAATAAGACAGTTTAACTGCTGGCTATGCCTGGTCTATCTCATACATATTAAAACCTCTCAATGCTAGAACCAAAAGAAATGAGAACTGTAATAGCTATACAATGATCTATAGTCTTTTACATCCTTGCCCTTTTGATCTCTGGTAAATAGTTTTCTCATTGGCAATCCACATCTTATATTTATATTGGTCTGGCAGTATTTACAACATGAAAATTCACAACAATAATTATGCAAACAATTTTATTTTGGTTTCAACATAATTTTTTGTGAAGTTAATGAGAGTTCAGTTTCAATTGTAATCTGTATTTTCAGAAATGAATTTATTCCATTTTTTGCCTCCTCTGAATTTCATATGTTTTTCTCAGTTATTCTATTTAAGGACTGCTGTAATAAAAAAATTAACAGAAATAGAATACAAATATTAGGTATGATGTGCTCACCTTACATGTTTTATATATTTAAAAAAAAAAAATCACATTAGTTTTAATTTAAAGTTAGTTAAGTTCATGGTGAATAATAACCCAATGATTACTAGATGTCAGAAAGGATATTAGTAGATTGGAAATTTCTAAATGTTCTCTTTATATAACCATCACAATTCCTTTTCACAGATAATGGAGAAGTTACTAGACAAAGAAGTACACCAGTCCTTTAAGGCCCCAAGTTTAGTTGATTTACTTGGCAGCAGATCTCCTTGTTCTCAGCCTGCAGTTCCTCTTCCATCACCAGCTGCCACCACAACAAATCCTGTATCACCATATCATCAGATGCCCAGTGGTTCATCAACATCTCCTGGGGATAGGAATAGGATTGACCATCCTCCACGCCATGAAGAACCACTTGCTAGACATCCAAACCCTCCTGTTGTAGGTGTTGGAGCAAGGCCTAAAATTACATATCCTAGAAGGTGTAACAGGTAATTAACGAACATAATGAGAAGCGTAAATATTTTGAAATATTTATAAAATTATTTTATTAATGGTGAAACACATAAAATTGAAAAGAATGCACTCAATATGGAAAGTATGATTAAGCATAAGTATGCAGATACATTAAAATTTTCTCTCAATTTTCTCAGCATTTTTTTAGTCATAACGTCTTGATATATGGCATCAAGCTTTATCTTAAAATGCCATACTGAGTGACACCTTTTTAGTTCCTTTGATTTTTTATTTCCTGTTTTACAAAAATGAATATCTTTTATTCATGTACATTTTTATAAAATTTTTGTCACATTTAGACAACATTTATTGGAGGTAAAACTTTTTAGCAAAAGCTCAAAGTACATATTGTTAGATATACTGTATTTGATCATTTTTGCAAGCTTTTCTAAAGCTACCAGCTAATTCTGTCAAGTTTATATCATACATGTGTATATCTTGCATTTATAGAAGTTCATTGAGCAATATTGTCATTTCCATTCTGACATTTCTTTTTCAAATCTTAGTGGCAAAGATACAGACAGTTCCACTGTTGAAGAAGAGGATAATTTCAGAGCTTTGGAAGCCAAGTTAAGGTGTATGGCAATCAAAAAGAAACCATCACAAGGTATCATAAGATTTTTGAAATGACACATATAGCCATATTCTGCACAAATTTGTACTTTATGATATTAAAAATTTAAATTTGGAAGATTTTCTTGGAATATACTTTCAAACCTTGTGTTACAACTACGAAGTGTATTTTTTTAAATGGATGCCAAGTTTCACAAGCTGATTTCAAAATTTCTTTATTCCCTAACCTGGTCAGTTTGAGCTGTTGACATCACTTGGTGTATGAAGTTAGTCCATCTTTGTCCCTTGAGAATACAAAAAAATCTGCTTTACTGTAACTTGGTCCAGGAAATTGATAAGCAAGATAAGATTTTGGCCTACATAATTTCAATTTAAGATTCCTTGGAGCCATTAGTTTTAATTGTTGTGGGACAACTTTCCAAAATTTAATAATAAACCTAAATGCACAATTTCAGGTAATGTGAAGTAATAAAGTCAGTAATGCTACACAGATTATAAAACCATTCAGGCATTCTGCAATATTCAGTCTTTTAATTTAAAATTGAGAATGGAAACAGGGAATGTGTCAAAGAGACAACAACCCGACCAAAACCTGTTTCAAAAGCATAATAATTTAACTTTATTGAGGATTTAATTGAACATTTTTATGCCCCCGCCATAGGGTAGGGGGCATTAAGTTTTACCCCTGTCCGTATGTCCGTCCGTCTGTCCCAAAATTGGTTTCTGTTCTATAACTTTAGTTTGCCTCAACCAAATGTTATGAAACTCATCCACAATATTTATTACCACAAAACACAGGTCAAGTATGAATTTTGGTGGTGTCACTTTCACCGTTCTAAAGTTATGCCCCTTTACAAATGAAAAAATTGCTGAAATATTAGTTTTTGTTCTCTAAATTTAGTTTGCCTCAACAAATGTTATGAAACTTATGCACAATGCTAATTACCACAAAACACAGGTCAAGTATGAATTTTGGTGGTGTCACTTTCACCGTTCTAAAGTTATGCCCCTTTACAAATGAAAAAATTGCTGAAATATTAGTTTTTGTTCTCTAAATTTAGTTTGCCTCAACCAAATGTTATGAAACTTATGCACTATGCTAATTACCACAATACACAGATCAAGTTTGAATTTTGGTGGTGTCACTTTTACCGTTCTAGAGTCATACCCCTTTACAAATTGAAAAAATGCTGAAATATTAGTTTTTGTTCTCTAACTTTAGTTTGGCTCAACCAAATTTTATGAAACTTATACACAATACTTATTACCACAAAACTCAGATCAAGTACACATTTGGGTAGTGTCACTACAGTTCTTGAGTTATGGCCCTTTATAACGTTATATGCAAGCGGGGGCATCTTCTATGTCCCATGGACACATTCCCCATTTATTGATACAAGTATTAATCAATTGGTTGGTACAGACTTAGAAATTTCTATCCGTAAAATACTTTTAGAGAAATTAAGTTGTAGCACTTCTATGTTTCAAGAGTGACTAGTTCATAATATTGGTCTGATTGTTCTGAAATTCAACTTTAAATGTATAAAAATCCACCACAATGACTTTACTGTTTTCAGAAACATGTATTGTGATTCAATAGGTATGGCTAGTATTGACAGCAGTGCACCTGAAACAACTTCTAGTGATAACTCACCAACATTAGTGCGACGCCCATTTCCTAAACATCAGGGACCTGGCAGTGATTGTGGTAGTAGTGGTGACAGTGACTCACTGGGATCCAGTAGCTCAGGAGAGAAAACAAACAGGGTTAAAATAAGGGACAATGAAAGGTAATTACAGGGGGTAGAGTCAAAATTCAAAGTATTAATAACTATTGTGTATTAAAAATAAATTTTTAGAAATGGCTTTTCTATGATATACTTCATGTTTCATAAAAGGTATTAGAATGTGTATATTTTCAATTCATTCATGAATTGTTTTAATCTATGCCATCTTTATCAGTAAAATATTAAAGACTGATATCAACAAATCTTTCAACATGTCATTTTAGTCCACCTAGTCAACTTGTAAACAGAGTATTACCAGTCCAAGTTTTACAGGATAGAAGCTTAACACCTTCAACATCTAATGTGAAAAATACAAGGTAAGTCTCAGTAACAAACTATATTTAGAGTAATTTATTTCTAATTATAGTTTTAAGACAAGAATAGTATTGTACATATGTATACATATATAGAATGACTAGATGATAAACAACAATCATTCTTATGATAAAGATGTATAGTCTTCAGTTGGTATCAATAGATACAGTTCCAAATCAGATTGAGAGATATTTGAATTTTTAACCCCTTCAACAAAACTAAAAATTGCTAAAACCTTTTCAACTGTTTTACTAGAAATAAGAAGATGTGGTACGAGTGTCAATGAGACAACTCTCCATCCAAGTCACAAAGTGTAAAAAGTAAACAATTATAGGTCGAAGTACGGCCTTCAACACTGAGCCTTGGCTCACACCGAACAGCAAGCTATAAAGGGCCCCAAAATAACTAGTGTAAAACAATTCAAACAGGAAAACCAACGGTCTAATCTATATAAAAAACAAGAAACGAGAAACACTTAAAAACCACATCAACAAACGACAACCACTGAAACAGGTTCCTGACTTAGGACAGGTGCAAACAAATGCAGCTAGTTTTAAAGTTTTAACAGGCACCAACCTTCACCCTAACCTGAAATAGTAGTGTAACATTACAACATAGAAGACACACTATAAAATAGCAATTGAAATGGCTTAACTCAATAAAAAAAACATATTAACGAAAACAAGTAAACATACACTGAAAGAATAAATTTGATCTATGACACAATATAAATACAATATTAAATAAAAAAGGGGGGATGTAAAACAATGTAAAAAAAAACAACTATAACCTTGGACAAAATGGCGTTAAATAAAATAACTACACAGGTAAATATAAATATAAACATTTTGTTGTTAGGAGTACGGAGATATTTTTTACAAAATAAATAAATTTGTACCCCCATTTTAAACAATGGACTTTAAACACCAATCCATTTTATAAAATTAAATGGTCTTTATACTGGCGAAACACAGAATTTAACTTTGGAGGTACACAACATCTCTGAGAGATTTTGCTTTTTCCACCCACCCCAGTGGGAAACTTTTAGCTTGTCCACGCTGATCACCCTATACAGTTAAAAGGCTGTTTCTTTTGTTTTTTCCAAAAGTTTTAGAAGTTTAATCAATTGATCTTATCAAATAAACATTTTTATCCAACACATTTACAAATTAGTAGATACTTGAATGAACGTATGTGCATCCTGTCCACATATACTGAATTGTAAACATGACAACCCTTCTCTATTTGTGTATGGTATGTCTATGAAAGACAGTGTAGCCCATTTTAGTAACCTATTACAAAAAAAAGACATTTGGTAGGTTTAGATTAGAACATTAAATAAAAAAAAATAGATTAGTCCTAAATTTAATTTATCTTTGATACAGCTACAAGTATAATTAAATAATTATTTTGCAAGATATTTCATGTAAAAAATTTGATATAAATTTTTTTGTGTGTATATTTTTAGATTCAAGGGTAAAAATCGCATCATGCCAACACTGCCTAATCAACCAAGTGAAGCCTCCGCCCATTTCATGTTTGAGTTATCAAAGACAGTACTTGCTAAAGCTGGAGGGAATAGTTCTACATCATTGTTTACACAGCCTTCTAATAATAATCAACATACAGGTCCACATCGCAACCTTCATTTATGTGCATTCCAGATAGGATTATATGCTCTGGGACTGAATAACTGTGTATCACCAAATTGGCTTTCCAGGACATACTCTTCACATGTTTCATGGATTTCAGGTAACTACATTGACATGATATTAGGTCCTTAATTTGTTTAAAATTTACAATGAAAACTTTGAACTGTAGTGAAGAGCTTGCTGAAAAAGGTATAATTGGATAATAAAATGTTATTGTATGGGTTCTTTTCTGCATTATTTCTTTAACCACTGCAGGTTAAGGGCATACGATACAGTTTTGGTCCCACTGTGAATTTTTTACCTAAACAATTCAAATATGTAATAAAAAATATTCCTTCATATGCTACTTTTAGAGATAAATGGGGTCGAAATTTTAGACATTTACTGGAAATTTCGGTTTCTTGGAAATTTCTATCCTTTGGAAAGGCATACCTAACTTTTTTGTTTCAAAAGATAAACGCAAGCTGACTTTTGTAAAAACATCTGTTATATCTTCTGTACAGAAGTGTGCTTTGAATTTGTGTAACACTTCTTTGGAAATAATTCATTCATTCTCATTTTCATGATTTTAGTCAAAAAACAGGATTTTTTGCTGTGTATTTATCTAATTTAAAAAAATTTCAATGGTGATTTGTTTATAAAAATTGGCACAAATAATCTTCATACATAATCAAGCCAAATGTCATTTTTAAAAAGAGGGGTCCATGAACTCGTTTTCAAGTTAAATTAGTCTGAATGATAAAAATCAGTCGAAAAATGCATCTTTTCCCGATATGCCACATTTTGCATCATACTGAAATTGCAAAAATTATTAAAATTTTAATTTTAATTTCAAATGAATAAAATCTATAATAACATTAATGGACTGTCTAAACACTTTTGTTTAGATACTGTAGCTTGTGTATGCATTGTATTATAAAACATATTTTTGAAATGTTGCGTACTTTATTTCAGTGAACAGTTCATTTTAATACTAATACATGATTGATTCTTAATAGAAATTGTTCTTACACAAGATACAACTGTAAGCTAAAATGAAACTTTGTTTTAAACAGGTCAAGCAATGGAGATAGGAACTGCTGCTATTAATATCCTAATAGAAACATGGGAAGGTCATCTAACTCCACCAGAAGCTGCTTCTCTTGCTGACAAGGCTGCAAGAGGTCGTGACCCTAACATGGTTAGAGCTGCTGCAGAATTAGCTTTATCTTGCCTACCTCAAGCACAGGCTCTAAATCCATCAGAAGTTCAGAGAGCATTGTTCCAGTGCAAAGAACAGAGTAGAGATATGCTAGAAAAGGCCTGTCTAGCAGTGGAAGGTGCAGCAAAAGGAGGTGGAGTTTATCCTGAAGTCTTGTTTGATGTTGCTAGACAATGGTTTGAATTATCTGAAGAGGCTGCTCAATCCAATAATAACTCAGATGGCCAAAAAAGGAATTCAGCCAATGTTGAGAACAAGGAAGTTCATTCTATGTCAGTAGCTCAAACAGAACGTTGCAGTCCAGCTACTCTACCAATTATTCCATTCAGTTCACCTTCACCACATAATGCAGTCACAGTAGCCAGTGCCACAATGGCCCATAATAATCATATGCCGCAACAACCACTGGTATTATCATACGCAACTTTACCACCCCAGCCAGCGCCTCATCAGATGCCACACCAAGCCTTTGTCCAGCATTACAGTTACGTCCAACAAATCCCACCATTTAGTACCCAGCTTCATCATCAGCATATCCCCATCCATCCTTATGTCACCACTCTTACATATCAGGGTCAGCATATAGGTATACCAAACACTACACAAGCAATGTATCCCCACGGAGGAATGCCTGTAAGACAGCTAGGACCTGCTATACAAGTGTTTCCTAGTCACACTCAGTGCCAATTAAGTACTGTTGTACAGACACCGCCATCATCCTCAGCGAACGGACAATCTATGCATCCTGTCGACCAGCAACACGATTCTGATTCTCCTAGTCCTCCACATGTTCATCCTGTTGGTCATCACAACCAAGCTCAACTGAATTATCTCAATGCTGCCTTCCGTACAGGAATGTTAGCCATGGAAACCCTAGCTAGACGTGTACATGATGATAGACCTCAGGCAAAGTATGCAAGGAATCCACCCTATGGAGAAGATGTTAAATGGCTTTTGAATATTGCTGTAAAACTAGGTATGAATACAATTCATTTGTTTCTAGATATATTTTAAAATTTTGTGGATGCTAGATCAAACAGATTGGAATGTAGGAAATAACAAAGATATCATTAATTATTTTGTAAAATCAACAACATTCTGTTGTTTTATAAACGTAAAGTACACACTTTTTTTTCTGAGTGTCATGCTTTCAGATATGAGAAAAATACTTTCCAGGAATAAACAATGTATAAATAGGCTTCTTTTTTTTTGGAATACAATTAGTTTTATATACAATTAAATTGATGAAGTTAAAACATTTATGTAGAGAAGTTGTTGAATAGTTGCTTGGCTTAAATGATTTGAAGGGCAAAATTGACTTACACCCCTCCAACCCCCCCCCCCCCCCCCCCCCCCCCCCCCTCCTAAAAAAAATCGATTGGAATTAGTTATAAACTAAAAGGACCTTAACAGAAGACCAAAACTAAATAAGTTTTTTAATCATTCACAAAGTGAAATTGAAATAATGAGACCAATAAAGTTTTTTTTGTCATCCTTGTTTTTTTTTATACAGTTACATAAACATTTGTAGCATGATGTATTTAATATGAATTATGCCCTGTCATGTATTTAGCTGTTTCATGTAGTTTAATCTAAAATAAAAATGTTTCCTATTTAAATCTTAGGTACAAACTACATACAGCAGTTTTGTATGAGTTCAGTGAATGCTGTAGTGAGTCCATTTGTATTGTATGACATAGCCATAGAAGCTGCACATGTGTTGGCCAGGAACAACCCCACCATTGCACAGAACCATCTTAGATCCACCATACTTAATCCTATCATACAGAAATGTACACAAATGTAAGTAGAAAAAGTGCTTTACAGAACATCAACCAAGTAATGAAAGTTCATGTTGAGTGGTCAAGAATAGAACATCTACCTATGATTATTATCGTCTAGCATCACTTATGTTTGTATGACAATAACCAATTCATCAACATCCATTTTCTAGTTTTACTTCTCTTGTCAGGGGCAGTTAACTCAAATTTTCCTGTAAGACATTCATATGGAAAAATGAAATTCAGTACAGTATTCGTCCTATTGAATTCCTAAGTACTTATCTGTGTCTTTACTTTGTCAGACCATACTGATAATTCTTGGTTTATTGTTTAGATAAGATATACCTGTACTTTTGGCTACTGTACCTATCACCATCCTAAGGACCTTGTTTACCCAACTTTCAGTGATAATACAAATTTTGATTTATAGAGAATTTGATGTAGGTTTTTATACCTCCTGAAATAGTTGAGGGGAGCTTATCATTTCTGATTTGTGTATCCCCTCCTCTGTCAGTCTTTTTATTCATTACAAAGGGATTCCATAAGATAAGTGCAGTTTGACATATGCCCTGTTACTATGGAGTAATACTATTAATTAGAAAATACAGGTCATGTTCTATTTTCACTATTGGGCTGATATTGTTTTAGAAATTTTAGCCTCTGAAAATGGGAAAAGCAGCAAAAATGCATTCTTTCAGGAAGAATTTTCACATTAGAGATTGTGTAAAAAATAAATTGGCCCTTTTCTTCTTGTTTTATTTATATCATGCATTGCTAACAGTTGAATTTTGTTAAAATAAAAAAGTGTCTGTTATTAAGTTAAAATAAATTCTTATGGAAAAATGAAATTGAGTACAGTATTCATCCTATTGAATTCCTAAGTACTTATCTGTGTCTTTACTTTGTAAGACCATACTGATAATTCTTTCTTTATTGTTCAGATAAAATATACCTGTACCTTTAGCCTCTGAAAATGGGAAAAGCAGCAAAAATGCATTCTTTCAGGAAGAATTTTCACGGTAGAGATTGTGTAAAAAATAAATTGCCCTTTTCTTCTTGTTTTATTTATATCATGCATTGCATTCAATTCATTGAATGGTGTAAAAATGACAATCTTATTATGTCTTACACAGATAATACACTTCAAGACTGTGTCCTACATATTTTTGAACTGTAATTCATACACACCTAGTAAAAATACATTAACACAAAAGGATATGTATCTCTTAAAAAGAGGTGAGTACATATCATTTAAAATAGCTGTAAATTCATTTAATGATTGTTTCTTATAGCGCTGTATTTTCTGTTGCAGGTTCATACAATGTGCTCATCAACGTATACACCATATCAATCAAGCAGATTATGACGACTTTGTCAGTACAATTTGCAGTGCAAGAAACGCCTTTTGTTTGACTCAAGGAGGCATGATACAATTTCAAGAACTTCTCCAAAGTCTAAGGCGATCAAAATCTTGTCGTAAAGAGTTATGGACAAGGATTGTGAATGGACTGGCAACAGGGAATGTTTGATATTGGCATTGAATAGAATTATAAAAAAATCAGGTTCCCATAAATGTTTATTTTTTGACAGTTCTTTGTTTGACCTTATCATACTTATAGAACTATTAAATACACATTATTTTTTGTCATGAATGTAAGTTTATACATGTTTTATTAGTATATGTTAATTATTTAAATTTTTTGTTTTATTTATACAAATGTTAGACATTATTGTGTTTATTTTTTTCTTTTTTTTTCTTGATCATTGTTTTCATTAAATTACATTAGAAAATGAAAGATTCAAGGAAGTCCTCAACATGTTAATTTTACATTTTCAAATTTAAATGTTCAGAAGTAAATTTTTTTCCACAAATAGTAAACCTTTAAAAAATATGCATTGGTTTTAAAACTTGTTTGTTGGTTTAGAACAATTTCAAAGGTCTAAATTATAAAAAAAGTGATTTAAAACTGCTTTTTCTTCCAGTTTTATGCAAAATATATATACAATGGTACATAGTATAGAACCGAATAATAAAAACTAACTTCTATGGAAAGCATTCCAAATTTTTTTTAAATTCATTGAACAGAAATGAAATTTATGCAGTTCAAGACTGATAAAAATAATAATGAATCAATATCATGTTTCTACAATTTATATGTATACTTGTTATTTGGATGTCATATTTATAATTCTGTGTATAAATTTGTGTTGCTGAAGTATTTTTACATGTGAAAAAGAAAAGAAAAATAGAAAAATAAAATAATGAAAAAATATTGTTAATTGAAAGAGTCCCAACAGCATTTGAAATGAATGCTGTAATGATTTTACTGATGAACAACATTGCCTGATATATCAGTCCTGGTTATCAGAATGGTATGATTTAATTTAACAACCTTTATACCAATGGGCTCCTTATCAAGAATTCTAAAAACAAAATGAATTGGGTACTGGTTCACCACATTTTTTAGTATGTAGATTGTGATGGCATTTGATTTTTATTGAATAAAATGTATTACAATTACAACATTCAAGAGATTTCTACATGCAGGTCACAATTACCTACTTAACAAGAAATTACTTTTTAATATTAATATGCCTTTGTAATTATTTTTATTGTTTTTTAGAACATAAAAAAAGAAATGATCATAGAGGAAAATTTGGTCACAATGATTATCTTGAAAAGAATGAACTCATTATTGTATGATGTCTATGACATAGGGTAAATTCCCATCTTGAAAAGTTCTCAAATTATGTCTACCATTTTGACCTTTTTCTTTTAATATGAACTTTAAAAAATTTGCTTTATAATCTGTATAAAGGGTTCATTAAGAATGTTAAAAATGGTAATATTTAGAAATTTTTGTTACCCCCTCCCTCTTTATATTAGTTCAATTTCTTCTTTCCTAGAAACCCCCAATAACAATAAAAAACTCCTTTGGTATATTGTATATTATTGAAACATTTTTATTTCTGCATATTTCTGATTTTATGTCATATTTTTATCACTTAATCCCAACTTCTCGTGTTGTGTAATATACGTCTTCCACAAATTAAAGTATATATATATATATATATGTGTATAGAAAATAATATTTATTAAGATATATAAATATAGGCTTTCACTCATCCTGCTTTCCTGCTTATATCATTGAACAGTAAATTTTGATTAGATTATTGATATCTGAAATATTTTTATGCCTAGGAGGAGATGAAACTTCAATATTTCCATGTTTAACAATGTTATTCAGTAAACGGCCATGTCAATAATATGCTAGAAATGTTACAGCGGAGTTTTATTTGGAAACTTGATGGCTATCTAGTCAAGAAAACCAGATGATATTAACGCATTAATGGTAAACAGTTATAGTGGATACTAAGGGAAAAACAACAATTGCTCTTGGCCTATATCAGTATACACACTAGGCAACCATACTGTCTTGCTTCAGCTATTCCCTCAAATGGTCATGTGTCTATGACCTTCAGATATGGGATGGAGTTTTGTAAGTTGTTGGTCAAGTGATTTATCCTACTTGCTCCCATTTACTTTCACAATTGAGTTAAATGCCTTCAGATTCTATAAATATATTTAAAGTAACATCAATCTACTGAAACAAACATATTAGTTTTATTTTTTAAACAATAAACATCTGAGTGTGTTCAGAATTTTTTTTTATATCAAAATAAGTTCTTCTTTCTAAATCTACTTAAAACTCCTTGATTGTTGAAACTGTTACTTTTTCAATGTTGCTCTTTTGATATTTATACCAAATTGACAAGTTGTTTTCTTAACATTTTTAAAGAGAAACCTGATGGACAAAAAGAAAAATATGATGACAAAATTTTTTTCATAGTTTTTAATTATTTCACTATCTTTCTATTAAGATTCATTTATTTGAATGCTTAAGATAAGTACAACATAAATACAAGTGTAAAGTGCCATGGTATCAACATTCCAATTGAATGTAGTTATAGATGTTTAGTTATGACTCGGTAGAAGATTTTAATTAACTAGCAAATGAATTCATATAATCTAAAAATTTGACAAACGTAAAAGATAGAAAAGTTAACACAAAGGTGTGCTTGTATATGAACAGATCCAGTCTGTGCTGTGTTCAAAGTCCAATATTTTCAGCCATTGAAAAATAAATTATTTCACATTTTTATTGTACTTGTCATCTATTGCATCAAATTATTTCATAGCATTATTACAAATGAAATTGTTGAATCTAGTGAATATACTATTTTCAGTTGTAAAGTCTTGATTTATTCTATACATTTTAGAGGGCCATTTATAGTTATATTTGTGCTGAATAAATCTGAAAATTATTATAGAACATAAGCATATACCCAAAAATGGTAAACTTCTTGACAACGAAGATAGACTGTTTCACATTATGTTTATTACATTTGTTCTTTATTTGCTAAACTGTACCTTTTGTCATATTTTCAAATTGTTGTAAATATTCATTTTTTTGTGGAACCCTGTATTTCATTTTATTTAATCACAGGATGATGGTACTTTGCACATCTGCTCAAAATAATTAACTTCATAAAATTCTTATACAAATATACAGAAGTCATAAGTGTGACAGTTTGTATAAATGTATATGATAGATGAGTGTAGGAATTTCTAAAAATAGTACAGATAAAACAAAGTTTGGTTGCTTACAATACAAAAAAATCTCATAGTTTGGTATTAAGTTTACTTTTAGTACACCATTGCATTAGTATAAAAGTAAAACAATAACAGTTAGTCACATGCAGTTTTAGGAGATTCAACAGATTACCAGAACTAATTGATTTGTTTAACCTATTTAAATCATATTTTCATTCATGGTATTTTATTGCACTGTTATGACATGACATGAGAAAAAAAGATGGAAGGTTTATAAATAAACATAGATATTAGTCAAATTAATATTTATTATAGCAAAAAAATATTACATGCAAAAACTGAGAATATGTTGTTCCTTTTCTGTTTTCATCACAATCATAAGCCATTGAAATGTTTGTATCATTTATTTACCCAACAGACAGCTGTGTTCATATAGAAAGTTTAAAAAGTTGTTTCCCTTATTAATCTATTTAGTTTTTTTCAATATATGACAAATATTAAAATCCAGTTTCTGCAACAAATATGTGGATTGTACTATACAAATAAGTTTAATATATATATATTTTTGTGTAATTTAATGGGAAATTTAATTAACACACATTGAAATACCTCAAGAATTAGTGATTTGAAATTTGTTGAATAGTTTTGCTCTTTAAAATACTGAAATCAGTAAACATATTAAATTTATTTTGCTTTCAAAGGTAGCCTAGAAATGTTAGAATTTAACTTAATAACCACATCTTATAAGTCAGCTTCCACTTTCTACATCAATAGTTTTCCACTTAAGAAGTTATTGTGTTTGAACTATCTACAGACAGCAACATGTTAGTTTACCTTTGTTTGTCTGTCTCTACTTTTGTGATCAAATCTATCTTTAGTAATGTCCTGATTTTGTTAATATTGGTGTTTAAGCCCTTTTTTCTTGAAAATATGAAAAATATATATTAATGATATTTCCACACTGCAGTAATGTATAGCACTGCTCATTGTATTCACTTCTACATTTACTTTTACCTGTTTAGGCATTCATTGCCTTTATGTCAGTTTCTCAATAATCTTTGTTTATGTTTTAATGGTCACCACTTCAGTCCTCTATCATGGTACAACATTATTCAGTAACACATAAGTCACTGTGAATATCATGTTTTCTGATGAGTTATTTAAGCTAGGACATTCATGTCTTTTCATACGCCATCTAGGATATGAAGAATATTCCTGAAATTTCTTTGAAGTCAATTATTGACTTTAATATTTTTTCATGAGATTAAATGGAAATGAAAAATTTGAAAAGATCAGGGTTAATTGAAATTAAGTAAATATTACGATATAAGACAACAATTCTCTTCAGCTGTGACTGGCAAACAGCTATTTGCATATTAAGTGAAAAGTTATATTCTCTCCAATAGATTTTTTGCTCTTACTCCCCCCTTAAAAAAGGAAAAATATAAAAAAAATATTATGTCACAGGAGAAAGTATTCTTATGAGCAGAATTTCATGTTCTTTTGGCTCAGACACCTTGTCCCAGAGTACTGTTTGCATAGAATTATTAAGAATTTTAGCATCAAATGATAAGTTAACTAAAAAGGATGACACTTTCATATCTAAGGAACTGTATATAATATTCAGAAAGGTCATGTCAATTTTATCTTGTCAATCATTCAGATTCCCTCAACAAGAAATTACTGTTGCATTTTTATCACCATTTATTAGGAACTAAAATATCATAAAAAGTTTAAAAAGATGTTTTGAACAGCTATTTAAGAGTTATTGGTTAAATGACACCATCATTACTGCCTTCATAGAGAAAGCTACTTATAACGTTAGCTGTTCCATTGGACAATTATTGGAATAAAATATTGAAAGAATAACAAATAAATGAATGTGATTGAAACTCTTACTAACAGCATATGTAAATGTATGTTTAATAATTAACAGAACATTTAAACTTATCAAAAATTTATACTTTTTAATTGCTGTTTTCTGCATTTGTAGGATAACATCCAGTTTCTGCATATTATAATGCGTAAGAATAAAACTGACACTTTCTTCAAAAATCAAATACTGCTTATTGACTTCTGCATTTTCAGTAGTACCCCCAATTGCCTTCTATATTTTAATTAATCGTAAGCTTTTCATTTGACCAATAATATTGAACCAATAGGAAGCGATGCTAAATGCAGTGAACAGCAGTACAGAATAATTAGTTTCAAAAACTTTTAACACATTTTTTTTAGTATTAGTCCATTCAGTATGTGAAACTGAAAACACATAAAGAACCTTGTAAAGTTGTAAGATTGGATGAAAATGAACAGCAGAACTGTACAGTCTAAGACATTCATATAAAGATGTGACCATACCATTACAAATGTATCATGATTGTATTAAAGAAACATCAGAGTGGAAATGCTTGTTTTTATGTGTGAAATAAGTTTAATATTCAGTCAAAAAGTGTTTATAAGTATCTATACATACATTTTATATTTTTCAAGTCCCAGTTTGTAACTGGTCTGTGAATGTTAGAGCTCTGTCATATTTGTTACCAGCATTCTTTATATAGCATTATTAACAACAGAATAAATTATGCAAAGGTATGGAGGTATGAATGCCACAAATCAACAAAATAAATGATATTATGAAAAATATGTCCATTTTAAATAATTGCCCAAAAGCTTCATAACATTCTATGTTTTATCTGCAATCTGGATTGTGATAGAAATCCTGGAAAATGATTTTATTTCCATGTGAATAACTTAATAAGGTGGTCCATTATTTATTGAATACAGCCTTGGTGGTCTTGTGGTAGGGTGTTCACCTCGAGTTCTGGAGGTTGTGGGCTAGAACCTAAATAAAAAACTTCAAAGTTGGTATTTGCTGCCTCTCTGCTAAACATACAGTATTAAGTAGTAAGAGCAAAGACTGGTCAGCTCGGAGTAAGATAATGTGTTGGGGTAGGTGAATATGTCTTCCTGCGGACTGTTACCTTGTGAACTAGCACATTTAAAATCTGGCCTAGTGTGTCAGTCTAGTATAAAGCAAGGTTAATATTCATATTACATTAATATGTTCTCGTCCTGAATATGCATTCAATTTGCCACTGGACGTTAACTAGCCGCCATCATCATCATCATCATCATCATCATCATCATCATCATCATCATCATTACTGTAAATTCAGAAATATTTGCTTGCAATTAAAAATTTGCTTGCATTAATTGTATCCACCATTTTCTACATAAGAAAATGCCTGTACCAAGTTAGGAATATGACAGAAGTTATCCATTCGTTTGATGTGTTTGAGCTTTTGATTTTGCCATTTGATTAGGGACTTTCCTTTTTGAATTTTCCTCGGAGTTCAGTATTTTTGTAATTTTACTATTTCCTTAAATTGCAATAATTAATCTCACATTTTTGTTCATTGTTAAAAAAAAATAAGCCGCAAAAAATTCTGAATATACAGTATCAGTTTTTATGTCCTGATTGTTTTCCTTGGTTAACACAAGTATGAAAGCTTTGGTTAAAGGAAAGATAGTTTAGGGAAGTTTATTTGGCATCAACCATACATTTTTATTTTGTACATTAAGCTCCTAATAAAAGTTATGTACAACAGACACTTAGAATTCTTGAATACTTGATTTTTTTTGTATAGAAATGTAAAACAGTATGAGAATATTTTAATGCAACTTTAATAAAAAAACAAAAACAAATGGGATTGACCATGATAGCTTTCTAATCACCGTCTTAATATACCATTTGTGTATAACATTAAGGAAATGAGGAACTATTGCCCATGAGACCACTTTCTACTATAGAGTGAAGGACAATAATGCAAAAAATTACAGGCCTTCAACTACGAGCAAAAACTTGTACTCTATAGAAATCTCAAAAGACCATGTTAAACAAAAAGTCAAACAGTTCAAAAGAGAGAAAAAAACAATGGACTAATTTATATTAAAACAATTATGGAAGACAGTAACTATGTAATGAAAACCACCGGGTAATATGCCCGCAAAACTCTCCCCTAAAACGGGATTGGTTTAACAGCTGAACATTAGAACAAAATACAAATCAGTTGGATAGGGCTTGACTCATAATATCAATACTAAGCAATGATTGATTGATTGATTGATTGTTTGTATTTTATGCCATTTTCAGCACTTGGCTATATGGTGATGGCCAGTTATTGTTGGTGGAGGAAAACTGATAATCCTTATCAATTAAGATTGGAGTCGAATGCACCTGCTATATGCGGGGTTGGAATTCACAACATCGGGTTTGACAGCACAGTGACACAGTAGATGAATTACCCATATTACTTGGCCACTGAGGCCCCTCACGATACTTAGCACAAAACAAAATGTGTAACAAAAAGACAAAAGACGCAAAGTACCGATCTGAGAGTACTCGCAGTTACTGAAAGCTAACTCAGTAAACTGTGTCGCCCCTAGTGAAATCACAGATTCTGTGATTCATAGATAAATATTAAATTGTGTATTTCAATAGATGTATTTTATTTATAAAATGGATAAGATGATTTAACAGGATTGTACTCCTTACACACAAAGTACTGCTCCAACAGAGTTATGCAGAAGAAATACTGAAATTTGCTCGAAACACCAAATTTTGTACTCCCGAGTATTGAGTAAAGTTTTATGACCGAGAGCCCAGGTTAGCACTAGCCCAGTAGTCACCACTTTTGTGTTAACATAAAATATCATTGATATGTTCATTTTCTGTAAGATCTACTGTTTATAAAATTTTGAATCATTCGAAACACTAATGTTTTTCTCTCCCCTCGCCCCCCCCCCCCGGAATACTTTGGCTGAGCCGCGTATTTGGCACAAGTTTTCGGAATTTTAGGTTAAACCCGTTTTTAATGCTGTTAGCAACTTCGTTTTTGATCAGGCCTTTTAAATGTTTTGACTCGAGTGTCACTGATGAGTCTAATGTAGACGAAACAAGCGTCTGGCCTGGTATCTTCGATGAGTTTTTACGGTCACCATCACGAATTGGTTAACATATCAAAGTGTCTGTGTCTCAACTTAATGAAGATATGTTTAAGCGGTCTTACTCCTTAATATATCAATAAAGTCGTCTGCTCAGTAGTTTTACCGATTGTGTCCTATTTCCGGTTGTGACATTTTACTGAGTGAATTCGGATGGCGGGTGATGCATGCATAGCAGGAGACGCTTACCTGTCAATGCATCAGGTCTCGCTCAATTTGAAGTTCATACGATTCCATTGATTTTTTGTTTGTTGCCCTGATTTGTCTCTTTTTAATCGCTTTGCAAGATTAGAACATCGGTATACTACAGTCGCCTTATCAATTATCTGTTTTTCGAAGAAAATGAATTCTCTAATTTAGCCTATTCTTGAAAATAAAACAAGCCATGATTACAAGTTTACAGTTTAATGCTCATATATAAGTTAAGAATAGTGAAATATGAAATACGCATATCAATATTAACTTCCTCTTATTGCACTTGTAAAACCAGTGCCATAATCATCATATAGTAATGATAACAATTCGCAATACACTAATCATTGTTTCAATTTTATTATTTAAACAATCAATAAAATTGTGCAATTGTTGCAGTAAAATGTAGTTTTTCAACGAAGAAATTAGATAGAAATAAGTAAGAAGATAGTTTTTGTTGTTTAAAAATTGCATTGAAAAAAAACAAATGGTTATAGAAAGGAAGATGTAAACAAGTTGTGCTCTTGATAAAATTGAAATAAAAGAATTTGCACCAATAATGAGAAATTCTACATCTTTTGGCAGTAAAATAAAAACTTTATGGTTAGATTATGGAAATGAAAATGACCCCACGCCAGCCTACAACCATTCATCTCCAGTGTCAGATAGTTCTAGAAATACTCTAAAAAGCTACTATTTACAAGTAAAAAAGAACTGATGGAATGATGATGCCATTTTTTTTTTGCCCCATGAATTCGAAAATCTAATCTATGAAATAACATCCTTAGGATGTTCATTAGACATAGATCAGTATTTATAGTTTTGAATTTTGTCTTACATATTTGCATTAAGGCTTCAAAATCAAACTTCTTGAATATTGTGCAAAACATAGTCTTATTCTGAGCTCTTGACATTAAAATTAATGTATATCCCTTTATCTTCTTCCAACAACTGCTGCTTTGCATAAAACATTTGTAAAGAAACTGTTTTATGTAATAGTTTACAACGTTCATGTTCAAGTGATATCGGCTGGATCACAGCAACAACAATGCTGTGTTTAAAAATAATTACCAAATTTTCCCATTCATAATATACCCAAAACTGATAATGTAAGAGCTTAGTATACGACACATGATAATGTAAGAGCTTAGTATACGACACATGTGTTTATCAACGCTGTTGCGCTTTATTAAGTTCACCTGACCATATTGGCAATATATACATTAGCTATTGCAATCACTTTTCGTCCCTTCTCTATTTCAAAGCGTTTAAAAATCTTCCTCTCTACATTCATTGGACCAATTTCAACCAAACGCCCTGTATTATCCTTATGGTATCCAATTTAATGTTTGTATTTTTTGTTCTTGTCAATCAACCAATATGAACACCATTGCTAAACATAGAACATATTGGTAAATTCGTACAGTTACAATTTCCCTAAGGCAAAGTTGATCTAAGATGAATTTGTTTGTTTTAGGATTCTTTTGCAGGCGGGAACCCAGTTGAAATTAAACAAAAGGAATGGAACTCTTTGTTAGAGAAGGTAAAAAAGCAAAATTGGTACATTGTATATTTGAATTGTTTACATCGGTTATTATAGGCTTTAAAAATTTGATAAAGGTCCATAATTTAGGATTTTATGCATCTTATATACGTGTTTTTACTTGAATTATAGTATGGAGCTTTGAGATATTTTAAATTATAGACAAATTTTCATGAAACAGTCGATTGTGGCAGGTTCAAATCCTAGTGGATCTTTTTTGTGCATAAGCATAAATTCAGCCGGTAAAAATTCCACAGAAAGCTAATAGATTGATCTTTCAAAAGCATTAATTTGCATCTGCCCCCGATAGTTTTTTGGGAAAAGATCCCCAAAATGGACAATAATTGCATCGAAAAGAGAAAGTCGAGTGCACCTTTTTATGTTCGGGCGTGTTTGAGATGACTATTCTGTCTTGAAAACGGATAAAGCAAAAATATTTGATGTTGATTTAATTACATTAACTAGATGCTCTCAAGAGCCTGTGTCGCACACATGATTCTACTTTTGTTTTGGAAATCATGTAAAAATAGATTAAAATCATAACAGATACCCTATTAATTGGTTCGCACCTCATAAGGAACATTCATGCCATATATGATTCATTCCATTCAGTGGTTCATATAAGAAAATATTTTTATGTAATTCCAATAACTAGGTCTCCCGTTGGTGGCCATCTTGGATGACAAATCAGTAACAAATTTAAAAAGTACCGGGTAAGCACCTCATAAGGAACATTAATACCATGTTTGATTTCAATCCATTCAAAGGTTTTTTAGAAGAAGACATTGGTTACATATTATCCCATAGTGTTCTATGTTAAACTTAGGTCCTTCTGGTGGCCATCTTGAACAGTAAATCGGCAACAAAGTAGCAACACTTCATCAGCACCTCATAAGGAAATTCA